TAATATCAGGTGTAGAAAAGAAGAAGAGAAAGCAAAGATTTATGAAAGCTTTTGAAAAATTCAAAATTTTTGTTAAAATTAAATACGAAAATATTACTGTATTAAAATTAATTAACCTTAGAAATATCATTGAAACTGATTGTATTTGAGGCTGTGAAATTTTTAACTTATTTTAAATTTTATCATACAATGATAAATTTAAAATTCCTTTTAAATATGAACGAATAAATTAAATTTTAACAAAAATATTTTTGATGTTTTATTTTTTAATCGATTAAATTATTGCAATTTATTCTTTCTCTTTCTCTCTCTCTCCTTTTAAAAAAAAAAAAAATATTAGAAATGACGATTAAATGAAATTTTGCTTAAGATAATTTAAATTTTAATTCTTTTTTTCTCAAATAAACTTTATGCCTACTTTTAAAAACAATTTAATTTTTACAATCTTTATATAATACAATTACATTTAGTAATACTAAATGTATATTGAAAATATTTCATTATCAGATATTATAATTTTGCTAATATTTGTATTCGTTAATATTTACTAATTCATATTGATAAAATTCTTTTAAGCTAATTCATATTGATAAAAATTTTTTTTTCTTCACCTAAAACACGTAACACGTATGAGATAATCGGGTACGTATATTTGATTACCTTATAGATGATATCATATTTGAACTCATAATGCTTTATTAATTAGCATTAATTATTTCAGAATTAAGTTATCACTTTTCTCGACCGATTATTTTAATTTACAAATCAAAGTGACTAAGAAATAAAATTAAAAAAAAAAAGAAATTAAAGCATAATTATTGATCATTTTGAAGTTTATTACAAATTAATAAACCAAAGCTAACCAAATTGTTTTCTTTTTTTTTTTTTTTCTTTAGTTGACCTTAAATTACAGTATGCCAAACATTTGTAAATGTCATCGTTAATTCATAGGAAAACGATATGGTTGAAAAGATAGGTGTAATGAGCGGTAACATCAAAGACAGTGTGACATAATATTCGCGTGTGTACATTAAGCATATTGTTTGTAGGTAATCTCATACTTTATCACCAGGTACTATTTGAGTCTCATCAATAAGTTTGTCATCATTCTTCTCTCAATTTATTCTTATTGAATAACAAAAATGAAAGAAAAAAATTTAGTTAAAAATTTAAAATAATTTAAAATTTTAAAAAAAAAAAGGAAAGAAAAGAGAAGGTATAATAAAAAATTTCTTAATTTCTCAATTTCAAAAGCATTGCAAGATAAAAAAGAATATATTTATAGTAGTAGTTGCAAATAAAATAAATTTATTTCATACAATAGTTGTAATTTTAGTTTTAGTTATAAATTTAATTTTAATAGTTATATAACTTTTAATTTTAGTTATAATTTTAATTTTAATAATTATATAATTTTATTTTTACTTATAACGCTAAAAATTTAATTTATATTAGTGTATAATTAGCTTATACTAAATATATAATAAAATACATTATTTATGATAATTTCATGCAAAATTTCAAATAACATAATAAAAAATAAAAAAATTTTTTTTTTTTTTACTCATACTGATTAAAATTTAAATAAAATTAATTACGTGTAAAATTTAGAACGTTGCGCAAAAATGAATAACGTATACGTGTCATATTTGTAATGTATAACTTTATTAATTTGTAAATAATTGAAATTGCTAATATTAATTATAATTTATTTTATTGAAAAAAAAAAAAAAAACAAAGAACGGAAAAGTTCACGTAATAATTCAATCGTATTTGACGCAAAATTTACAGCCATAAAATTATTTTATTAAATATTATAAAAATTTTATTTATCGTTAGTATATAGTAACTTTTTCCTCTCCTTATTATTATTTTTTTTTTTTTTTTTAATTAATCAAAAATTTATTTAAGAGGCAAAAAAAGAAATTATGAAGTTGACAGACGACAATTAAGGTAATTTACCTTTGCAAACATTTTTTTTTTTTCATTGATTTTCACTTTTATTTTTACTTAATTACTTTTTTCTTTTTTACTTCTGTATTGTTTCTGCAATTTATTTTACAATTATTTTCAAATGTTATACTTTTAAATTCTATTAATAATTTATTATTAAAATTAATCAAACTGTTTAGTTCATTTTTTTTTTCGATTTTATATATTTATTAATTATTACTGTTTGTTATTTTTGCTAGATATATCATATTAAATAAATATTTTTATACATTTTTAAAGAAATGCACAACTTTTTTTCCAAAAAAAAAAAAAAAAAAAATTTTCTTTTCTAAAATATAAATTTTTTTGAAAAAACATGTCAATAATTAATTAGAAAAAATTAAGCAAAAAAAAAAAAAAAATTAAAAACTGTAACAAATAATATAAAAATAATTAAAATTAAAAAAAAAAAAAAAAAAAAATAATAATTAAAATATACCTTATAAAATCTATGTAAGTATAATGATTGAATAAAAGCTACTCAAACATATATAAGTTCATAAATTTGAATTTGGTAACCAATATAAACAATTCATTTGACATTTTACAACCAAATATAAAATCATTAATGATAAGCTTCTGGCCAATAAACTTTTAAGCTTAAACCAATTGCGCCATCATTTTTGCTCACATCTATCTATCTATCACTTTTTTTCTTCTTTATTTTCGCTGCTATTTGTTATTTATTATTGTTACTGTTGTTGTTGTTGTTGTTGTTGTTGTTATTGTTGTTGTTACATTATTTTAACTAACATTTATCATCTTTCTTTTTTTTTCTTTTCCATACCTGTTGCTAAATTTATTACTTTATCACTCCCTAATACTTATACAGTTTACAACTATTACTCTTACAACTACTACTACTACTACTACTACTGTTACCACTTATTTATTGTGTATCTGTTCATCATAGATCCTTCTTTCTAGGTATATCCATAAATTTTTTTTTTTTTTTTTTTATTGCTTTTCAATGATATCACATTTGTTATTTCATTAAAAGAACAAATAAAAAAAATAGAAGAAAAGATAAAATTTTCTTATTTTTTTAATAAATTTTTCGTTTTCTTTTCTTTACAATAATATTTAATATTAAAATTAAAAAAAAAAAAAGAGAAATATTTGTAAAAAAAAGGCTTCAATTTTTCATTTTTTTTTTTTCAATTCTCTTTTTTTCATTCACTTTTAATTATCAAAATGATAATATTGATTTAGAATAAAAATTTAAACATCGAAATTTTTGTTTATTTTCTATTTGAAATGAAAAGATAAGTGTATCATTCATACATCTTCTAATTATTTTAATTTATAGTTGCTTAAATGTTGAATATATAATTTAATATTATCATAAATTTTTTTTTTCTGCATTCTTCATTAATTCAAATTTCAAAAAATATTATCAATTAATAGCAAATAAAATGATACCTTGAAAACAGTATAAACATTAAGTGATAAAAAAAAATAAACATATCACATATGTTTACTCCTTTTTTTTTTGTTTATAAACATATATTATCACAAAAATTTTGATCAAAAGCAAAAAACAAAAAAAAAAAAAAAAACAAAAACTCGAAATCAATATTCAATTAAATGATTTTAGCTTGTATTATATTAATACTATATGCATTTCTGTTAGCGGAAAATGTCATAAATTGCATATACTCATTCCTATAATAAATAATTTGTTTACAACATCATTTACAGTTCACATTTGAAATGCACCGGCAAATAAGGCAAATAACAGTACAATGTTATAAATCATATATAATTCTACAATTCACAATTGATCAATGGTTAGTAAGAAGTATCGAGTAGTAATAGCTTCCGAATTTTACTAATATCATTTTACCTCCTTTCTTCTTTTTACCTTCTTTTTTAGATTTATATAAATATAAAAATTAAATGATTAACATATTTCATATAAGATATTTCAATATTTTAAATAATACTAAATTGAAAAATTACTTATGTATAATTAATTAGTCCTCTTGTCATAATTAACTATTCATAGAAATGAAATATTATCAAAAAATCTTTGTTAAAAAATAATAATAATTCAACAAATGCATCTATCTTGATTAGATTATCTTAGCAATTACATTTATATTATGATTTTATAATTAATTTGGCTCATATAGTTATTAAATTTTTTTTTTTCTTTTAGCTTAAAATTTGAAAATTTATCTTGGCACATTAATTATTAAATCATTTAAATTTATTCATTAATGTTATCATTACATTTAATGTTATGTAAATAGATTCAACAAATGGTATCTGTAGCATTCAATAATAATTGTAAATTTGATTACAACCATATTTGAATAATAAAATCCGATTTAGGATTAGAGTATAAAATTAACACATCGTTACATTATTACTAGCAATAATCTATCAAATTAAGCTCTCCAATTCTTTCAACTATTTACTATTACACAAAATCGTTTAGTAATGATTCTTTTGAAAAAAGTAGAACAAAAAAAAAAAAATTCCGAAAAATTGCGTAATGTGTACTAGGCGGTACACAATCACAGAAGTATCGAAAAATAAACAATGATGGGAATGAGATGTGAGAGATAATCTGTGAAGATTTCCGATTACAGTCAAAAAATGTTTTTGTTTTTTTCTTATAATTGCAAAATTTCATCGATGCAATAGTTTACAAATATATTTTAGGAAAAAAGTATAACAATTTTTGATAATATTTCGTTGAAATATTGATATAATGATGGGTTTCCGGTTGTAGCACAGAATTCTTCATTTCTAAAACCAATCTTTTCTCCATTCTTTTTCTTTTTTTTTTTTTTTTTTTTATTCCAGGAGGTAAAAAAGAATGACAAATATTGGGAATGAAAACAGAAATTATAAACATAAACAATAATAAACAATCTCTTAATTTCCTTCATTTCTCAATGTTTCTCATATTTTTTATGGTGAAAATTCCTTTATTCATATTTTAAATCCAATAGAAGACTAATCAACAATATAAGAAAGAAAAAAGAATTTATATATTCTTAAAGTCCTCGCCTAGCAAAATTCAAAAACAATGTATATAGTAGTATATCATGGTCAATTTCAATTTCAGTACATATCAGTGCAGTTTGACCTTTACGATATTTTTCCAAAGTAGCGCGATCACCTGGTGTTAAATACATTTCTTCCACTTCACTAATCTAAAAAAGTTTGAACATTCATGACGTTAATACTCCTAATAATCAATAATCAACGAGTTGCAAAGATTCTGCGAAATCTTAAAAAAAGGAAATTGATAAAAGCCAAAAAGATCGACCTGTTGCTTCTTTGTTTCTTCATCGAGATTTTCGTCCATTTCAATATTTGCTACAATAGTTTCCATTTTCAAATTACGATCTATCAAAACTCTGAAAATTATATATCACTTATGAAATTTCTATTTTGTTTAGGTTCTTTTTTATTAGGAAGAAAAGATTTTAAAAAAATTAGGAACGGACGAAAGTAAGTAAAGAATAATCATGTGCTCCTTTCAATTTTGCATATTTAAAATTTAAAGAAAGAAATAATAGTTTGAAGTTAAACTAAACTAAATTATATTGATAAAAACACGCATTATTTCATTATTAATAGAAGAAGCACTCAAAGATACTTTATTTACAATAATGTTTTGAAACAATAATTTCATCATCAAACGTAAAAATGATCTACAACGAAAAAAAAAAAAGAATTTTTTTTTTGATATAACAAGCAATTATGAATAGCAATCTTAAGAAAAAGCAGAGTGTAAATCTTGATCTCGTGATTCTATAGATGGTATTCCTGACATATAACTTTCTACAAAAGCTAACTGTATAGTATTAAATCACAATTCCCTCCCTTTCTCTTCACGATATTTTGTATATTTTTTCACATAATGTAACTACTTGCTTCACAGTTGTTGTTGTAGAAAAAAAAAGAGAAAGTCCAATAAAAATTCACTCATGGAATTCATTACAACAAGTAAACAATTGAAAGCATAAGAAAAATGATATGAACTTACTTGTGCTCTTTAGTTTCATGACGCCTTCGTATAATTACATTTCTCAACACCTATAAATGTTTCATAATCTTGAAATAAGCATTCAACAACGAGCTACGAATCAGTTCATAGTTCTTACAAATACTATATTTATGACATTTAATTGTATCAAATTGACTACACTTTTTTTCTTTTTGTAAAATGAAGAGAAGCAGATTTAAGATTGCCATTTTCGAGATTTGAGTGAATACTGACAACTATGAATATGAATATTACATGTTAAGCGCTAGATTTTATTTGCTTTCAATGAATGCGAAGGAAATCTTTTAAAAAAAGACAAAAAAAAATCAACATCTGTGACTTAAAAAATATACCTTGCAAGTGAATAAATATAAATTGTGCGCCACGATATTTAAATCAACATAATAAAGATAAATCGTACGCGCTGGTGCAAAATCGTTTGTTTTGGCCACATGCTGAGAAAAATAGAACAATTCTATCAATACATTTAGTAGGACTTAAAGTATTAGAATGAAAAATCTAAATATATCAAACTTATAATAAAATAGATAGTATAATAGTATAGAAATGATAAGTATGAACAGTGATTTGTCCAACAGAAATTCTTTTTGACTTTTTCCTCTTTCAAAGCTTCATACTATAAATGATAAGCATTTATGCTTCATTAGAAATCATTTGATAAGAATAATCTGTACTATCTGTCTAATAAGTCATTAGTTCAAATATAATATAACATTTTAAAGTACATTCTTATGAAATCTTCAAATAAATAATTTCTTCAAATTAACAATTTAAAATTTTTCAAAATTAAAAAATGTCCGAAAAAAATTATGAACTGTTCCAACTAGTTTAATTAATAGACGATGAAAATTTTTAAAACAATTTTTATTTGAATACAAAAGAAAAGAAGAAATCATGACTAATACATACCTTCATTAAAACAAATCCCTTCTCCAATAACTGATAACAAAGCTTACGTGCTTCCGTCGATGATAACATAGCTAATTTTTCAACCTAAAATAATGCAAGCTTGAATACCAAATTAACAAGGATTAAATAACGAATATTATGAATCTTTCACGAACAGCTATGTTTATTGAGCAGTTCCGTTGTTGTTGTATTATGATTAACATCGAAATATTATTGCTGTTAATTTCTTTGTATAACTCTAAACATTTAGCATATGATAAGCATCAATGTACAGTCGGGAAGATGGGAAAGTGAAATCATCAAGAAATATATATATTGTATAAACAGAAGTATATATATATATATTGTAAAAAGAAGATATAGCAAATAAAATCTACAATTTTAAGTCCCAGAACTTTCTTTATGCTGCCAAAGTTTGATCAGTCATAAAACTCACATGATCTTCTTCTAGAAAACCCTTCTGCATAAGAAGTCGAAAAACGCGAACAGCTCGCACATCCAGCTTTTCTCGAATCGCTGACTCAACATGACGTTGGCAATGCATGGCTATTGCTTTCTCAAAATCTATAACAAATATTAGAGTGACATAATTTAAAAATAAATCGAAAAACAAAGATGAAAGTGGGGAAGAAATAAATTCACAAAGACCATAAAAGTTTTCCAGATCAAAACTAACACAAGCTACACACAATTAAAATAATTCCAAGCCTTAGTGATGAAGATAGGTGTCATTCACTTACCAACAACAAAAAGACCACCGGCACTGTCCCCAACTTTACGGACAATCCCACCACTTTCGCATAACAATCGTAATGCTACTTCAATATCATGTTTTTTTAAATTTAGTTCATTTGAGTTTGCACTTCGTACTACATCATGAATCTGAAAAAAGAAAAAAAGTTTCTTTCAACTATTTTAAACTTTGCTGTATTGCAAAAATTTGCAAACAGATATTCTAAAATAAAACATATGTAGAAATCAAACATATCGGAAAGATTATGTTGCTAAACAAATTAAATCAAAACCAGTAAAAGGAAAGAATAAACATAACATAAATGATCAGTGTCTTTTTTTTTTTAAAGTAGATGCTCAACGTGGTCGAAATGTAATCTACATTCAAAATGAAACACAAAAATTTTGCATAAGTCAAGAAATTTTTGCACTGTTTATGACTTACAGATATGGGGAAAGAAGCTGCAGCTGACGAATCAGCCTTCATTTCACTAATTTTCAGCAAGATTTTCAAAGTTTTGATGCAATTTTCGTGAACAGCATCAGAGGATTCATATGCGGTAATAACCATTTCATCACGTAAATATCGTTCAAAACGTATGTAATTCAAATGCCAATAAATATCACTATCCGGATCTTCTTTTTCATTGCTGAGATGTTTTCGCTTTCGAGATTTACCATTAACTGCAAATTAATTTATAGGAAATCTTCTACTTTTGCCAATAAATTCTCCAACAAATGCTCTAACCTAGTAAACACAGAAAGGTAATTTCTAGCATTTTAAACGTAAGTTAAAGCACAGTGATAGATTAAATACCTAAAACTACACTACTGTTAGTTAAAGATCAACAGCATCGTCGGAAAAGAAGAAAAAAATTACCTTCGTGACCACTATTTTAAGTTATGGTCTAAAATTAGAGCATAACTTAAAATCTGACCAACATGTCTAGCACAATTATTTACGTAGATTAACTCACGAAAGCTTACCACTGGTTTCTTGCTTCTTTGCATCCAGAATCACATCCGGCATCATAAATGGGTCCAGATGCTTCTCAAAAATAGGACATCCACAAAAATTGCTCTCAACTCTGGGATACCGCATAACAAACTGTGTTTCAGCAAGACGAGCAAAAATTGTTTTCACCTGAAAACAATGAAAAATTAAACCGAAACTGAAAAAAGAAACTAAATGTTTCATTCAAATCAAATCAAAATGAAAATAACTGTCTTTTGAAATCATTTTCTCCTCAGAAATTTGCACATGCCAATATAAATGATCTACTGCACTGTGTGAGTAAAGAATCCAAAATTCTAGATCAAATTCTAGAAATTTGGATTTCTAATACTGGAATTTTTATGTATTCCACTTTATTTGGATTCCTTGGTTTTTGAAGTTCTAAGAAGTGACGTTTGTAAATAACATTTCATAATCTTTGTACATGTCGATCTACACACGTTTAACATCCTTGCGAAAAATGATATCACAAATATATTCCGAACATCGAAATATTTATTCATTTATTTCTGATAAAGCACAGTGAATATAGAATCAGCCATAAGATGCTCATTTAACTATTTGTTTTAATCTGCAAGAATTGTGATATCAATAAAAGCATACCTCATTATTCGACACTTCTAATCTAGCAGCAACACGTCGGATACATGATGAACATGTCAGCCTTCCTTGACTAATGATTTCTTCACATATTGCTTCCGCTATTTCACCATACAACGTTTTGGCAACAAATGAACATCTAGCAGATCGTACTAGACGTAGAATATTAATAACTTGGGCGGAATAAATTATGCGCTGGCGTTCGTCCTGAGTAAATTGTAAGATTCCATGTTGATCCAAAATTACCATTGTTCGCCTTATCTGTGGTCAATTTAAATCATTTTAATTGATTGAAAGAATCTCGCTTCTCTTCAAAAAAGTTCTTGAAATTATTTGCCTAATAATCTTCAATTCTTCGATAAATCTATTTCAATTACAAAAGTTTCTACAATAAAACGCATTTATTCTAGTGACGTATTCATGAAAAAACGATATAATTTACCCATTCCTAAGAAAAACTTATAAGTGATGTTTCTGTCTTTCAACTCCTGAACAAGAACCACGGACAATCCTTTACATTCACAGAAGCCAATGCTCAGGATTTCCTTGATTTCCAGAACGTAAAGCTAGCAAAATTTAATACTTCAGAATAAATTCGCCTCACTCAAAATGAATTTTTATACGTTTAAGGCGAGTGGTATTATTAAAAGCAAAATAGTTTTTGATAATACTACTGACATTCATATCACACTAAATTATCTGTAGACGTATTGCCAGAACAATATAACTATGACCTATTAAGTAAGGCAGCAGAAAATAAACATAATACCATAACTCCAGAAGAACTAACCTCGGAAATTTTGAATTGTTTGCGTAATCTCTGGAATATAACTGGTAATGGTGCAGCTTCGCTAAGTAACACATTCCCAACAGCAGCTGCTATCGGACCAAAATGATCTTCCAGAATTTCGACACACGCATCAACTTCTATGGAGCTCATCCTGATCAAGATTTGCTACAATAGAACTGATAAGCTCTTTAAATTTTCTGAACAAAAGCATGACTAAAAGCGAGACATAATTCACTGATCTTGTTAATTGAACCAATTAAATCTCTCAAGGGAACACAACTATAACAAACTCACAAAGATATGTCATGAGGCACAGTGACTTTTTATGTAATGAAAAAGGTTATATACGCACTTTTATTGCAAGAAAATGAAATTTTAATTCTCAACACTGAAGTAATTAAAACTGTTACAGCATATAATTTACAAACTTATCAGAACGTGAAAATAGTGAAAGATGAAAAACTTTTAAGTGCTACCACTATGATGCAAGCATACACTGCCATGTGTCATACAAACATTTTTTCAGTTTTAGTACATTTTCGAGAAATCACCATAACAATTTCACATTAAACGGTTCTTTCTGGTGATGTTTAGCATATTCTGTACATCGCACTTCCCAACGACCATCAACTCGAATAAAGTAGCAATATAAACATCGAAGTTTCAGCTGCTGTCGGACCTAAAACATATTATGACTAAGTTGGGTTATTTATATGAGTTTAAAGAACAAAATGAAAGTGGATTTTAGGATGTATCTAATCAAAGTATAAATCAAAAAGTCGAACACAATTTCTTTAGATGATTAAGTCAACCAGTTTCACAAGAGTCTTATTTCGTTGATGTATTAAATACAATGTTAATTCCACTACAATTATCTAAAATAATGTATACATTTAAGCTCTTTAAGTAGCATAAAATCCTGCAGTTAAATTTCAAGCTTAAGAAAAACCTTAAAATTTGCTCGACTTTCAAACATGCCACTTTCCGGGTTCAACAAACCACGCAATATTGTTTGGCAACTTCGACATCCTGCAGCAGCGACACGACCAAGTGATAACATTCTTGCAATCCTGATAAAAAAAAAAATCAGATTTTGACTGGAACAATGATACACTGTGCATCCAGATCGACAAGTAGCTCACATATAAAACATAAAAATATGCTAAGCCAGATAAAGCTTAAAAACTAATCTAGTCAAAATCCTTTAAAGAAACATATAATATCTCTTTTATTTTAATTCGCTATAAAAAAAGAACAAGAAATAACTTACTCAATGGAAAATTGATGACTTACATACTCTCGCAAAAATGACTTACTAAAGTGAGAAATAATTATTAATTTCATTAAGTTCATTCATTTAACATTGTTTTACATCACTTTACATTAAACCTATTGATGGAAAAATTTTGCACATTTCGTTTTATTCATTCACATTACACGTCTATTTCGTGCAATCAAAATCAAAACTTAAGGTTTGAAATGGATCAAAGCTAATGATAAAGATTCCAATGAAAAAGTGAAATTATTTTTATCATATCCAAATTAAAAAAAAAAAAAAGAAAAAACTTAAAAACAGCAACAAAACTGGTGACAAAGAAAATATTAAAATCAAAAATGAAACAAAAAGATCAAAATCGACAAAAAAAAAACATCAAAATGCGATAAAATAACAAAAATTCTCCACAGCGAAGAGAAAGGAAACAGCAGAAATGACAAAACAGAGCTGAAAAAAACCTTATTAATCTTGAAGCGAAAGTTTGACTACGATTCACGTGACAAGAAATCAAAGTGGTTTAAACCAGAATCAGGTCTTGAAACGAGAACTTTCGCACCGTGTCCGGTAGGAGATACGGTAGCTGCGGTTTGTGTGTGTCGCATGAGGATGGTCTGCGAGTGTTACGTGACTTTCGTCTCTTTATGCATATCAGTTAGACGTCAACTAAGCCATTTCATAAGTGTCCACGACGTGAAGTCACTTCCAGTAACGTACAGCAATACAGTGGTTATACCGAGCAAAAGCTTTTGGTAAGTTTGAACAAATTTCTCGAGAAGTATTTTTATTTTCCGGTGACTCACTTTTGTTTTAATATTAGTTGTTACGATTAATATAGTGCAGATGGAACAGAATAAGTGTGCAGTTAAGCATGTGTTGCTCATTTTTTATGCGAAATGTTAGCGTACGTGTTCACGTTATGGTTTGCACGTTTTTATGTAATATGCTCTGGTATATATATGAGGTGTAATAGTATGCTTTACATTGGTTAGTTGCAAGAAGTGGACAGGAGATGTGTGATGGGAAAAGAGCACGTTCAAGTAACGTCAATGCAAAGAGTACGTGCAACAGGTGGTAGTTGCATGACTCGTATGAGAAGCAGTGATAGAGGGATGGAACGGAGACATTCGGTAGCGGTAATAGGAATTAATTATACCACATATGGAACACTAGCTCGTATCATCTAAGGTCAGAACTAGAGCGATATCTGATCACTTTCGAACCTCTGACTTTCGTTCTTGATCATTCTTGACAAATGCTTTGGCAGTTATGTGTCTCGCTACAGTGCAAGGATTTTAGTCCTCACATAGTAATATGAAGAATTGGGTACTGAGTAAGTGAGTGAAGGGAAGAAGACAGTAAACAGTAAAGTAGAGAAATAAGTTGGGTAATATTTGAATTGTTGAGGTTTTCATAAGTTTCAAAATTATTTATACATATTGGCTGTCGAGAGGTGTAGAGGGCATTTTTCGGGTCGGGACGCAGGTTTCATAGTGAATTCCTGTGGAGGGAAAAGATGAAGCTGGAACATTTTAACAAGGAAAGCAGGAGATTGATGAATTCTAATTACTCGTGGTTCACGTGCTGTACATGTGACGTTAAACAGAACGTGTTGAGTGATTCAATTGGCACCTGTCTTACTATTTACCGTAAGGACGTTCGTAATGCAAGGATAGATTACCCCGAATTAAAGCTTATTGCAGAGTTCCATTCCTAAAAACGACATTCATTGTGAATAATAATATTTTTGTTGCAGTTGAGTTGTTGTGTTTAAATTACATTTGGATCACACTTATAGCTTATTTTTAGCGGAGTAATGGAGAGCGTTATGATTCATGAAAGAACGGGTGCTACTTTCATCTTAAATCATTTGTCAGATATGATAGAAAGGGGTTTGTGTGATTGTTTGAAATAAAAGAATTGATCCTACTATTTTTTTCTTTTTTTTTTTTGAATTTGTTGTCTTTTAGTTTTTACTGTTGAAAATCATGCATTTTATATTAGCTGCAACAATGAATGTAAAATATGACCATTAGATTATCAGTACTATCGAAAAAATCAATAGTGCAGTGGGGACTATGGATAGAACATATATGTTGATAGAATCATCGGTTTACGTTATTTTTTCATTTTTATATTAAATCTTCATGAAAGATTTTAAAAGCTTTCTGGAGTGTTCTGAATATTCGAGAATGTAGATTTATATATATGTTGGAATTGTAATTTTTTTTAGACTTATTTGGGTGTAATATCATACTATACGGATCACTTGTGCTGGTTGCTGTTGTTACCAATCATTTATCAATAATCATTTATTTGGAGTGAAAAACTGGACCTTAACCAACATCTCTGATGTATTTTTGTTGCTGATTCGCAATTTTCTTTTTGGAGTTCATAGCAATTGAATCATAGCGACAAATTGGATTTTTATACACATTATCAAGCTATCTAACGAATCAATAGGTATGCAGATATTTTTCTTTTTGCAGAGTAAATACAATGGACTTTTACGGAGTGAAATAGAATATATCATATTTTGGAATTGTTGTGAAATGGTGAGGTAAACCTAGGAGAGTGATTTGGAAGCGAGGGTGGATATGTGTCAAATATTGAGAAGGAAGAAGGATTATTGTCTTAGATTTAAAAAAGCTATAATAAATGATATTAATGTCGTAGTGTAAAATCATGCAAACCCTATGTCATACTTGTGTTTATTTCCATTTCTACTCTAGTTTCTACGTTCGGGTAATCTTCACATTTACTTTTGTTTTTGATTTTCGATACTTTATTTCCACATTGCTACTGTTTTGTAGCTAAGACATACCTTAAATATTTCTGTCAGGCAACTGATATATATTGAAGTAAGAATATGCGCAAACATATGTATGAATTTACAGATGGGTGACGATTTGTCACAGTTTTTTGCTAAGAAATCTGCTAAAGTGAAAGATAAGAAGAAAAAAGTAAAGCTGAGTGTCGATGAAGTCGGTCAGGTTCTAGAAAGAAAAGCGAGACGGCAGGTCAGTTACTGAGTTATCTGGTTTTGTTACATACATTGAGGTCTTTCTTTTTTGTTAAAGAATTTAAAGTTTTTACCATATTTTAAAAAGTGTAGGCAGGATAAGAATCATAAAGAATTTTCTTAGTGTTTTCCTGGGAACAATAATCAAATGGGAATAGTGAAATATATGTCTACACACAGTTATTGTTAGGAAGAACGCGATCGTGAAGATGAGGAAGAAGAACGACGTGCCCAAGATGATGCTTCTTTTTTCGATAAACGTCCAGAAGATTCTGAATGGCTTGAATATAAAGATACAAATAAGTTCGTTCTTGTTATGTTATTTTATTCACATGTTGAATTTCTGACGTATGTAATGCATTTAGAAGTAGTACACAGGTTGAATTTAACTTGTCTTTTAGTATTTCTCATTTCGTTTATTGAACTTCCATTGTATCTTTTTATAGAGAAATTGCTCTTGAAGAACTCGGAATTCGAGACATGAATCTAACTGAGCAAACTGAAGAAGCCATGGAAGACGAAAAAGCAGCTACCAATGAAGCCCCGAAAACGTGGAGTACTGCAGAGGTTTGTTGATTTTCGAATAGTACTGTTACATAAGGGATTTTCATTTTATTGGTAATTTTACTATATATAAAACATGTTTCAGAATGATCGAAAAGAAGTGTGACTGTATGATTTGAACATGTAGTTAAATAAGTGGAACTAACTCTGTTTTGATGATTACTGTGGCAATTCGAGGCTCATTAATGTCTTTATTCAGTACAAAGAGATATAATGAATACGTAGTAATATGGGAGTATATCGGATTACGAGAAAATTGCTGTTTTTCTTTTTTGCAGAAAAAGGAATCTGAGGAAATTCTATCAGTGCCTAAAAAACAGACAACAGCTGTTTGGAAACCGCGTTGTTTGATGCAAAATATTACCAGAGCGAGTGCAGTGCCAAATATTAACGATCAAGATTTATTCCCAACTTTTGAAGCTGCAGAAAAAATCGAAAAGCTAAAGAAGGATGATGAAAAGAGGAGGTTACTTTTCTGCTGTTACTATTTCTTTGCACGAGCCGGAAGGATCTTTTAGGCGATCTGTTTGCTTGATTTATTTCCACGGTAGTTAGAAATTTACTTTTTTGTTTGATTATAGACGAAATGATGGATTTACAACAGTTTCATTTGATAGAGATTCATCAGGCCCTTGGACAAATAAAGGAACTAGCAATGCTTGGCAACATGCTAGTGGTGGTGGTATGTCATCATCGAATGCTGATCGTACCGCGTTGCTTTCAACAGTTAGACAAGTGAGTAACTGTTTATTATCTTTAATTCTTTCTTGTGAAATATAAAAGAAATATGGTTTGAGTAAATGTTGCAAATATTGTCAAAATTTGTAGGTAACATCAAGTGGGACACCAAATCCAGTACCTCCGTCACATCCACTTCAAACGAATAACTCAAATACTTATATTACTCCAATACGACGACGCTTCCAGGGGAATTTTACCAAAAAAATGTCATGAAAGTAAATGTTATTAGTAGTGGACAATTTTGTTGACTATGAATTTTTTCTGTAACTTTTTTCTGCGTTTAGCGAGACATTTGAACTTTAATTTCAAAGCTTGTAACGATTTCTTATTAGAAGCGGAACTGAGGACGTTTAGTGTTGTCTTTGATGCCCAGAATTGTTTTATTCTTCACATTTGGCTTTTCTTGAACTATTTATAATGATTTCTTTGGACCCATATATATTTGTTGGTGTTTAGTCCGAGTATTTCCCATCAGCAGTTGTGCTCTTTTCTTTGTTACGAGGTATTCGTGTTGTTTTCTCCTATGCTTTTATGTAAGCTTCTGTGTATTTTTTTCTTGTGTTTCATGGAATTTTAACTGTAGCTTTGTCTATATCTAGTTTATATACTTTTTTTTAATAACAGCTTAGTTTTTGAAGAATTTCGAATTGCTGCTGATAGTTCTTATTTCTTTTCTTTTTCTTTTTTTAAGATTTTCCTCCAAGTTTCTGGAAAAGCTATTAGTAATATATCAAAGGTTGCTTAATCGTTTAATATATAAGTAAGTGTTTGGAACTAGTTGTTGGTTGCTCGGTTACATGTTCAGCGCAATACATATATGGGCTCTGGAGAATATATCATTAGACGTCGACAGTATCGTTGTTATGTAGTAGAAATATGAAATGTTCCAGGTTTTATATCATTTGATTGGGATTTTAAAAAATTGAAAGGATGCTTTGAATTTCTTTGTGGTAAACTCGTATATATGGGCAACTTTCTTAACAGTTTATTCATTACAAATTTTAATTTTTCTTGCAGAAATGTTTTACTGTGTATTGGGTTTTTCTTTCGAGGAAATGAAAACAGGATTTTTTATACTGTCGCACATTTTGCTTATTTTGTTCTTTCGCCTTTTCGCAAATGATCATTTTACCTTAAGCAGAATCTACTTTTATGCTAAGCACGTGAAGTAGGAGGTCTTATTGTTATCTCCTGTTCTTTATCTAATTGTCGGATAGATTTTTCTTGAAAAATGATATTTCCATTGTGTTGCCTTCATTGCATTACAGCGGATTTATAGAAGTCATAATGCTTTGTCATTCTGTTCCTTTTTGCATTCATTAAAGGTCATGAAAACAATGATATTGCAAATGTGGTGAAATGACTGAGAGATAAAATGAAGCTCAGGAATGTTTAGATTTAATTCTTTGGATACTGAGGAGGTTAAATTTCGTATGCAGAGACGGAAGCGAAGAGAAGTGTTTTGTTCTGTTACTGGATAAGGTCTTATTTGAGTGGTAACTTTTTCTGTGATAGTTGCACTTTATTTATGCAGAATGACGTGGCGATAGGATGGTATACGTGTAAATCTCTCGTTACTCGTTGCTCACGGGAATGTTCGGACGCGTACATGTCGTTCGAGGTTTTCTCGATGTTTATCTTTCATCCGTTATACCTTCAGTTCGACCGTATTCACGTATCGCTGCACCACTGACGTGAGTTTCGTTCATCTATGGTGACTTTCATCGGCTGCAGTTGATAAGCTCTAATTTGAGATTGAAGCTATTGTGATCTCTTATGGTGGAATAAGTAGTGTTCGGATTTTCAAAGGAAGAGAGACGAGTGTTAGAAATAGTAAATATTCTCTTATGATATGTGGATATGTTTGAGTATGCGTATTACGTAACCAATTATAGAAAATGAATAATTGATTTCATTTTGAAGCATATTTCTAGATCACTTCTGTAGTCCTAAATTTTTTAGATATTTAAAATTTAGGCCATCTTTTAAACAAGATTCGATCGTTGAATTAGATCGATTATTCCCGCGTATTGAGTTGGAGTATAGAGGTCATGACAAGGCAGTGTTGAAGTCGTATACCACATTTCTGAAGGTAAAGTTATTTTAAAATGAACTATTTCAACTGAATGCAACTATTTCTACTTAGTGAAAACCATATATATATATATGTGATGAACGATAAGTTTGTTAGAACAAAATTGTGATTTTATGAAAATCTCTTTTTTAGGCCGTTTGCAAACACCTGGAACTTGAGATAGTTTCTGTAAAAGTATTTCCGTACGTATGGTGGATCCAAAATGCTCTCAGAGCTAAATTTGCAAAAAAGAAGAATCAAATTCATTATGAGACAAGAACGCATATTCGTCAACTTACAATTCGACATGTTACCGGTAGTACAGCGAGTACATTCCTGGAATACATTCAGCGAAATATACCGGAAGGAGTTGCAATGAAAGTCACTTATGATGAAATTGCAGTGTTACCGGAAACCATTCGGAGTAAAATGAAGCTAATGCAATCGAATGATGAAAATGTTTCGATAGCAACTCCAACTATGACTGAGGAAGAGAAAATTGCTGAAGCGTTGGTTAACGAGAACAACAAGCTTTCAGCTAGTAAAGTAACTTCTAAAAAGAGCTTTTCATCAAATAGTATTTAAATTCTTCCTTAAAATGCAGGATGAAGTGAGTGCTGTTGATCGAGAGAAAAAACTTTCGGATAAAATGTTTTTGTTTTATCGAGTGGACATTCAGGTTATTTCAGTCAACCTTCGGCACAGTTAAGGAATTCTTTTAATATGTTTGCTTCTGCAACAATTTTTTAATTAGAAAAGAAACTAGTTGTAGAAAACTTCATCTTCATACCAGACTTCACACTGTTGATTGAAAAAACCGATATTTTAATTGTATTGTTTCACCTTTGAAATTATTTTCGATTCCTTAGCTACGGCTTTGCACATCGTCACACTTACTGGTAATCTTTTCATATTTTTCAATATTGTGTTTAATTTGTCTATATAATTCTCTTCGAAATTTTGATGTAGGAAATATTTACGATGTTTACAATAAGTTCGTTTCATGCTCTTTCAACTGTTCGTTGTTTTATTTGAAGTATAAATTACAGACACATATAGAATTGTGAATTTTTCACAATGAACTACATGTAGTTCATAAATCGTCCAAACATTGGCAGTTTTCTCTGAAAAAGGATTTTATTAATATTAAATGTGTAAACTTTTTGCTCGAATATATTTACGTCAGTATTATGCGCTATTCACATCAAATGGTTAATGAGCGCTGTTTCAGACTTATTAGTAACTTAAAGTGAAATTTCAGACTGATCTGAAATAGATTCTTAACTTTTGAATATTAAGCGTAAGATCTAGGAAATGATAGACTGGTTAATTATATGCTTATAAATGCAACTTAGAGCTAGTCACACTTGAGTGTGAGTTTTTTTTTCCCATTATTTCTAATAAATTTGCATGAAATTGTATTTTTTCGTAGGCAAATGCAAATTATGCACATTTTTGGTCCTTAAGATTAATTTGAAATCTGTATATTGCCCTTTTTGGAATATGTCGCAGAGTAGCTCATCAGAAATTTATTAATTCGGACTTTTCGTTTCTCAAAATTTATCACCGCGAAATTCGGATTTTTCTCAGAAAAAAAAAAAAAATCCTAGCCTGAAGTTTCATAAATTCTAACCCTTGAATATATGGCCGATTGTGAGGACCATTAGAATTGTATGTTTCCAAGTAATTACTAGAACTTTGAAGTAAATTTGGTGTCCATTTGGGTAACATATATATCCATGCTGTTACGGTGGTACCATTATGATCCATTTCAACCTGATATTTATTCCATTGGAATTGTCACATATGAAGAGAAATTAATATGATATATTAAATTGGATGACGAATGAAACCTGTTGTGGTTGTCTTCGGTAGAAAGTTGGATGTCCTTCGAATTCATCAAGTACCTCTAGTTTTTGCTCATCAACTTCATATAATTGGAACTGTCACATATGAAGAGAAATTAATATGATATATTAAATTGGATGACGAATGAAACCTGTTGTGGTTGTCTTCGGTAGAAAGTTGGATGTCCTTCGAATTCATCAAGTACCTCTAGTTTTTGCTCATCAGCTTCATATAATTGGAACTGTCACATATGAAGAGAAATTAATATGATATATTAAATTGGATGACGAATGAAACCTGTTGTGGTTGTCTTCGGTAGAAAGTTGGATGTCCTTCGAATTCATCAAGTACCTCTAGTTTTTGCTCATCAACTTCATATAATTCGCCACTTATACGCTACAAGACATTTTTTTTTTTCTTTTTTTGTGATTTGTATTAGATAATCCTTAGAAATTAAATTAAATGGAAGCAGGAATGGAATGTCAGAAGTAAAAACTAGGAAATATTGACTGATATGAAAGGTAAAAATTATTCATTTCTATTATATAGTTTTAGCTATATCAATACAAAGCTTTCTGTATTGTTTAATTGTAAGATTTTAATTCTCTAGCAAAATTTCACTTCCCAGACCTGCTTCGATTTAATTTAATTTAATTTGAATTTCCTCTATTCAGAGAATAATAACTGAATGCATGAAACTTACATTTCCAATTCCAGGTTTGTCCAAACAAAAAGGTATATTGTATTCAGAAGCAATAATCAGAGGATATGCATTCACTGTTTTACCGGTTCCTATGAATCTTTGCATTCCGGTTACCAAATCTGCCATAATTGATGCATTTGGTTCACCACGTTTCAGTGTTCCATAAACAAATACCAAAACTCTTCGAGCCATCAATGCTTTTGTATTATCTTTTCATCCTAAATTTACAAGTAATGAAATAGTCTCGAGGTATTCTTTTTCAATAGTTAAACAAAAAATTAAACTTTAATTGTATGAATTATCATTCTGATAACTTGTGAAATGAATATGAGAAAAAAAAAGAAACGATTGACGTAATATATGATTTTATATTTCTCTTCTCTCTTTTTTCTCGGACGAGAAATTAATTTAGAAATTGATCCCGAATCTCGAAATCAATCAATCTGAAATGATATCTTTTAGGTGCTTATTGAGGTGAAGAAAATTATATTTAAATTAAAACTAGGTAAATTCTAAATGCTGAGTGTCGGGTCTCTATCGATCATACATTTAGCAATCATTATGGATGGGTAAACAGTAGATGGGCAAATAATCAAGAAAGGGTAAAAATTGATGATGATTAAGTTAGTGAAGCTGTATATGATGTTACTGCTAAGTATTGTATAGACTCTAGCTAATTTAACTACTCTATTTAACTTTCTAAATATTTTCTATGGAAAAATTTAATTAATTGGACCTAAAGAAAAAGAAAGAAAGAAACTATCTATTTTACTTTATTCTAACTGACATTAAATTGAATTTTATTAGTATAAATTTAAGTGTAATTACCTGAAAAAAAAAGTATTTAAACAGACTGAAAAAAAAAAAAAGAAAAGAAACCAGAAGAAATGATACAAAAGGACGATGATTTTGATATTTTCTTTAAGAAAAAATGCAAGAAATATGATTTTTACAACAAAAAAAAAAGTACAAATCATTACATTGTTTGAGTAATTCACTAAAATATTAAGTTTATCAATTCAACTGATAATAAATAGTGATAACGAATGAATGAATGAATGAATGAATGAATGAATGAATGATACATTTTCTTATATATATAATTGATTTCGTAAACAATAATAATAAAATAAAAGAGAGATTCAGGAAAGTAAAGAAAAAGAAGAAAAGGTAAAAATGATAACTTTTAAAAGGAATTAAGGTGTGGTAGCAGAGAGAGGGAGAGAGAAAGGGAAGGGAGGAGGAGAGAGGGAGGGAGAGAAAGGGAAGAGGAATGGAAATAAATCACATTGTGTGAGACAAACGATGAGAGAGGAAATGTTTTTTTTTTTTTTTCTCTTTTCTTTTCAGTGGTTGTCAATTTGAGGTCAAAGGTTGGTCAATTGTCCATCGTGCATGGTGTCATATTATTGAAATAGGGTTAGTTTGACCTTTTATCATCTATTCTTCCGGTATTTCTCGTTTCTTTTAAATTTTTGTTTTCTTATCATTTTCTTTTCATGTATTGATTTTTTTTTTTTTTTTTCACGTAGAAAGAAAAAAAAATTGCTTTAGAAAACTGTAAGTTTGAAATTCCATTCAATTCACTGAACGACTATAAAAATACTATGATTTTAATTATAATTATCAAAAATTTTAATTGTGAACAGAATTTGAAAATTTTGATAATCAAAAAATAAATTATAGATATAATTATAAAGTGGAAAATGATTAGATTTAGTCTCTTTTATCCTTTTTTCTTTTTTTTTTTTTTTTTTTTTTTTTGAATTTTAATGGAAATGTTTTAATGACTGTTTAAAATAAGCAACTAAGTGAAATTTTCATCCATTAACTTTATTAATTCATCAAATATTAGAAAGTATTGAGATATTTCAGATTGTTTTAGCTCTGCAAACTATGCTATCGTATTGGAATTATACGATATGAATGAACAGTTTATTGTTTATCCATTTATTTATTTCTTTCTCTCTTTTGTTTATTATTTAATTTAATATTAACTAAACTTTTTACATCTTTTATTGTAGAACTTTGTTTAATTTATATAAAAGAATAAAAGAAATAATATATATGCGAAGATTTCGTTTCATGGTTTATGTGAAATAATCATGCATATTTTATGAATATGTAAACTCAAGAAATACATATATATCTTTGTTCCTTTAATTCGTGTTGTTTTTTAATACATGAACATAATTTATATGTTTGTTAGGAATACTTCAACTAATTATGATATAAATTCCTTACCTATTTTAGTATATAAAATATATTAATTTATTAATTTCATTCCTTTGTTGTGAATATTTCACTTAACCACTTTTTATTATCGAATATGTACATGAAGGTTTAACGATAAAGCTAAAGTATCAATAATTAGGAAATTAGTAATTATTAATAATTAAATCACACAATTATTTGACGTAGTGGTAAAATATTCTATTTACAGATATGAGTAATGATCCAGGTGAATGTTCGCCATCTCAGATGAAACATTCATCATCTCAGGTGAGACGTCCATTACCTGAGATGAAGTCCGAAATTATTGCGCAACAAATCTTCAAAAAACTACTAACTAAACGTTCCTTTCAAAAGTATCTTATTGATAGTACGGTGAAAGAAATACTAAATGATGTTAGATCAACTGATACTACTACTTACGGACAACAATTAATCATTCAAAACTTGGGATTTGAATCACCAACAAGTTGTCGACGTGTGATTATCTATGAAAATGTCGATTTATTGATATGCCACTTGAAGCTTATCGTGGAATCGTTCATCAAAAGCTGTAAGTAATTACTATTAAGATATCATTGATAATAGTAATTATTGGCAGGTATGATTGAAGCATGAAAAGTTAATATATAATGAAACATCGTTTGCGATTGTTTGTTCGTTGGTATAAAATTACAAGATTAAGAAATTATAGGATTAAGAAATTATAGGAATGAAAAAGTACTATGATTCATAACTACTGTGTTTTATCATGGCCATTTGTTGTTCATAAAAATAGTTTTGAACAAATAAATTATTAAAAATTAAGCAAGGAAATAAACGCGTGAAACATATAACTATAAAAAAGACAGCGCATATAATTATGAATCATGTTTTAGCAAATCTTGCATTCTGTGATATTGGTGCTAATATAAATCGTGATGCTGCTGCATTATTTTCTGTTCGATTACAACTGGAAAAATTTTTAAATTCTGATCACTTCCAGCTGCTACGTTTCGAACAATTTATTAGACGTCTTTATACATTGTTGCGTTGTTTTGCTGCCAGAATTTCAACGTTAGTTATTATTATGGGATTTTATTTTTTTTATTTGGCATTACGTTAGTTTGTATTTTCATTTTTTTTTTTTATTTACTGTTGCAGTATTTTCATCTTTAAACTTTTAATAAAAACTAGGATACTAACCATTAATTATCATTTTTACATTAGAATTATCAATAATGACCGATAATGCTACATAGAACGAAGCGGTTTCAATGAATTGCAAAATATAGATATAGAATGAAAAAATTCTAGTTTTTCTCAGCACAAAGTACGATTGATAGTGACATTGGCAATAAATGATAATAATGATGATAGTGGAATAAGCGTCAAAAAAAAAAACTCCCATAATAATTGATTAAACCAAATCAGTTAATTGGAATTTTTCGTGAAATTCGAGTTTTGGAAATGTTTATTTTTAGTCCATTTCAAATAGCCAATTGTGCATTCTTTGCTAGCTGCCTGTGCGATATGTTGTATCGTCTTGAAGAATTTTGCTCTATACATGAAAAGAATTTCACGTCAAAATTTGAACAGCTTCGAAAAGCCATCGATGTCTTTCATAACGTGATCGTGCGACGTTTAAATGAGGTTTTTGTTTGCTTTGATACATTTAGTAGTATTATTTAATAATGTAGTTTATTTTTGAATAACCACCAGAGAGAATATATATTATTATTATTGATCATTTAAATTAACATTAATTGCCTCATTAAATTTCCGGAATCTTAAAGATTACGACAGGAAACACTTACAGAAGAAGAAATCAAAAAGAAATAAATATAATATTTTAAGTCTATAGCAAATTTTGCCTATTTTCATTATATAGTTTTGATACTTTATACGTTAGTCACTGTTTGCAGATGATCACAGGAAGAATCAAAGAGGAATATAAAACAATTAAAGTAGTGAAGCGAAAATCTAGTGAAATTAGTCCTTTACGACGCACTCCACGTAGACCTAAATCTGCGGCAACCTTTCGTGAAGTTCAGCAAACATTACATCGTAGCCCGGGATATTTACTACCTCATGATCTTCAGGTAAGTTATTAAAATGAAACTTGCACAATATAAAAAAGATTATCTGAAAAGTCATACCTTAATTTTTCTATCAAAATATTTCTGTCCTTTGCATTAAAAGAGTTTCCGTTTATATTTATTACTTATGGAATATCTATATTATATAATTTTATCAACGTTTGTACTATGACACAATTGATTAGATTCAATATTTTTCCAGGAAAAACGTCGATTAATGCAATCACGTCGAACCACAGCGTCATTTTCACCTTCAAAACAGAGATTCCCAAAAATCAGAGATACATCAGAAAAAATTCAACAAGAAACAGTTTATCGGTGCATTATTTTTTTAATTTCTCTTCCTGTCTTATGCTACAAATCATATTTCAGGATAGAAGTTTGGTAGTGGAACCACTTTACTCAATCAAATCAATGAAAATAGATTAAGTTGAAATAAAATAGTGTATTGTAAGGAGTAATATATATGTATTATAAGAATGAGCTTAAATTTAACATGAAAGTTAGAAAGAAAAAAAAAAAAAAAAAACGAATGGCATTGAGTCTTCTTCTGTTAATACTAGGTAACATTAATTTGCTTTATCTTTTAGATATTACGAACGTAATTTTTTGCGAGCTTAAATTTTACATGAAATCCAGAAAATATTACTGGGGAAAGTTTTCCCTACTTCTTATTGTTCTTAATACAACCTTATTACATCTTTATTATTTCAACTTCGGTACTTTGAGTTCAGTTTTTATTAATTCATTTTCTTTTCTAGGTTAGCTCATGAAATAACCAAAGAGATGGTAAATGGTTTGGCAGCACGTGTGGATGATGTAGCAGTAATATCCAAATGTTAAATGCTCATTGTATTTTTTACTAAATCACTTCTTTTGGAAATTGAATGAGAATGATACTCCTGTCTTGATATTTTGCATAAAATGCTTCTTCATTTATTTGTATTTCACTGAAACTAATAGCAATTAGAGCAGAGAAAAAATTATATTAGAAAATTTTCTGAAATTTTTGTTAAATTATTAACATTATAAATGTCACTAATTGAATGTTATAGCGAATTTCCATAATTTTCATCTTTTTTTTTTATAACAATGGTAGAATATTTTGTATACATGTATATATTTTATATGATAAAATTTTTCATAGAATAATATTGTATTTATTACATCAAAAGAAGCAATCATTTGGAACAAAAATTGTTTCAGTTTTGAATCATAATATATACATATTGTTAAAACTGGTAAACAAAATGCGAGAAATTTTTATAGGAATAGTAGAAATAGTTCATTTTCTAGTGTAATTTTTTCTTTTCTTTTATGAAAAAAAAAAAAAAAAATTACCTTTTTTTCCTCTCATCGCGAAATAATACTTTTGTTTTATATTTATAAATTTTTTTTTTTTTCACCAAAAATCGATAATGTCTTAAATATTTTGGGGCGAATGAAACATCACCGAATATTATTGTGACATATTTAATGATAATAATGATAATGATAATAATAGTGATTATATTTAAGCATCAAATAAAATTAAAAATTTTGAATAAAAAAAAGAAATAAAAAGTGCGAAGGATTATTCAGAGTAATCATGGAAATTATTTTTGTTTACATTTCTTTAATAATAGCATTTTCAATACGGAATATTAGATTACAAACTCTCTCCCTCTCTCTCTCTCTCTCTCCCTCTCTCTCTCTCATTTATCTACCAGTATTTATTAGAAGTTCATAGGTCAAAAAAAGAAGAAAGAAAGTATAATACTTTAGATAAGAATAATTTTCTGTAGAATAAATCAGTAAGAATCCATTTAGTATTGGAAGAAATAATAAATGCATTAGATATTTACTGAATAAACAAAAATTGAAAATGTGCTGGTCTGCTCTGGTATGTCTCGGGAAAGTGAACCCACTGAGTATGTCTGGTGATCTCATCAAAATAATCTTATCTTATCCTCTCTTATCGTACAGCATAACTGTACGGCATCTATAAGTTACTCTCGAATTCGCTTCAACCCGAGATGACCGCATTTGACCGCGATTTTTTCATTTTTCTTTTCTAATTTTTTTCAAAGCATCTAAATATTGTATGTATGAATGAAAAAAATTTTTTCAAATTAAATTAATTAATTGATAAAAAATTTTTTCAAATAGTTTTAATTTAATTGAAAAAAAAAAAAAAAAAACGGAAGTGTGGTCGAATTCGGCAGCCTTTGATGCATCGTATTTAGAAGATATTTGTCAAATTGATAAGAATAAGTGGAATACCAAAATTGAAATCATTGAATTTATGAAATATCATACGATGCATGCTAAAGACAGACAAGCATATCTGTTATCATATCAGTAATCAGTGATATCACAACTGTTATCTATCACATTTAATACTGATTGGACTTTAACATTGTATTTCTGTCTTTTTTTTGTATTTATATTGTTGATTATTGATAATTTAAGTTATCTTATCATTTAACAATATGAACAATTAAAATTTTTTGATTTAAAAAAATTTTTTAAAGATTTAAAAAAAAATTAAATAGAAAAAATATTACTTCTTATAACTACAACCAGAAATATAAATTGCAATTAATTTATGAAAAAAAAAAGATGATTAATTTAAAAAAGTATTATATGACTGAATGAATCACTTGCTATGAAATTATAATTAAATTTTAAATTTTAAATAATTATTTGAATAATAATTTATTAGGAATAATTTTTAGGATTTAAAGTTTCATTTTTACAAAATGTTTTTTTTTTCTTTATTTTAAAGCATTTCATTACTTGACAATTAACTTTTCAAAAATTTATCAAATTAATATAATACTTTTGTAATCAAATTATATTATTTATCCTAAAAATGTCATTAAAAGTTAGTGTTAGATGTGAAAAGAAAAAAATTGCTAGCAATAATTAAATTAATTAAATAATTAATTAATTAATCGCTACTTCATCAAATTCACTTTGCAGTTACAAATTAAATTTTATAATGCTTTCACAGCAGACATCAAAAAAAAAAAATAAATAAATTAGAATGAAAAAATTTTATTTTTCAAACATTTAAATTAAACTTTTAGCACTAACAGTTGTGCATTTGCAAATTAATTAATAGCAATTTTACTATAATTTTTGATTTTCATTTCAAAAAAAAAGAAAAAAAAAAAAACGAAAAGAACATAAAAGAGAAAATAAATTATAAAGAATTTGAATGAAATATAAGAAAAGTTAAAGAATCAAAAAAAAAAATGTTTTCATTTTTTAAAATCTTTTATGTATACAATTGACTATCAAATAAAATTTAGAAATAATATAATTGCATGCATGCATGCATGCATGCATGTTTGCATATTATTAGCATGCATGCTATACGAGTAAATTTTATAATAGAAAGAATAAAATGAAATTTTAAATATTGCATAATACTAAATTATTTAGCTAAAATTTATGGTACAAAAATTGTATCATCACGTTTTCGTGTTAATTCTCGTAATCGATAACTGATAAAACATGATTGACCTTGATCACCGATTACAGATGCTTTTTGAATAAGACTTGGATTTGTTTGCCATTCGAATGGTGCATTATAATTTAGCTTTAAAATAAATAAATAAATAAAAAGAAAAGAAATTCTGATATACTAAGAATAAATTTAATCTAAAATTTCAATTAAAAATTAGATTTATATTTATTAAGAATGCATTCAAAAAAAAAAAAAACATAATACTAAATCGTATGAAAAACAAAAAATACTCAAATTTTTACTTTAATAACTTAATTTCAGCGCAATTTAAATTTTAAAATTAAGAAATAAATAATCAATATGAATTATTGCGTTGAATTAAATATTTTAAAATTAAATGATAATTATTTTTTTTTTTTTTTATATTCATCATTTTTGAATGTTTGTTAGTTTTTTTTTTCCATTTTCATTAAACTTAAAATTATCATTTGGAAATTAATTTATTAAAATAAATGTTTGAGTAGAAATTGAATAATTAAGAAAAGAAATTTTCCGGGTAATTTAAATTTTGATGTGTCATAAATTATTATTATTTTCAATTTTAATGTTTCTTTTAATATTTTAAGTTTTTTTTTTTAATTATTTCAATTATTGAAAGTGTAGAATTCAAAGAATTTGTTTGTTTGTTTGTTTGTTTGTTTTTTTTTTTCACAATTTAATAATTGAAAATGCTTACTTTTAATCTGATAAAAATATTATTAATCAATTTAGAAAATTAAAAATCAATTTAGAATATTAGAAAATTAGAAAATGCTTACTTTTAATCTGACAAAAATATTTTTGATCAATTTACGGAAAGTCCGGTAATCCGGTCGTTCGAAATATCTGCAAAAATTGTAAACTTGAAATATTTTCATTTATAAATAAGTGAAAAACAAAATTGTATGTTTTTTCTTAGATCAAAAAAAACAAAAATATTTTTTTTTTGATTTTAATTAAATCATTAAATTTATTTTATTTATCTGACTTTATATTTGATCTATATTTATTGATCGATTAATTAATGGAATATTTTTTAATAATGCAAATTTATTACTATAAAAAATTCATTCCAAAATACACTAACAAAATTTTGTTAAATTAAATATAATTTAATTATTAGCAAAATAATTTGTAAAATTAATTTTTTTAATTTTTTTTTTCCAATTTTCTTTCTCTAAAAAAAAAAAAAAAAATTGAATTTTATATTAAAATAATTACTTTATATTATCAATCATTTCTAATATTTTATCAAATTCTTCTGGTACTCCCTTAAGTAATTCATATCGTCCATTAAATCTCGCATAACGTTTCCATTCGCCAATTAATAAATAATCTTCTCGAACATCTGCATTTGCCCATGGAAGTGGACCTAAATAATTTTTTGAGTTATTGATTTTAAATTATTGAATTTTTTTTAAAAATAATTTTTTGAATTATTGATTTTAAATTATTGATAAAATTATGAAATTATGAATTTAAAAAATTATTGATTTTTTATAATCTTTAATCTTAATTGTATAAGTTTTATCGTTACTTAAAATTTATATGAAAAAAAAAAAAAAAAAAAAAGTGTACTATTTTAAAATGATAATACTAATAATCGAAATAACGCCAATATTATTCTTTCAGAAAATTATTTATTATTTTTTAAAATGTTGTTTAAGAAATTAAATTGTAAAAATTTCATATAATATATGCATTACTTATATGAAATGAATTACGTAGAAAGATAAGTAATAAAATTTTGAAAAAAAGGATATATTTTTATACTTAGCGTTACTTTTAAGAAATTTATTTAGAATTCGCATATGGATGAACTTATATAATTGTTAGATTTTATATTAGTTATTACTATTTTTTATAATTATTAGATTTAATGTTAATTATTATTACTATAATTATTATATTTATAATAGTTATTATTAATTTTTTATTTATTAGATTTTGTGTTAGTTATTATTAATTTTTTATTTATTAGATTTTATATTAATTATTATTACTATAGTTATTATACTTCATATTAGTTATTATTAATTTTTTTATTTATTAGATTTTGTGTTAGTTACTATTAATTTTTATAATTATTATATGTTATATTAGTTATTATTACTTTTTATAATTATTATATTTTATATTAGTTATTACTAATTTTCACAATTATTATATTTTATATTAGTTATTATTAATTTTTATAATTATTATATATTATAATGGTTATTATTACTTTTCGTAATTATCAGATTTTATATTACACAAAGATTACTGATTAATTATATTGATAATATATGTATACTTTAAATATAATTCTGTTAGAAAAAAAAAAAGTGACTGACACGTACAATTTGTTATTGTTTACGTAAGTGAAAAATAAAAAAAAATAAACAATACGTGAAAATTAGGTATACTTTTACCTTTAATAAACTCACAAACCATATAAAACCATGATTCAATATCATCTTTTCGGCACTGATCTTTAAATGCATGCGCTGCTAACGATGAGTAATAAATTGATCCAATAAGTGCTGCTGAACTACGTGGCTGATAAAATTTACCACTTTTATCTCTTAAATTATACTTAATAAACTAATCAATAATTTAATTCTTAATTTTACATAATTAATTTTAAAGTTAAATTTTACAAAAATATTCTTTGTTATATTTTTTTTTTCCTTTTTTTGTTTCTTTTTCAAATTTATTTTAATTTAATATAATATTAGAATTCATTTAACATAATTCAAAATAATTCATACATTTTTTTTTTGCATTTAAATTAGAGCAATATTTTTATGGATGCAAAATGCATATAATATAACAATTAATATATTTTTAATGAATTTTTAACAATTAATATATATATTTTTTAATGTTATAATTAATATATTTTAATTTTAAATAATCAAATGTAAGTGATGAAACCAATGATAATTAATCATATTTACCTGAATAATTAATCATAATTACCTGAATCGTCTAGCAAATCCAAAATCAAGAATGTAAACAGTTTGATTATCATCTTTTAAACCAATTGCAAAATTATTTGCTTTAATATCACGTGAAAGCCAACCCGTATCATGTAATGTTTCAATTCGATCTAATGTTTGTATGCTAAGACGAAGTGCCGTTGTTAAAGTAAATCTAAATTTTATTAAAATTTTTATACTTTAGTTAAATGGTTTTGAATTTTTTTCTTTTACTTAAAAATTAAATTAACTATTAATTAAATTTAATCTTATCTCTTTTTTTTTTCCAAAAAAAAAACTAAAGTATTACTTTTTGCCTGGTAAACAACGACGTAATTTATCCAAATCTGGTCCAAGAAGTTGCATGATAACGTATTTAATTTGATTGGTACGTCCCTGATCAATTAATTGTGGAATACCAATCGTTTTAGTATTTTGAAATTCACGTAGTACAAAAACGTCTAATTTTAGCACTGATCTAAAAATAAACAATTATTTAAATTTGAATAAATATTCTCTCATAGCTAGCAATAAAATGATCACGTGATCACGTGAACTTTTGACCTCTTTATGTGCTTTTTATTAATCTGTCAGCTAATAATCATTTTGTTATAATGTTAATTCAATTGTTTAATTATAAATTACTATTGATTTTATTTTATAGTCAATATTCTTTTATTTTTAAAATTTACAGAAATATAAGAAACTTTTTAAATTTAAACTTTTTTATAATTTAAAAAATAAAATTTAAAGTATGTAAGCTTATAATAACAAAATATTTTCTATCATAGAAATGAAATATATTTTTCATTTTTTATCTTTCATATCTTTTTCTTTTTACATATGCAATTTTATTAAAGTATTAAAAAAAAAAAAAAAATTATAAAAAAAATTTTTTTATAACTATAAAATTAAAATAATTGAAAATTAAAACACTGTAAATGAAAGTTTATCTTATTAAAATGATAAAAAAAAAAAAAACAAAAATTGATAAGATAAAATAAAAGTTTTTGTTTTTCTTTTCTTAATTGAAATATTATTTCAAATAAATTTAAGATTTTTGCTCTCTCTCTCTCTCTTTTTTTTTTTTTTTTTATTAACTAAAATTATTATCAAATTATTTAGATACCTTTGTGGATCGTTTGTTTTCTCAATTTTCATCGCATATCGTTCATTTCCATTAAATTCTTTAACAATCATTACCTCACTAAATGGTCCAAACCAAATTTGCTTCAATATTTTATACTTTTTGCCATGATGAGTGAAAATTTGACCCGGCCGTAAAGTTGATGATAATTCGTCACTCATATCAATTACCATCAACGCTTTAGTAAAAATAAAAATTAAAATTTCATGTTTCCATTTTTTTTTTTTTTCATTCATTATTAGCATTCAAATTTTACGCTAATATTACTTTTATCAATAAAAATTGATTGATTTATTGGTAATCTTGATCAATAATTATTTGCTATTAAATAATTGAATTAATTAATAAAAAAGAAATTATGAAAAAAAACTTAATTATTAATTATTTCAAGCAAAAATCCTCTATGACATTATTTTTGTTAATTAATACAATTTCAAAAATTTCAAAAGCAAATAAACATTAAAGTAAGTATTATTTTGTGAGTAAACATTAACACAATTAAAACAACCATACCGCATGCAATTAATATTTTTTTCACGAAAACAATCGCATATTGGTAGAAAAGAATTAAATATTTGAAAATTTATTTAAAAAGAATAAAAAAAGAAAAAAATTTGCTTTATTATTCATTTTATTAATATTCAAAATTTTATTGAATATTGTATATGAGAAAATAAAATAAGAAATAAATATTAAATTGATCTAATCAATAGTAATTAATGCAATTATTATTTTTTTTTTTTGATCTTTTTATTTATTTTATTTATATTTTTATCGATTTCTTTTTTTTTTTCAAAATGATTATTTTCATATAATTTCTAATATATTTACAATATATTACCTATAAAAAAGAAGAAAATATTATTATAATCATAAAAAAAAGAAAAAATCAATAATCAATATTTGATTTTTAAATCATTCACTTATTATTTCATTTTATTTTTTTTTTTCAAATTTCTTGCTTTATTTTTCACGTTTTGAAAAAAATTCACTTCACAATTAAATCAAATAATAAAAAAAAAAATTTTTTTCAAATGAATTTTATTCAAAATTATTAATGATAAGTTTAAAATGAATAAAAAAAATTTTTAACAAATAAATAATACAAAAAAAAATTAAAAAATCTAAAACTATTTTTTTTTTTTTTTTTGTTAAATTTGATTTATTGTAGTAAGAAATGAGTGAAATAAAAAAATAATTTTGAATTTAGCAACAAAAAAAGTTTTCCTCAAACATTTTAGTTTAGTGTAAAGTAAACTAAAATGATAAAATCTTATCACATTCATCCATCCAATGAATCAATCTTTTTCCACTAAAGATTTGAAAAGTTTGAAATGAACTAAAATCTATTTCTCATTTCTAATTTTTCTAGCACTAAAAGATGTTTTTGTGTATTTTTTCATTTCTTATCCTTCAGCATGTAAATACATTTGATAGTTCCGGTAATGATGCTGAATTGGTATGTTACTTTTGCGCCAAATTTTTTTTTTTTTTTTTTTAAAGCTTATAAAATTTTGCTATTTAAGTATAAAATAGCAGGTTACTTTCAAATTCCTCTAATTTCTTCCTTTTTTTTTTCTTTTTTTTTTTTTGTTTACAAAAATTAATTAAGATTTTTATTCATAAAGTTCATTTTTTTTTAAAAAAAATATTTTAAGTGGAATAAAAAATATATATATATTAAAAAATATCTTATATCTTGTAAAAAAAACAAAATATCTTAAGTTTTTTTATTAATCTTAACATTTGCTATCAATTTTTCTTTTGTTTGCAAAATATTTAATACTAAATGTTGGAAAAAATATTTTATTGAATTATTAAATATTATGATAAGATAAATGATAAATATTATTAAATATTAATTATTAAAAACAAAATATCTAGATTTTTTTCTTGATTACTTTTTAAAATTTTTAGAATTGTAACTTTTTAACTAGTAATGTGAAGTAAGAAAGTTATTTCAAACTATAAAATGAATACTGTTTAAATGAAATGAAATAAAGCCTTGTATTGCAATACCGGAAGCTATAATTGCAAATGATAGGAACCGGATTGCTGAATATGCTTAAATTCCATCATTTTTTTTTATTATTTACTTTCTTTTTTATTTAGAAAAGTAAACATTTTATTTTTCAGGAATTAGATGAGTCACATAAAACACCGATTACAATTGATACAGTAAATAGTTTATTGAGGAAATTTGCATACAAATCTTTTAATGTGACATTCCAGGTGTTTATTTATTTTCAAGATTAATTAATTTTTAATAGAAATAAACAATTTAAAAGTGACCAAAGGTTAGTGAGAATGAAATGTTTATTTTTTTGCTTTTTTTTTTTTTTACACCTTTCTCTATTAATGAAAATAAAAATTTTCACACTTTTAAAACAGTAATGTTAATGCATTTCAAAACTTCTGTAACTTTTTTCTTTTTCTCCTTTCAGTTAATAAATATTTTAATTAAGCATATTAAAATTTGTAAAAATTTTCAGCTTGAAATTATGCGTGCTCTTGAAATGATAAATCGTGGTCGTTTAGAGTTGACAATTTGGTCACATGAATATTGGACAATTCCAGAGCTATCCATCGCTAATAAATTATGGCAATATCAAAATTTTTTAAAAATTCATTTAAATTCACGATCAGAGCTGAAATTTTCACCAGAAATAATTTTCAAAAATGCACTTTATTTCAAGGAACATTGGACACCATTACTAAATACTATTTTAGAAATTAATAGTAACGGTGATATTGGATTACATTCATTGTATACAATGGATATACCATGTACCAAAATTATTCCAACCAAATCAGTAATTATTATTTTCAATTCTCTTTTTTTTTTTTTTTTTTATTTAGAATTAATTAAAAAATATTTGATAATTTTTTGTGCTTATTTTTTGCAAGTAAATTATCAAAAGAAGGAAAGAAATGGAGAAGAAAAAATTTTTTTTATTAATTAAAATTTAATTTTTGTCTATATCATAAAAATTTTATAGTAATAGTTGAAATTTAAATGAAGTAGATAAATATAAAATATTATTATACTTTTTTTTTTCAATAATTCAGTATTTTTTTTAACAGCAAAAATAAGTAATGAAAATGAAATTTTAATTTTAATTAATTTCACTTTTCCTTTCTCTTTCCTATGCTATCGTAAATAAACAAAGACATCGCTAAAATATTTATATTTAGCTAATTAATTATATCAACGAATATAAATTTAGTTATTCGATTTCTAGAATATCATTAAAATCTTCTTTTTTTAATGCTTTGAAAAATTTTTGATAAAAATAATTTTTAGAAATGTATCAAATATGAATTATGTGGAATAGAAATTACGGAAAATCAAGATTACGGTAATGTCGATACAGTATGCGAACTTCATTACGGTAGTCTAATTCATGACAGTACTAAAATGCATCTTAATTGGGCATCTAATAATGTTCCGGAAGCAAATTTGCCATGTTCTATTGAATTAATGCCATATTGTATTATCAAAAAAATTCGATTATCTAAAAAACAAATTGTATGTTTTCATTTTTTTTAATTATTTTTTGTTTTTTTTTTTTGAATTTAATTTTGATTTTAGATTAATTTATTTATGAAAAGAAATGTTATTTTTATGATAATTTTTATAATCAGCAAATATTATAAAGCTATTAAAATTATTTTGTAATTAGTTCTACCAATTAAAATATTATTATTTATTATAAAATTATTTATTCAATATTAATTTATTATTTGTTATATTTAAAAAAAAATTTTTTTCAACCATAGTTTTTGTGTTTGAATTTTTTTCCACTTTTTTTGGTTAAATTTAAAATTTTGTCACCATATTTTTTATTAGTATTAAAATGTTTTCAAGTTTACTATTTTCATAGTTGGGCAATTAATTTTAAGCATTTAAGCTTTTAAGTCTTTTTTTTTCTCATTAGAAGTTTTTCAAATTATTCTTTTGAATTTCATACATTCAAATTAAAGTTATATAATTAAATTTTTTTTGATATTTTTTTAATTAAATTTTTTAATATTTATATAAACATATATAAATTTATGCCAATTAAATTTTTATACTTTTTTCTTTATTTCAGACATTTCTTGGTGAGAAATACGATGAATTAACCGCATGTTTTCTACTTAGTTTTTCAACTAAACATTATACAGCAACTTGAAGGAGAGAGAGAGAGAGAGAGAGAATAAGAAAGAGAGAAAAGAGTAAAATTCAAACATTTGTTGCTATTGTTGTTACTGTTATTGTTTCATCATTTTGTTTGTATTTGCAAGCAAAGATATTATTGAGTTATGCATCGTTCATCAAAATAAACAGAGTAAATATTTGTTTATTCGAGAATTTGATATGATCATTTAAATAATCGATATAAACAGTTGATAATTTCAAATTGAGTTTGAACTAAAAGATTCCCCTTAAATGATTAAATGAAACAATTCAGCTAATTATATAAGCTAATTTATTGAAAATAGAATTTTTCGGTGCAAAAAAACGAAAATTTTTTTTTCTTCATTTTCTCATTTTTTTCAATTTTTCATTTTACTAGTAAAAAATTATTAAGCTTTTGAAATGTATCATGTGTAAATATAATAAGCATTGCAGCCGTAATTGAGCTACGTAACGTGACGTACGTCATAAAATATGAAATAATCAAAAATTCATATTTCATTTTTTTTTTTTTATGAAAATTAGTAATTCTTACAGATTATTAGATGGTAATTAAATTTATAAATTATTTGAAATGTCTTTTTTTTTTCGGTTTTTCTTTATGTGAATGCTCTAAGGAAGAAAATAATCAAAAAATTCTTTGTTGAATACATTTACTAAGTAAATAAAAATAAAAAATTTATTCGTACTAATTATGTAGAAACTTTGCTTTTTAAAACGAAAAATTTATTTTTGAAGCAAATATTTAACATTGTAAACAAAATATTTGTTCATTTACTTTATTTGCAAATTTAATAAATTAAAAAATAAAGAAAGAAAATAAAAATAAAATATTGAAAATGCAATCATATTTAACTCAATTTTACCTTTTTTTCTCTCAATTATTTTTTTTTATTTAAATCATCAATTTGAAATAAAAATCATTTATATTTATATAGTAGAAGAAATTGTATATGAAAATCTGATTTAAATTTTTTCTCATTTTTCACTTCTTTTTTCCATTATCAGTTTGAAATAATTTTCAGTTATTAGTTTTACAAAAATTATCAGTTTTATAAATTTTTATCAGTTTTACGAACAAAAAAAGAAATTGATTAGTTTTTTTTGTGGTTGTCTGTAATATTTCATAGCGAAATACAATGAAATATACATTAATGAATTTTGTTTATTTAAAAAAAGTAATCTATCGATGAATTTTCATCCTATCAATGATTACTTATCATCATATCAAATTACCGTAACTTTTTCTTTTCGATCAATATTACTGCAAATGAGAAAAGACCACCTACCCACCCATTCATTCATTACTTTAAAATCATTTAATAGAAAAAAGCTATTTGACAAATTTAAATACTAATTAAATTTGCTATTATTCCTGCTACGGTACGTTACAGTAACGTTATTGTTATTATTGTTTGTTTGTTTGTTTGTTTGTTTATTTTATTTGATTTACGTTTAATTCGAATAATGGTGATAAATTATATTGTATTATTTGCATCTATATCATTTATTCGATCACAACTTACCATTCAAGAACTAGAAGAAGATAATGCTCAAGGTAACATTTTAATTCTAATTGCATTAAATGCAAAATGATTTATACAAATGATAAGAATGAGTTTTAAAATTTAGAAATGAAATCATTGAACTAAAATTTATTTATATTATACATTTTAAAAATATGAAAAAAAAATTTTTTTTATTTTTTTGTTAGCAAATTTTTACTTATTTTACACATTCATTCATTTATTTATTCAATAATTTAGCAAATATTTTAGAAAAAAAAAAAAAATAAATAAATAATAAATTTTGAAAGAAAAAAAAAAATTCTTTTCTAACATTTTTGTAAAATTTTACAATTCTTTTCATCATTAATTAGCTAATCATTTTCAGAAATAGCTAATCGAAGTTACGTTGAGGAGCAAAATGAATTACAACGTACAATATTAAGTAAATATAATAAACGTGTACGACCTATTCTGAATATATCAGAGCCATTAGACGTAGCCGTTCACGTATACATTATGCATATATCTGTTAATCAATTGGAACAAACAATTACACTTAATGGACATATTTATATGGTTTATAATATAAATTATTATCCAATAATTTGCTTACTTCTTCTTTTTCTTTGAATATTAAAATCAGTTAATCAATCAATCAATAATTGCTATACTTTAATATTAGGTGCAAAGTTAGTAGCATATTATAAATTGTTTTAATTATTTCAAAAATTAAAAATTCTATTTTTTTTTTTTTCTTCTAAATTAAAGACATGGAAAGATGAATATGCTGTTTGGGAGCCAAGTGAACATAATGGTGTACGAATAACAATGGTTAAACAATGGGAAATTTGGACTCCAGAATTGAAAATTACAAATAGGTTAAAAATTTTAATTATTATTCTTTGTGAATGGAAAATTGTGAAATTGTCAGTTTTAAAGATATTTAAAAATTTTTGAATTTTTCAAATAAGAAATTTTATTAATTAAGCATTAAAAAAAAAAATTATTGTTGAAAAAAGCGACAAAAAAAATGAAATGGCAATTTAGATTTTATAATTAAAGCATTAAAAAAAAAAAAAATTATTGTTGAAAAAAGCGACAAAAAAAATGAAATGGCAAATTTAGATTTTATAGTAAAAATAATTGAATGATTTAGTGTCTCTGGTGTTGGACAATTTTTTGAAATTTCAAAACGATCACATGTTATCATTCATTCTAATGGAAAAGCTGTAAGTATAATTTTAAATTTTTTTATTAATTCTTCAAAACATTTTCTAAATTTCCAATTATATTTGCATAAAATATATCGAATAAAGATGAAAGTCTTTTTTTATTTATTATTAATTAATGTTTTATTTTTTATTCATATTATTATTATTATTTATTTATTCTACTTAATAGACTTTCGTTTCGATAAACTATGATTAAAAAAAAAAAAGGCTGAATTTGTCAAAAAGTTATTTCAATCATTTTAAACAAATTAAAACCTTTCACTTTATACTATTTTTTAAAAAAAAGATTAAACATTAATAGCATAATTTATTGAATAATTATTGTTTATATTGATAATTTCAATCACGTATTTCTCACTTTTTTACGTTTTATAATCAAAATTATAAACAATCGATCATCATTCATGCAATAAATCCTAATTTATTTATATGCAGAAATTTCAATATATAAAATATTATATAAAAAAAAATAATGTATAAAAAATAAATAAAATAAATAGAAAAATGTATAAAAAAATAGAAATAATTATTTCAACATCCAAATAATAAACATATAAACAATATGTTAAAAACAAAAACTTATTATTATTATTATTTCTTTTTTAATTTTATTATTTATTATTATCTTTTATTTTTATTATTATTACTACTTTTAATAGCAGTAATAATAAATAAATATTCGAAATGAATACAACATATAGTAAAAAAACATTTTTTTTTTTTAATTAAAAAATGAATAATCTAATTTGATTAATATATTTTTGAAATAATTAAAATAACTTTAAAAAAAAAAAAAAAAAAAAAATTTTTATGAAAAAAAGAAAAAAACGGAATGAAATAATTTTTAGTGGAGTCGAATTGAAATTTATCCAACATTTTCCATTAAAATTGGTTGTAAATTTGATTATTCGGCATATCCGTATGATACACAAAAATGTGCGCTTGGAATTTACACAACAAATCGAATGAGTGAAGTTCAACTTTCTGTTTATTACAATATGCAACCAACCGTATTGCTTGGTTATTTTTTTTGAAATTTTGTTAAAATTTCAAATTTTCAACTCTTTTTTTTTTTATTAATTAAATAATTTTGTAACGAATGTTTTCTTACTTATTTCTTTATCGCTTTTTTTTTTTTTTTTTTTTCATTTCATTTTCATATTTTTAATTTGTTTATTTATGTTTGTTTTTTTTTCTTTCAATTGTATTTTTTCAAAAAACATTTTTTTTTTTTTGTTCTTTGTTACAAAATTATAATTTAAATTAAATTTAGGTTGGGGTAATCAATCAAATAAAAGACATGTAAGTGATTGGATGATCGATTCGGTGGTGATGAATGTTAGCTATTTTAGTGGTGGAAAATATAAAAGTGAAAAGCCAACGGATGCTGAAGAATTAGATGTTTCATGGTTAGATGCTTTTGCTTTTCTAAATTATTTCCTAAAATTATATCTTTGATTTTTTTTTTTTTTCTTCTAAAATTTTTTTTTTAAATATATCAAAACTATTATAATATGAGAAAACAGATGAAAATAAAAAAAGATATGAAAACTAATTGATGGAAAAATATTATATTAAAAAAAAATGTTTTTTTTTTTTTAAATAAAATATGAAAAAATTTTTTTTGTATTACAGACAATTTAAATGAAATTTAATAGAATCAAGAATTGGTTAATTTAGATTAATAATTAATTTTAAATTTATTTGTTATTATAAATTTAAGTTAATATATCAATGTTTTCAATGCCGATAAATTCTTATTAAATATGAGAAAAATTAAAATTTAATTCAATAAAATTTACTGCACTTTTTTTTTGAGTAAATTTACTTAATTACTAAGCAAATTTACTTAATTCAATTTTTAACCTTAAACTTAAAAAAAGATCTTCTATTAATAATTTATACCAAATAAATTTTGATTATATTCATATATTAAATTTTAAAATTTATATTTTTTAATTTTAAATTTAGCACCGATAATATTAAATGTTTAATATTTGTTATAATTTTCAAAAAAAAAATTTTGTTATTCATGTGTAAAAATTCAAATGTAACTTTATTTGTATAATATATTTTAATTATGTCAAAAAAAAGAAAGAAAAAAAATTCCATTGCTGTTAATCTATTTTAGATTTTAAAATTTTTGATTAGTTCAATTTCAGTTTAATTTTAGGTCTATCCTATATGCATGGTTAACCTTACATCGAAATGCATCATCTTTTATTTTAACATTATTGGTACCAATATTGGTATCATTTATATTTGTCATTTGTTCATTTTTGCTACCAGCACCCGATTCAGCTATTTATATTTTACTTGCTAATTTATTCTTTCTTGGTATTTTCCTTGAAGATTTTGCAGTAATGATACCACCTGCTATTGGACAATTACCCAAAATTGGTAGCAAAATTTTCCCTTTCTTCTCAAATTATTGATAAAAAAGGAAATTTAGAAATTGGAAAAAAAAAGTGAGAGTAAAAAACTTAATTAATTAATTGACAAAATTCAATGTATCATTTTATAATTGATTAAGTTATCATTTTTTATTTCATTTAAAATTGCAATTTAAATGATTTCAAGGAAAAAAAAAGAGACAAATTTAATGCTTATATGAAAAATTTTAAAGTATCAATTGAAATTGATGCATTTATTTTCTTTTTTTATTAGTTTGGTTTATTGGAATTAATTTAATACTTACAATGATGGCAATATTTTTACATCTATGGTTACGGTATTTATTGAAACGAGAGGATACCGTAGCAAAATGGTACCTTTACGTATTACACGCTAAGAAGATTATTCCAAAACGATCACGTGCTGCGCTACTTGATGATACTACCACCGGTAATGGATCTTAACAAATCTTTTTGAAATATTAGAGATATAAAATTATATAATTATCAGTAATATCAAATTTATCTATAATTATCAGTAATATCAAAAAAAAAAAATAATTATTATTATCAAATTTATCTTATTAGCATAAAAAATTTTGCAGAAATTTAAAATTTTATAGTTTTAAACTACTGAGCAAAATGTGATTTTTAGTAGAATTTAAAGAGATATAATTTTAGTTTTAATTAATTTGAAATAAGAAATTATCTTTGAAAAAATATTTTTTCAATATTTTTTCTTTTTTTTTACTAGTTAGCAATCAAATATATTAGTAATCAATTATCAAATTTAGAAGGATTTTAATTCAAAATCAAATGTTTGGGTTGTTATTATTATTATTATTATTATAAATTTATGTATTATTTTCTTCCTAATTATCAATGAGTAAAAATTATTAAATATCATAATTTTTTTTTCAAAATTAGTTCAAATTTAATCAATTTTTATAAAAAAAAATTAAAATTTATCATAATTTTTCATCTTTTAATTTTGATTATTTTATTCATCAATTAAAATTAAAAAATTTGCTCTTTTTTAATAATAAATTAATAATTATAATTTATGTAAGTTTTAATAACAATAATAATAATAATATTTCATTTCATTTCAAATGATAATAATATTATTATTTCATTTCAGATAAACAAAATACTTCATGGACGACAATTGTGAATTATATACGAATGCTTTTATTGATTGTTTATTTTTGCATATTTATCATTGCACTAATCATTGTACTTATTTAAAAGTGATAAATTTAAATGATAAATATCACAAAGAAAAAGAAAATATACATTAAGCTTATTACATTTATACAAATTGCTTCATTCTATCCAAGAATTACATCCTCTCTCTCTCCCTCTCCCTCTGCCTTCATTTTCTCTTCTTTTTTCTTTGAGAGAGAGAGAGAGAGAAAAAAAAAATAATTGATTTGGTTTAATTTTTGATTTTAACAAATAAGTAAAAATTCATGTTAATATAATTTTATCATTGCATATTTGATTATTTTCAATTCAATTGAAAATTAAATTTAAATATTCCATCCAATGTAGAAAATTTTTTCCACAATTAAATTATTTGATTTGTTTTCAATAAAAAATGTTTTTACTATTTTTATTTTTATCAAATTTTCATGTGAAATTTTAATTATTTTAAAATTTAAAAAAAAAAAAAAATTAAAAAGGAAAAGAAGGAAAATTTGATTACTTATTGATAATTAAGAATGAATAAAACTGAAATTAAATTTTTGAAAGCTTTCGAAGAATACTTTTGAGAGTAAAATTACGAATTCATTAATAATGTATTATTGTTATTATCGTTATCATTATCAATTATTATCATTATCAGTCATTCCTATTAATCATATCGTAATATCTCGAAATATTTTTTTTTCATTTTTAATCTTTTTTTTTACTTTTTCACAAATATTTCAAATTATTAAAATTTTTATTTTCAATATTCAAGTGGAGAAAAAGAAGTAAAAAAAGTAAGCAAAAATTTGGAAACGCTAAAATATTTTTTTTATCTTTTTTCTTCCATACTAATCTTTTATCCAATTCTTGTAATGTAGTATTTAATTCTTACATATATAATACTTAATAATGACTTTTTAAATACATTTATGATAAACAATAAATAAAAATAAAATTTTGTGATTTAATTTGTCCAAAAAAAAAATAATAATAATAATAAATAAAAACTTGAAGTTTAAACAAAGTATTTCTAAAATTTGCCTATTTTTTCTCAATCAAAGATTGTTTTTTTCTCGATTTGAAATAAAATAAAAAGGAAATTTCAAAAGTTTTTCCAGAAAGAAAATCAAAAATAAAAAAATACAAATCAATTTACCCTAAAATTGTGGCTTATATTTTATCCTTTAAAAATAGCAACAACCGTTTTCCGGATGACTGCTGTCAATTTCCGAATTATAAGATTCATTGCTTTCCATTTTTTATACGTCGTAATGTATTCAGCAAGAAAATTGCTTATGCAAAAAAAAAAAAAAAAAAAAAAAAAAAGCTAGAGAGAGAAAACGTTTAGATAACGCTTACCTCACGTACGTCAAGTGATAAGATGAAATAGCTGCACGAAGAATAATAGCAGATATGATAATATTTAATTTAATGGTATCTAAATTTAAAATTTGAGCTAAATATTTTGAAATTTTAATTAATTGTTTTTTTTTCTCAACTTATTATTTTTTGGAAAAAAATGAAATTAAAAGAAAAATTTCGAAAGTTTTTAGAGCAAAAATCAAATGTAAATAATTTCTAATAAAGTAAACTTCAAATGAAATGGAATGTTTTTTTATTTAATTTATTTATAATTTACAACAATTCATTAACTTTTTCTTTTAATAAAAATATTTTAATACCTTATTCTTTTGCATAGTAATACAGCACTTGCGATTTGACCTCAGTTGATAATATTCATTAGATCAATGCGATTTGACCTCAGTTGATAATATTCATTAGATCAATGCGATTTGACCTCAGTTGATAATATTCATTAGATCAATGCGATTTGACCTCATCTGATAATATTCATTAGATCAATGCGATTCGACCTCAGTTGATAATATTCATTAGATCAATAATCGTTGTAATCATAGAAAATGACTAAAATATAAATTTGAAGTTAGTTATAATAATAGTCATCGTAATATAGTATAGAGAATGATGATTATGATAAAAGATGTATAGTGATTACAATACAATCATGTTTTAATTTTAATTTTTCATTTGATACAATAAATAATTATCAGTAAGTAACAATCAATAAATGATAAATATATCAATCATAATATTGTCCTAAAATTTTGTAATTTAATTTATTTGAATGAATTAATCTAATTTTGTCATATTCGAATCATTTCATACAATAATCATTTAACTCTAAATTGATTACCTAAATATATAACAATCAATAATTAATTGCATTTCACAAAAATGAATAAATTAAAAATCAAAAAATAAAAAAAAGTAAAAAAAAAAAGAAAAACTGCTTTAGTTGAACAACTTATTTACTTTATCAAAAAAAAAAAAAAATTCTAATTTCTATTTTTGTTTTTTTTTTTTTTCGCTCTTTTCTCTCTTTTTTTTTTTGAAACTAAAACTAATAATAGTGAGAGAGTAAGAAAGTTGCTGAAAATAGCATAAAATTTATGCTTCAAATAATTTTAAGTAGACCTTCTCTCTCTCTCTCTCTCCCTCTCTCCCTCTCCCTCTCTCTCTCTCTCTCTCTCTTTCTCTTTTGAAAATTCAAATTTTCATTCAAAACTCACACAATTGAATAATTCAAAATATCGCTTTTTGCTTCTTTCACTTTTTCCTGTGCAATTATTTATTTGTAATCGATTTTTTCTTTTTTCTTCTTTCATTTCAAATTTTCATCATTATGCTTAAAATGTAAATGAATAATTATATAAAATTAAAGCAAACAATTTTCTAAGTAAAATTGTTTATCAGCAGTCTAAAATTCTTATCAGAACATTATCAGTTATTACTAATACTTTTTTATTAATTTAATCTTTAGAAAAAAAAAAAAAAAAAAAAGGAAACATTTTGTTTTTCTTAGATTTAATTTTATATTTTTATTTTTTACTACTGTTTTTGTTTTTGAGCTTTTAACTAAACTTATTTATGATTCTAATATTAGAAGCAATAAATTCTAACAATGTAAACAAAATAATGCTATTAGTTAAGCCTTAGCAGATGTAATGTTATGATTGACTTATCTTTATTTGTCTAACAAAAGATAACGATAATGATAATATAATGATAACAAAGAAAAGAATGAAACAATATTTTTCAAAATTAACATCGTATAATTAATCATTTTTGATAAATAAACCAAACATTAAAACATAATTCTTTCATCTTTTCTCTTTCAAATTTTAAATCACTTTTTAATTATAATTATATTTAGAAAATACTATTAATATAATATAATAACATACTATCAATATTAATAATTCATTCATTTTCCTTTTTTTTTTTTTTATTTAATTTATATTAATTTTTTTAAATTATTATTGAAATTTAATAATTATTATAAAATCATTCATTAAAATATTATTTTTTTTTTTTTGTAAATTATATAATACTTTGTTTCGAATTGTTTCACATTTTGTTTTTTCATTTTTTTTTAAGAAAGAGAAAGAGAAAAGAGAGAGAGAGAAAAAAAAAAAAAAACGATTCGTTTTTCATTTTGTTGAATAACTTTCTTGACGTAAACAAACAAATGGCGTAATCCATTTCAGCTGTTATTGACATTTTAGCTCAGTAACGACATTTTCAGGCTTTAACTTTATTTTTATGCTAAAACGTGGCTTATATTATTAGCTTCTATTAAATAATATTTAAATATCAAATATTATGCAATATTTGATATTAAAATTTTTTGATAATTTAATGAATTAATTAAATTTGTTTTTTCTTTTTTGATAATTTAATGAATTAATTAAATTTGTTTTTTCTTTTTTGATAATTTAATGAATTAATTAAATTTGTTTTTTCTTTTTGATAATTTAATGAATTAATTAGGTTTTTTTTTTTTCTTTTGCTATTATTTTCTTTACAAAATAATTATAATTTAGGTAAAGCAAAAAAATCTTTTTTTTTTTCTTTTATATTATTTTAATGTTTTTATAAAAAATTCTTCCTAAATTTCCACTAAAATATTTATTGTAAATTTTTATGCAATAAAATATATTTGTTTTTGTTTTTTTTTGAAAAACATAATTTTATGCAATAAAATATATAAGAATCAGTCAAAAAAAAAAAAAAAAAATTTTTTTTTTTTATAATTTAAAAAATATTATACAATGCACTTGTTCATTAGTTTTTTGAATATTTTGAATTCAAAAAAATAATACAAGAAATTATCTTTTTGTTTTTTTTAAAACTTAAAATTTCAAATTTTAAGATGTTCAAAAAATTGTTTCGCATAAAATTTTCATTTACTTAAACATTGTTTTATTTTTTTTTAAATTAAATTTTAAAATGTTATTATTATTATTATTATTTTATTGATATTTAATAGATTTGCAATTGTATATGTAGAAAATTCTATACTTATTACTTAAATTCTCTTTTTAAACGATGTGCTCTTTGTAATTAAAATAAAATTAATAATTCAATTTTTTTTTTAAATTTATTTTTTGAAATTTCATATTTAATAAATTGAAAAATGGAGGAACAAAGAGAAAATGATAATTTGGAATATATAAAAGAGCAAAATCAGGCTTACGCTCGACGTATGATTACGACAATTGCTATTACGTTGACCATTTTAGCTGTTTTCTTGGTCACTTTATCATTGTTACTTGGTTCAAGGATTGATCAAATAGGTTATTAAATTTGATTTATAATTAATTAATTAAGTAATTAATTAAGTAGTTAGTTATTTAAAATGTAAACGTTTATATTTAATATAAATTTCATACATATGAATGATACTGTTTGTATTATTTTATGATCACAAACATTTTTGTGATAAAAAATTATATTATAAATATATTTTTGCCAATTACTAAATTATACATATTTTTTCTTGATACCTAATTTACTTAATTTAATTTTTCAATATTTTCAATTATTTTAAATTCGAAATTAAAAATAAAAAGTATGTAAACAAATTTTGTTTCAAAAAAATCAATTAATTAACAATTAGTAGTTTGATTTAATTTTAACAATATTTTCAATTGTTTTTAATTCGAAATTGAATGAAAAAGTATGTAAACAAATTTCTTTTCAAAAAAATTCAGTTAATTACTTCACTTAATTGTTAAAGAAATATGCAAAAAAAAAAAAAAAAAAAACAAAAAATTTTTGAATAATTAAAAATAATTAAAATAATATTTAAAATAATGCGAATAATTTCTCAAATAATTAAATAAATTCCAATCAAATACAAATGCATGTCGCATATGAAATTTTTGCAATTTATTTAAATTAAGAAAATAAAAATAAATTAAATTTATTATTTATTCTACATAATTTAATTTTTTACTATCATTCAATTTCTCTTTTTTTTTTTTTTATCTTTGCATTTCTTCTCTTATCAATTAATTAATTAATTATTTTTAAACTTTATTTTGTCATTCTCTTTTCTTTCTTTACATTTTCTCATCTTCCTTGTTGCAAATCAAATCGTTCACATTTATAAAAATAATTTAAAATAATTAATTCATTTTCATCTATCGCAGAAAATTTTTTGAAGATTGGAATTTGAAAAAAAAAAAAAAAAACAAAATTTAGCTAAACAAATGTTAATTTTATTTCTAATAAAATTATTTTGTATTTAATAAAATAAAATTAAAGTAATATATAATAAAATAATTTTAACAATAAAAATCATTGATATATTTTGATTGATTGAATTTAATAAAAAAAAAATTTATATTCAATTGCAATTTTTATAATTTTTCCATTCTAGCAACGATTATAATTGCATTTAAATGGTTCAAATTTTCCTTTTTTTTTTTTTTTTTTGAGAAAATTTTTGAGAAATAAAAAATGAAAATTTTAAAATATTGTATTATAAAAAAAAACTTTTCATATATTTATTTATTCTTTAATATTGCTTTGCAAAAAAAGAAAAAGCAGAAATCTTAATTGAAAACTATTACATTTGGTTTATTTTATTCAAAATTATGATTAAAAAAATTTTATTCTTTTATAACGAAATGATTAGAAGTAAAATTTAAAAATTTTAAATAATTTTTAGCAAAATTTTTATTAAAACATAAAGTAATTCATTTATTGTCATATACTATACCAATGAAATTAATTGCTAAATTAAATAATTTGAAAAAATAAAGTATGTGCAGTTAAAGTAAAATAAGAATCATTGCAGTATAATTGTTATCATTTAATAAAAATTTCGAAAATTTCAATTTTTAAATTAAAATTTAAAAGTTTTAATTTTAAGAAAAATTTAAAATCAAAAAAATTCAATTTCTGAAATACTTTCATAGAATTAATTATTTCAAATGAATAATCACTATTTTAATTTTAAATGAATAAATGATAAATTGCATTTGATTAAAACTTTATTTAACATTCTTTGATTTACTCTTCTTCTTATATTTATTTCTCTCTCTCTCTCTTTCTTTCTTTCTCTTTCCCTCCCTTTCATTTTCTCTCTTTATTCTCTCTTTCTTGCTATTAAATTTTAAAAAGAGTGAAAAGTTACAATACGAATACAAATTAAATTTTTAAAAATTTGCAAGCATTAAATTTAAATTACCTAAAAACACAAACAGAATTAGTTGCATTTTATTTATTTATTTGTTTTTATTATTTTTTCATTTTATTTATTTTATTTATTTATTTATTTATTTTGTTTATTTATTTATCCATTAATTATTTCTTTATTTTATTTATTTATCTATTTTTGTTTTATTTATTTATTTGCTTATTTATTTTATTTATTTGTTTATTTGCTTCATTGCAATCATTCCTGACACAAAATTTAATAATTTCAGAATTTTTGAGAATTTTTGAATAATAAAATATTTAAATAAAGAATGTAAACAGTTTTCTTTTTTTGCAATTTAATTAAAATTTAATAAAGCTAACAGAGAAATAAATGAGATTTTTGTAGCAATAGATCGTTTTTTTTTCTTTTCTTTTTTTTCGCTATTTCAATTTCATTTATTTGTTTTAGGAAAATTTTCAAATTATTCATTTTTAAAAATTAAAAATATGTGAAAAGATAATGAATGGTAAATAATGCAAAGAGTGCAAAATATGAAATGATAATAGGGTAGAAAGATTGAAATTATTTACCTAATTCTTCGGGTCGGGTAAATTGCCCATCAAATAAATGAAAAATGCTATCATTTAGTGATGCATTCTAGCATTTTCTTGTAAAGCGGGAAAATACAATTTGCCAAAAAAAAAAAAAAAAAAGTTAAATTCTTTTTTAAATTTATTCTTCACTCATTTTTTGCCCTTCCACTGGGAAATGTTGTAGAACATATCTCTTAGTTATAAATCATTGTAAATTTTTTTTTCTTCTTTTCTTGCTTTTTCTTACTATCAAACAAATAAACAATTAGGTAAACATAAAAAATAAACAAATAAGCAGTTAGGTAAGCATAGAAAATAAACAAATAAATAATTAGGGAAACATAAACAAACAAACAATTAGGTAAACGTAGAAAATAAACAAATAAACAATTAGGTAAGCATAAAAATAAACAAATAAATAATTAGTAAAACATAAAAATTAAACAAACAGGAAACATAAAAAGTAAACAGATAAACAATAAGTAAGCATAAAAATGAACAAATAAACAATTAGGTAAACATAAAAAGTAAACAAATAAACAGAGAGAATAAACTTTCATTTGCAAATACTTGTTTTTTTTTCCTATACTTAATTTTCGAAATTTATAACATTTAAATTTATTGATAAACTTTTTAGCTATTAATTATATGAAAAAAAGTAAAAAAAAAATAATAATAATAAAATAATAATAAATGTTGAAATGTAATCAAATTTTGGTTGAATTAAAAATTTCATTTAATTAAATCATTCATTGAATTCTTTTAATTTAAACATTTCTCTTTTTTCATATATCCTTTCAAGCAGTTTTCTTCATTGAGGCATTTTCCTTAAGAATAAATTGCTAAAAAATTATTAGTCTAAATTTCATCAAAACTTTTTTAATTTCTGTCATAAAATTAATTTTAATCAGATTAAAACTAATTAAATTTTTAATATATAAGAATTTCTTTATGCTATGACATTTTAAAACATTTTTATATTTCAAATTTGTTTATTTAAATTTAAAAGATTAACCTATAAAGATGGGAAGCAAAAAGAAAAAGTATTGATTAAAGTTTAAAAAATTTTTTTTTTTTTGCTCTTTTTTCTCAGTAAATTTGCAAAAAATTTTAATTCTAAAAAGTTTTTCTCGTAACATTTTTTGTCTTTTTTTTTTTTTTAATTTTATAAAAATTCAAAGCAAATTTTTTTTTTTTGTTTGATATTTACAAATGTAAATGATTTATGAATAATTCATTCACAATTTTTAACATTTACTTTTATCTTTTCTTTTTTTTTTATTTGACATTTTTTAAATGTTAAAACTAATTTGTTCCTTTTTTTTTTAAATATAAAAAGAAAAAAGAAAAAAAAAAACAGAAAAGGGAAATAATTTAGTTGACAAAAGAAAAGTAAAATAAATGTAAAATTGCAAAAAGAAAAGAAAAAAAAAAAGCTTTAAAGTTCAATTTATGCATTCTTGTATAATAAAGTAAAATGCATTTTAAGCAAGAGATTCATTTATGAAAATGCAACAAAAAAAGAAAATTGAAAAAAATTTTTTTTAAAAAAAAAAATTTTGACAGAGCAACTGTCAAATTCAAACATAAAAATAAATATTTTTCATTTATTTTTTTCCAAGAAACATACATTTTTCAAATAATTGCAAAAGCAAAGAAAAACTTTTCTTTTTTTTTCTCGTTTGCTAAATTATCTTTGGAAAGAAAAATTGAAAAAATGTAGCATTTTCTTTCGCTTTTTTTTTCTTAAAGTTTAAATTTTTGTTATTTAGTTTAAATTACAAATTTAAACTGTTAAATTTAATTATGGTAAAGTAATGCTTATGCAAATTTTAATGATTAATTGATTAATTCAAAATTTATAATTAACACATTTATAATTTTTATCAAAGATTAAATATAAACAAAGAAAGTACTTTTAAAAAGTATAATTTTTGTTTATATTTGTTCTAAACTATTTATTTATGATGAAAAAAAAGAAAGAAAGAAATTTGCATATTGTTAAAAAATATCAATGATACATTATCTAAAACAATAAGAAAACAAAAATGCAAATGGGAGAAAAATTTTTTTTAATTTATTTTTCCTTTTTTTTTGATAATTGAAAATTTTAACTTTGCTTTTCGTTTTTGCTTTTTTTTTGGGCTTAGAAATGTAATAAAAGTAAATGTAACCAAAAAAAAAAGTATTGAAATTACAATTTGATTTTCATATCTAAACTATAAATTTGTTAGAAAACAATGTGTCATTATGTTATATGCATTGTAGCAGAGCGGGACAAGTATGGTGTGGTCATTTTATAGTTTAAATATTAAAATACGCTTTTGTAATTAAGTTTTACGCAAAAATTCGTCAGCAAAATTAATAAAAATAAATTTAAATGCATTTTTTCATTTAAATTTTTAGCAAATTATTAATTTATTACTTATAATACTTTGAAATAAATTTTAGGGAAAAATTGAAAATTACTATGGTGATAAACGTTGTTATTTAAAAATTTCCATTTGTTTTTTCTTTAAATTTTTATATTATTTTTTTATTTATGAAAAAAATTTTTTTTACTAAATTTTTATTTCTAAAATTTTGATTTTTTGACAATTTTTTTTTTTAAAAAAAAAAAAAAAGAAAAAGAAAAAAAGAAAGGGAACAAAAAAAAAAAAAGTGCATCGAAGTATTATTTGGTTATATTTATTTTGATAATCTAAAATTAATTTAATTTATTATTTCTTTCTCAATTTATCACAATTCTTAATAATACATTTTTAATGCTTAATGAATTATTTTCCTTATAATAGCATTTATTAAAGTAAATTTATTACTTTATCTTACTTTACTTACTTTAATCTTAATTAGCATATCATAATTAGCTTAGTTATCAATGTATATTTTCTATAAAATTTTTTCGATATTTCAGTAAATGAAAAATTTGATACAAATATGAAAATTTCTGGCAGTGAATTATTTCTTGGACCAAAAACAAATATTACCAATTTTGATGAATCTGAAATAACAACAACAACAACAACAACAACAAACAATAAAAACAACAAACAATAATTATTGAAGATTAAAATGAAATATTTATTGTATTTATTTGATTGTTTGTCATAAATTTTTTTTTTTTTTGTGCCTATTTATCAATGAGTAAATTAGATTTAATTAGTACTTCAATTTAATTAGCGCTTTAGCAAAAATTACTTTATCGATATTTTGATTACTTTTTTTTTTTTTCTAATTGCATAATATCATTATTCGGGTGCTTATTTATTTGTTTTTTTTTTTTTTTTTGTCAGCATTATTTATTCGATAATTGATGTTTACACTATTAGTAAAGAAATGCATATTGTGATAATTTAGTGAAATATATTTAGTTAATAATATTGTAAAATTCTCCATTAAATATTTATACAATGCTAATTAATTATTTAATTAACTACCAAATGTATGTTTATATAAGCAATAAGAAAAAAAAACAAACAAACAAACAATTAGTTTAGTAAATATGCATAAACATTTAGACAATAAACAATTGATTTGTATTATTTGTTGTTGTCGTCTATTTGGTCAAACTATTGTTATTGTTGTTTTGTTTCAAATTTAATAAAAATACACAAATAAAATTATTTTTTTCATCGCTATTTTGATAATAATTATCTTTTTTTTTTTTTTTTTTCACATGGAAGAAATAAAAATGAAAAAAGAAAATGGTATTTTTAAAAAAGTTAATTATTTTGCTTTCTAATAGAAAAGTAAAATAAATTACATTAATCATATTTGTTTGAAAATATGATATTGATAACATTACATTGGGATTGTTTTATCATCAAAAGTAACAAATCTTTGAAAAAATTTGTAAAATTTCAGAAATAAATGAAAAAATTTTTAAGTTAAAATAAAAAACTATAATTGTAATAGGCAAATTAGTAATTGATAATTATAATTAATAATTGATAATAATGATAAATGATAGTAATAATAAAATATTTTTATTAAAATTAATTCAGCTAAGAGAGAAATGCAATTTTTTGCAATAAAAGTAAAAGAATTGAACAAAATAAACTAGTGATAATGGCATAAATAGTAAAAATGAATTAATTTATATTTTATGAAAAAAAAAGTTTAAATTTTATATTTGTGCTATTTTTTTTTTTGTTTCATTAATTGGTCGAGAATTTTTGTGAGAAATTATTGTTTGAATAAAATATGAAAAAGTATAATGAAAAAAAAAAAACAAATAAAATATAAGAGAAAAACATTTTTTTTTCGCTTTTTTCTTTTTTTTTGTTTACAAACTCAAATAATTTTGAATTTTTCAAATAAAAAAAAAAAATTCAAATTGAATATTTCAATTGAAAATTTATCTAATATTATCAATTTATAGTATTAATCATATTTTCTATCAATGATCATAATGTTATCGCTAGTTAAATTCTTGCCTTTATCACATAAAGAATTTAATTTCACATTTTTTTTCCCTTTTCTTTTTTTTTTTGGAAACAAAAAAGAGAGAGAGAGAGGGAGAGAGAGAAAGAGGGAAGAAATATGAATAATGTAAAATTGGCAATAATAATAATAATAATAATAATAATAATAATAATAATAATAATAATAATAATAATAATAATAATAATAATAATAATAATAATAATAATAATAATAATAATGATAATAATAATAATAATAATAATAATAATAATAATAATAATAATAATAATAATAATAATAATAATAATAATAATAATAATAATAATAATAATAATAATAATAATAATAATAATAATAATAATAATAATAATAATAATAATAATAATATAATAATAATAATAATAATAATAATAATAATAATAATAATAATAATAATAATAATAATAATAATAATAATAATAATAATAATAATAATAATAATAATAATAATAATAATAATAATAATAATAATAATAATAATAATAATAATAATAATAATAATAATAATAATAATAATAATAATAATAATAATAATAATAATAATAATAATAATAATAATAATAATAATAATAATAATAATAATAATAATAATAATAATAATAATAATAATAATAATAATAATAATAATAATAATAATAATAATAATAATAATAATAATAATAATAATAATAATAATAATAATAAATAATATAATAATAATAATAATAATAATAATAATAATAATAATAATAATAATAATAAAATAATAATAATAATAATAATAATAATAATAATATAATAATAATAATAATAATAATAATAATAATAAAATAATAATAATAATAATAATAATAATAATAATAATAATAATAATAATAATAATAATAATAATAATAATAATAATAATAATAATAATAATAATAATAATAATAATAATAATAATAATAATAATAATAATAATAAAATAATAATAATAATAATAATAATAATAATAATAATAATAATAATAATAATAATAATAATAATAATAATAATAATAATAATAATAATAATAATAATAATAATAATATAATAATAATAATAATAATAATAATAATAATAATAATAATAATAATAATAATAATAATAATAATAATAATAATAATAATAATAAAATAATAATAATAATAATAATAATAATAATAATAATAATAATAATAATAATAATAATAATAATAATAATAATAATAATAATAATAATAATAATAATAATAATAATAATAATAATAATAATAATAATAATAATAATAATAATAATAATAATAATAATAATAATAATAATAATAATAATAATAATAATAATAATAATAATAATAATAATAATAATAATAATAATAATAATAATAATAATAATAATAATAATAATAATAATAATAATAATAATAATAATAATAATAATAATAATAATAATAATAATAATAATAATAATAATAATAATAATAATAATAATAATAATAATAATAATAATAATAATAATAATAATAATAATAATAATAATAATAATAATAATAATAATAATAATAATAATAATAATAATAATAATAATAATAATAATAATAATAATAATAATAATAATAATAATAATAATAATAATAATAATAATAATAATAATAATAATAATAATAATAATAATAATAATAATAATAATAATAATAATAATAATAATAATAATAATAATAATAATAATAATAATAATAATAATAATAATAATAATAATAATAATAATAATAATAATAATAATAATAATAATAATAATAATAATAATAATAATAATAATAATAATAATAATAATAATAATAATAATAATAATAATAATAATAATAATAATAATAATAATAATAATAATAATAATAATAATAATAATGATAATAATAATAATAATCTTTGTAATTAGAATAACAGAGAGAGAAAGAGAGGGGGGAAAAAGAAAGAAACAAACAAAGAGAAAACCTTCTCACCCATTCTAATAACACATAATTAGCTAATTTATAATGTTAATTTTAATTTTGCAAATTTTACAATTATTTCAATTGACATGATGAAAATTAAATTAATTTACATGAAAGTTTTTAAACTCTTTAACAAATACATTTTTACTTAGACTAGATATTAATTTTGTAGGTAGAATTAAGCAAATAAGCAAACAAAAAAAATTTAATGCAAATTTCAATTTAATAAAAATAAATTTAATATGGAATAAAAATCATTTATACTCCAAGACTACTAGTTGGGGGTTTAGCTCAGTGGTAGAGCGCTCGCTTTGCATGCGAGAGGGCGGGGGTTCGATCCCCCCAACCTCCAGACTAGTTTTTCCCTTTTTGCATATTGTATTATACTTTCCATTCTTCTCTATCAGAATTAATCGAAATGATTCTTTACTAAAATGAAGATTTGTTGTTGTTGGTTGAATAGATGAGAATATATGTCATATATGACAATTTTATCGAGTACTCAAATTCACAATGCATTTAGGCTAACAATTGTAGTGTCTTTCCTTTTTTTTCGCCTGAATAAACACACTTCATGCGAGACTCATCAAAATATGAGAGAATTCAAATACTACTCTTCAGCAAATATGCCTTTTGTTTGGACTAAATCTCAATTTTAGCTCAGTGATAGGAGTTTTTGTGTAAAAGTTCATCCTAGCAATACATTTCCATTAATTCAATATGTAAAGAGTAAAATATTAAATGTTACGGACTATTTTTGACTACTAATGCCAAGATATTTCGTTACACTATATCCTAGTCAAAATTTCCTTTTGACAAGAATGTTCAAGCCAAGTGTAAAATATTGTTAATGTTCAGAAATCGCACACAAATCTAAATTCATTTGATAAAATCATTAGTACAGGAAAACATATTGCGCATCAATGTGCAAAAAAGCTTTGTCAACGGCAACTGCTGAATGACGAAATAATATATAAAGAGATTAATGAGTCAACAATAACAACGCAAAACATACATTAGTTAAGAAAAGTGAAAATTGAAATAACGTAAAACAGAAGTAGATATTCACAAGATAACGAGCAATAAACCAATTTCTCAACAGACAACAGATATACTGGCTTGCTTTTGTTAAGTATACACAAATAACAAGAATTTTTTTTTTTTTTAAACAAGCAAAACAATTTTTCTCAAAATTTCTCAAACAAGAGAAAAACTCGATTCAATCTAATGCACCGATCATCAAAAAAAAAAAAAAACATGCATATAACACAGGACAAAAAAAAAAAAAAAAAATACACAAACAAGACAAAAAATTTTAAAATTTAACTGAGAACTATTTCCATGAAAGAAGTGAATGCCTGTGGACACGTATACATTTTTACCATAAAGCTCTTCACCACTGTATCAATTTAATTTAAAGTATTTGCTGATTTCGACTCCACACAACCACCACAGTGTTTCTCAAAACGCGCAACCAGTGTTCGTACATATTGTGGCAATACCAGCAATCCTAAACTAGTAAATTTTAGGATGCAAAACAACAGAACCAATTTTAATATTATAGGAAATTACAAGCCTTCAAAAACATAATTGCATAAACAAAATCTTATGCGAAGTTTCATGTCACGCCGTCACCAGTATTAACTAAAAATATGGCCTTTCATTCAGAGATAAAGCAAAAATTCATACCAACGATTTTGTGATCTTGTGGTGTTCTGACACGGATTATCTGCATCCGCTGTGATCGTCTGATTTCTCGAGCAGACATACCGCTGGACAATACTTCTTCGACGATCGGCCATACCGAGAGCACCGAACCCGAAAGAACAAAGTAAGTTCGGGTCCGCCGTCCAGTTTCACAGTATACACCCATCGCTTCGTTCCGGCAACGGCCATGAAAATAATTATGCTGACAGGTTTTGTTCGAACCTGAAAACTGAGTAAAGTTGGAAGAACGGCACTATCCCAATATCCCAATAAGCAATTCGATAGACATGATGTTCTTGACAAAATTTGAGCCGAAATACAAAAAATGATAGCAATCTACTAACCTTCAAACAAATCTTTCCAAACTTGTTCAGTTTCTTCAGGAGTGGCAAGATGAAAACGTTTTGTTAACTCATCAATTGTTTCCAGTTTTGCACTTCGACCTGTGCTTGGTCGTGTTATGCAAAAAAGGCGTGCACCTGTATCCAAACGTTTCTTGCCGATACCATAAACAAGAGCTGCAGTCTTCTTCCCATTATTACCAACCGATGCCAGATAAAAACCATCCTGAAATTCAAAAAAATAAACTGCTAGCTAACAACTCGAACATATCTACTAACTACTGGTTTTCAAGCAATGAAGATTTTTATAAGTTGAAATGGGCTTAACTTTACCTGGTCTTCGTGATGATCCTTCCAAATTGCATAAGCATCTTCCCAACTCACACCACGTTCCACACCAATTTTGTGAATCTCAACTCGGAAGAAACCACTTTCATAGCGTCCCATGAATACACGAGTTTCTAACTTGCGTGCCTCATCCCCACCCATTCCAAGATCTAAAACATCACTCAATAACTGAACAATAAAAGTAGACATAACATTAATTTAGTACTAATAAAGTCCTCAAACAGTCCAATTAAGTTCATAGAAAAGCAAAATTTTAGCTTACCCATAATACCCATATCATAAGTTCCATCATGTTTCGCTTGTGCAACCAATTCAGCAACGATATCAGAAAAATATTGGAAAAGTGCGTTCTGTGCATGTACTGGTAAGCCAAGAAGACGATTTAGAAACTTTGGTATAGTTGCAGATTCTTTTTCAATTGTATAAACACCATTATCCAGTGATAATAAACCAACACCCTCCATATAACACTGCATATCTTTAAAAATTCAAATTTTTATAGCAAATTTCGTAAGAAGAAAAACCTTGAAATATCAATAATTACCAAAAATATACGCTGCATAGATCAGGTGACTTATGTGTTTATATATTTTCAAATTGAAGCAAGAAATATTTACCAATGATGAAATTTCCAGGTTTATAATCCTTTGGTGGTGGTATAAGTGGAGGATCGAGCAATCCAGTAACCGTTCGCAGCAGTACGTCTAAGGCAGCTCGACCATATCTCGTATCCAAATTAAACTGACTCAGGTCACGTGATTCTGTCGCACGACGGTCACCATGCGTTAATGCTCCGAGAGATTCAAGTCGTTTAGCAACTATTGATGCAAACCTGTATAAAACATAATACAGTAGAGCTTCCACATAGCAAAAAATTTAGAAGAATGTTTTTAGTACTTTGCTATGACTTTAATGACTTATCATCATTAAAGCATGTTTAGCCTTCAGTGAAAAAGCCGGTTTCATGACTTTAAAAAATGAGACAGGAAAAGCTGCGACATAATCTATGCTGAATTACCTTTTTTCACCAGCCAGTTCGGATATCAAGAATATGTATTCCGGCGCACTCACTTGATTTGAACGATGTGTACGCCCTAAAACATCAATTTATTTCCTTAAACTTTCCCTCTTCCAAAATGCATTATTAACTGAATAATAAAACACAGAAATTACCAAATTGTTGAATAGCTTTATCGGCTGACCAAGGTAATTCCAACGTGATATGTACGCGACGTCGACGGTTTGTAGCTCTTCGATCCGACTAAAAACAAACTGTTAGCTTATCCAAGGCATTAAATTTTCAGTACATAAATAGAGTCCATTTCAAAAAAAAGATAAAAACTAGCCTGCAATGATATGCCGGAAGATGCTGCCTCTGAAATTACAGCAACTAATTTTTCGCCCTTCATAAATTTATCTTTTTCATCCATATTCATTAGTTCAAGCGGTACATCTGCTCCAGCATGTCGAAGTTCATATTCAACATCACCATCTTCACGGCATACAACACGACCTTTACGACCAGTCATCTGAAGATGTTAAATTAGTATCTTCAGAGAGTCAAAATTTTCAATATTTTTGAATTACAACAAAAATAAACCTCAGCGACATAATCAGGACCACCCAATTCATCAATTAACTGATCAAGCGTATTTGGTGGCAATCGAGGGCTTAGACGCTCTACAGCAGCCAGCAGTTCAGCTTTGATTAGTGAAGTTTCACCAAGCGTAAGATCCTCATCACTTACCAGACGTGAAGATGATATGAAAACATCGGCAGTACTATGCTGCAACAAATTCATTTTTTGCGGTAAGAAGCTATCTCGATCTCATAACATCATTTTCCATCCTATTATAACATGACAAATAAATGACCAATTCAATCATTGCTGGTTTTAACTGCATACTAATCAAAGATGCGGTAAATCTATTTATAAAACTCGAAATATTGCAGCCACACTAATACCACTTAATTCATCTGCTGATCAGTTATCATATCTAGCAACACTGGATACAATTAAGGTAAAAATTATTTTTACAATATTCATCAAACCAAATTTCATTTCATACACTATATTATACTATAAAAGAGAATCATCCTACCATCGCTGTAGAATCGATCTTACTAGTAGATTTTTTTTGCTTCTTTTTGATCTTCTTTTTCTTAACTTTCGTCTTCTTTGGTGAGTCCGAAATAACCTGCTGTTTTGCTGCCCATGGATCTTCTAGAATATAACAAAATTTATCTAGAAATATAACAAAATTTATTTTTTATTTCTATATACGCTGAAAATTAATTGCTCAAAAAATTTTGAAATTGTACCTCTAGTAAAATCACAAGTAAATGGATTCAATTCTTCCTCGTCACTGCCTCCCTTCTCCTTTTCACTGCCACTTTTTTCTTCAGCTGCTTCCTCATCTGAACTTTTTGCTTCATCCAATAATCTTTGTAACCAGGTATCTTCGTCACCTTGGATGGCTCCATTTGATGCTAAATTAGAATGAATCGAACCATTCGACAAGTCAGCAAATTGATTTTTTTTACCGCTGGTTATTTTCTGACTACTCCATTCATTCATAAGGACATAAAAGTAAAAGTGGTGATCTCACTAGTTTGATTGGCAAAAGCAAAAAAAAAAAAATTCAGAACAACAAATATTTGACGTAGATGATAATACTGCTTTTGGTTCCTTTTCATACCCACTCACCGCATCAATTTAGACAGAGCATCTCATTAAATAAAAAACTACAAATAATATAATGAAATTCTATAACATATTTTGTATCTCAGTAAGTTGTACTATCTAGATATTATAGAGTACTAAAATATAAAACGAAATTTAGCATTTCAAGCATTGTATGTACGACACGCTTCACCAAACAGCATTAACATCATAACAATCGTAATACTTGTACCTTTTCCATAATTTTTACTTACTGCGCAAACTGCTTTTGATTTCTACAATGATCAAATATATATTCTCAATGTTAACAATCAGAAATACCAATTTGTTTTCCAATGAATTGCAATTCAAGTTGTCATTAAATTAGTGTAGCACTATTTTACATCACTTTCAAAAAATAAAACATACGTTCTCCTTCTTCACTCGATGATTCATCTTCCTCTTCCGTTGATTGCGAACTATCATCGCGTGTTGATGACTCCGTACCATCCGAATCAGACTGTTCCTCTTCACTTGTTTGTTCTGCCGTAATCGAATTTTGTCTCATCCGTTTTGCAGATGAAGCAAAGGTTGTCAAACTCACAGACCCCAATCTGTCTACTGAAACAAGACGTAAAACATATTTTTTGGTGGTTCTCAAATCATATTTCAGCAAACTGTTCATTTTTTGTCTATAGCAGAGATAAACAATTTCAATTTTCTTTTGCTGATCAAACATCACCATGTGATATGTGATGCTAGGCATTTATAACCTAGCATATGTTATAGCCCAAGTCAAATACCAAAACAGCGACTGATTTAATCAGGAACACTGCAACGTAATACTAGATCATAGTCATCAGCCGTTGCAAATAATTCACTTTTTGCAACATATAACATTCTACTAAACGCACATTTGCGTTTGACTGGACGATCTAATTCATTGCACATTTTGTCGAAATTGGTATATACATCCGCTGAAGAATTCGTATTTTCCGTTGGGAAATGTTTTTCTATAAGCCTCGCCAATACTGCTCTAAATTATCGTTCTTCATAAATTTTTCAATTTAATGCGTATGAATATGTACGGGATATAATCATCCTTATAAGCACCAATGTCATTTCATTTAACCTTGATTATGTTATGTTTTTCAAGCAGTTTCACCAAACTTCGTTAAATACAAACTTGGCAGTGGATACGAATTCATTCAATTCGCCACCGGCATCGTCAAGTGCTTCCAGTGTTTTCGACTCACCAGTAGTTTGTAAACCAATCACAACGCACTTATTGGCTTTTATTGCATCACGCACTATCTTGACACATGATTTTACCTAAACAAAGTTTGGATATTTTAGTCCTATATTTTTAATCCTATCATCCCTTTCTACTCTGAAAAGTTTTCTAAACACCTACTTTCATCAACTGGTGCAGAAAAGCAACAGTAAATATAACGTTGTTTAATTAATATCCATAGTACAAAAATTATTCCAAATTTTTTTTCGTACAAAAAATATGTTATAATGTACCTTTGCACCAATACAGATGTACTTGAAAAATCGTTGATGTGCAGCCCAAAACTGTCCCCAAATCAGTTTCACTTGCGTTCGACCAATACAATGACGAGTAAGAGCTGCCTGCAAGAAATTTTCTTTTGTCATCTTACATTGCTCACAATATTAGTGGGATTTGAACATAATTTAGAGCGTTACTCATACCATACTTTTTTTCAATTAATGTACGACTGCTAATCAAACAAACATGCATCAAATTATAATGGACCTGGAACTGTCGTCGACATTCAAGCCATATTTTAACCGATGCGTCATAAACTTCGACGAAATCTGCCGACAGTGGCACTTCTTCAACCCGAAAGCTCACACCACGGAAAGAAAGCTGTCGCGCCAGATAAAGGCCACGCTGCTAAAAATTCTGACTTTTAACAAATTCAAAGATCAAAGACTAACTGGAAGATTTTTCATAAAAAATGGAAAGGAGCATTGGTTAAATATGTTACACAGAAACCTTCATATCCATTGCAACTACTTCCATAGCTCCAACGCCTCGTTTTTCTACAGCATTAATGAAATCACTAAATTCTCGAAATGCTTGTCCCTGTCCCCACAAGCCTATACGTGTCATATATGCCATATTTCGAGGTTCTGAAAATAATTCCACAAAACATCTTGCATTGTACTGATATCCCATAAACTGGATTAACCGGTGGTAGGTCGTGGTTTCATGAAAGTTTCATGAAAATCAATGCGCTCGTTATATAATCGATAGTAACATATATTTGAATTCGATGAACAATTTATACCTGTTGCACCAGTTGCTGAAGCATAAACAATTCGGGCGTTTGGTAAAGCTTTTTGCAGTTCCATAACACTTCGGCCAGTTTTCGTTGGTTTTGAACCGGATGTTGGAACCAAATTCTTCGCACGATGACACTCATCAAGCACAATAACACCATCGTAATCCTACAATCAAGGCAATGTAGTATAAGAGTATTTGTAATTCTGCTCAATGTTTCTTCAACAATTTTGTAATTTAGTAAACTGCAGCCCCTTTAAATTTAAATTATTGGCGATGACAGAGAAAGTATGCAAGAAGTTTGAGTTTTTTTAACACATAAGAAAAAAATATAACATACCAGAAATAAAAAAGTGATAAATGTAAAGAAGAAACATAACAAAAACTGATAAATTCTGACTAACATTTTAAACATCGACAAATAGCTAAAAGGGGATTCATGATACTATCATATATTCTCTCACAGAGATGTATTACATGACTTAGCGTAAAAACTATTCGTACACTTTATATTATAGAATCAGATAGTGCTCTAAGGTCCTAGTATTTCCAAGCTAAAAGTATCAGAGCACCGTCTTGTACTACAATAGAGCTTAAAAAGAAATATTAAAGGCCTATATGAAAATATTCAGCCCGAGACACACTAAATTATCATTTTTATGTCTGAATTTACATCAACAGACATTAGGATGAAACTAAAAACCAACCTGACCAAACCACTGGATCAGTTGTTTAAGCCTTGTTCGGTATTTACCTTTTGCTGAACGACATTCACCAATGAGTGATGAATACGTAGCAAAAATGCAGCCTTTCTTAACATCATTTTCTTTTCCACCAATTTTGGAATATTTGAATTTATTTAATGCGTAAACCTAAAAATCACGAATGCTGTGTTTAATGCCAAAATATTTATAATACCTTAGTATAACAACACAAGGAATGTTTATTGATTACTGCACGACATAATATACATATCACAATTTTAACCAACAGTTTACAAAATGAAAGGACAATTCAAGTATAAACCTTGATGTTTTTTGCACCGATATCTCTCAAATCTCGTTCGGCATCGTATCGCAAATCAGCCGAAACACTGAGCCTACAAAATATCATTTTCCAAACCAGAAAAACCAAAAACGTTTCCTTTCTCCAACCGACATATTTGACACAATTAAGGTTTTATTAAAGTTATTGGATGTTCATCAGGAATTTAATCACCGATATGTCGCGACTTAAAATTAATTGAAAACATAGCATTAGACTTCAAACAAAAGTAGTTAACAGTAGATAACGGTATTATAAGTCAAAGTAAAAACAAATGTTAAAAGTTTCAAAGTTTCTTTACTTAAAAAAACATTTAATTTCCAAATGAAAACAAAGAAATTTTACCAGATTGATCGTTTCCGTCCTAATAAATAATTTTCAAAAATGATGCAAGCAATCGTTCTTCCTTTACCCACACCAGCTCCATCACCTATGAAATCGAGAAAATTTTGTAATGTAATATCCAATTATGCAGATCACTGCTCAAGAATACAACAGTGCTGTTAAAGAAAAAACCGAAAATGAAACGGAACAATGTAAGATTAGTTTGAATTTGAGACAACAGATACATATAAACTTGCCCAAGACATGAAAAAATTGGCACAATTGTACCTAACAAAACTATAATAGCAGAACTTTAAAAGAGAAATAAAACGATGAGAAAAAACAATATCGACAATAGAGAATCGAGCAACCACATTTTTTTTCAAATAAACTGAAGGTCTTACCAATCAAATAGCCAGCGCGTTCATTCGATGGAAGGCGCATCTCATGCGCTTGACAAGCATATACAACTGCTTCCAACTGTACAGCTGAAATCGCGCCTGTATCAATGATCTGAAACATAAGTCATTAAAAAAAAGAAACAGAAGAAAAGAACTGGAATATGAATGTTTGGGTCAATTTCAGCTATTTCCTAGGTTTGATTTGAAGGATGAAAAGTTATATTTTTGGCAAAAGATCTTCACAAAAATATATCTTCTAGAAGTTAAAAAAAAAAAAAAAAAAAAACAAACAAACCTCTTCCGGGACAGTTAAATTATAACGTATATCTGGTGGCGCAACACTACTCAACGATGCAGTTTCAATAACACTGTCCGGATGCGACAAGCCGGAACGAAGTTTCGTTGGACGATAATCTGCATACGTTTCCGCATAGCCCAAATTCTCTTCCTAAAACTTATTGAGAAAGGATGAACCAACGATATAAACAATGAAGTCATACGATGCAATCATTGACTGGAATTATATGATGACGTTCACAAAACTGTATCAGTATTTCAGTTTAGGCAAGCCAAAATCAAACCATCCATTGAGTACTCTCATGGAAACCAGACATATTACATCGGTTGTCAAACTAATAGTCATTGTTGAAGAATCAATATGTCTAATCTTTGCCAGCAAACAATTTAACATGCGAAACACGCTTTTTCGACTTTGGATATAAAGTCAAAATGACATAAAATTTAGATTTATACTACACTAATTCCAAATTTTCATAAGAAATCCGCAATTTTTCAAGATGTCAAAAATATAATAACAAACAAAAATTCCGAGTATGACAACTGCAAAGAAATAAGACAAATAAAGGCTAAACCTCATCATCAATCTCCTGTTCATTTTGAGTAAGACGGCACTGTAGGGCCGTTTCCATCTCATTCCTTACGGATTTTTTTTCTTTCTGGTCCAGCAGTTTGCGTTCCATAGTGCTTGAATTATCAAAGAACACTTCGTCTTTTGATGCCCCGCTACCACGATACTCATCGGTATGTGGCGTCTTTCGTTCACTCATCCGAATACGTCGCAAAACTTCACCTACAGGTAGCCGTGGTTCAACCGAATTTCCAAGCATACGTATCCGACCGGTTGCATCGAGCTGTCGTTTTTCATTATTATTATTTCCTGATGTGTTGGATAAGATTGGTTTCATACTAGCAATAGAACCGGTTAAATGACTTCGAGCTCTCTGCAAGTTCGGTAACACACGGTTTGTTGTTACAGTGGAATGAGGACCTTGCACAGTCACTGGAGATGTTCGGCGTAAAACTGAATTCCGTATAATCCTTGCTTGAGCATTTGAAGATGTGATATTCGATTGTAATACTGCTGAAGGCAAATACTGATGTCCTGTCTCTTGCAAAACGTTCACTGGATCTCTCTCAATGCATGCTGATGGTGTAGTGCTCCTGTAAAAAAAAAAAGAATTAATGAAAAGTTCTGATAAATCAGATTTAGTTAGAATCCGAAAATTTTCGGAGACTAAATATATGCTGAAATAAACAAGAACTAAAAATAAACAGTAATTTTGCATTTCCAAAATTATTTTCTACATCAGCAAAATGTTACCTTTGCAAGAAAACAGGTGTTGATCGATCTGACCGAAAAACTGGCCGGATTATACGACTACCACGAAGGGCAAATGTTCCGTTACAGTTTCGACTTAAAACTGCACGTGTAGTCGGAATACGCCGTGGCATAATATCCCAGTTACGCTGACGTACGTAAACGACACCTATGCAAAGGAATTGTAATCTAATAGAATAGTACAAAGAGGAGTGGAACTTGTTTCATTTTCTTCTAACTTTAAATAGAATCTAAACCATTTTTGGGACGTTGCTGCATAACTATCACGCGACGTGGTAAGTTCCAAGATGCACCACTCATGCACGATGCTTCCCCGATAATTTCAACATCATTATCATCGTCAGCTCCATTGGTAGCTCTGTACATTTCACGTACTTTCACTGTCGACCGTGCTGTTACAGAGTTTCTGACTGACTGAAAAATACTCAGAACTTGAAACCATGTGATACTATTCAGATCCAGTTCCTTCTTTTTTAAAACAAAACTTTGGAAACTAGACTGATAACAGCAGAAGCTGTCCCATCATAAATATCTCGTTCATGCCCATAATAATAGTGAAGTATTTTATCAGCTTACCGTTAAATTGTTCGGTTGTAATGGTTGTTGCGATGAGGTAACTGAACGTTGTGAACGGAAAATATTGTTTCCACCATCCGGCAACTTGCCAGTATTTTCATGTTGTTCGTTTACTGTCGTCCGTTTACCATCGTCAGTACTCAAATCACTTGGTAATTCGGCCGTTCCAACGATTTCAACTGACTGTTGATGAATGGCTGTATTTTCGGTGCTGTTATTTGAGGGATCATCAGCGCGCGGTGTATCCGAACGAGAATTACTTTCAGAATCCGTATGTGAACATGAAGGAAGGATTAAACAACCATCGCTTAATATTTCTATATTTTGCTTCTTATCTTCTGGTTCGGCTTTCCCTAATGAAAATCCTGTCAAATCGTTTGTCTGATCACTGGTATTGAGTGGCCGTGTTAATATATCATTTCCTGACTTCTCAACTTCACTATCAATGATTTCCGGTGCCAACAAGAATTCTTCTAAACCAGCTTCACATATTGCTGCCGATAACAGATCATCCATTCGTATGTGAACCCTATAAATAAAGTAAAAATTTGGAATCCACTGCAAATATTTGAAATCTCTCCAAAATTAAAACAAAAATAATCTTGGATACGAGGCCAATACTACAATTATGATAAGATTTCATTAGGCAAAAGATAATCAGCTCTTACTATATGGACTTACTAATCAACTCATATATTATTAACCCTGACATTTTATCAAGTGTAAGAAATGATACACTAAAGCAATAACGTATATCTAGTAGATAACAGGTCATCCATTCGTATGTGAATCCTAGACATAAAGTAAAATCTTGAAATCCATTGCAAATATTTAAAATCTTCCGCCAAGTGTCATCAGCGCTTAACATGCCTTATATGGTTATATACTTATCCGTATGTATGTATAATACTCCATCTATTTATGTCTAATAATATGACAGTCGTAAATCATTTATGCTTAACAAGCTAATAAACCAATTTTCATATTTCATTCTCACTAATTAGTAGATTACAAAAATATGAAGAGTATTCATTCACAATTTTTAAAAAAAAAAATATTCGAAATATCACAAATTGTTAAATTTGAAAACTTTTTCGAGAAACAAACAAATTTGATATAACACAAAAGAAAATCGAAAATAGAAACAGAATTGACACTCGATAAAAGTAACAATAAGTTGGCTTAAATAGACTAATCCTACCAGAAAATGCTATAGTAAATAGATAGAGTGAAGCATTACAAGAAATCAATTTAAGATTCAAAATTTCGATTTAAATTTTTTTCCAACTTAAATCTTATCAAAATGTTTATTTTGCTTTTCACGTCTTCCTGTACATCTTTAGACTAACAACAATAGTAAATGGAATTGAAATAGAATGTAACTTAAACTATCATACAAATTTCGGTAATTAAGTTTTAAATTTAAAAAAAAAAAAAAAATCCATGAAACTTCAATATAAACATATATATTACCTAGCTAAACAGCATAATGATATGTATAAATTAGAATAACTATTGTTAACAAAACAATCTGAAATCAGAGGACAGACAGTTCCCTCATTTCCATCACTGGGAGAGTGTGAGGATGAGGAGAAGTGCGGGTAGTGTTAATCGATAGTCGTTCATTCAGATGTGTGCACTTCTCAGCATTCATTTCTATTCTTTTTAAGGGTTCTCTTTTTTTTTTTGATATGCAAATTTCTAGAAATTTGAAATTGTTCCGAATGTTAAAAGTTATACTCAAAATAGGGGAAAAAAAAAGATTGGCATTTCACAGAATTTATAAACAATTGTATATGAATTTCATCTAAATGTTGATTCTTTTTTTTTTCCCGCAACATACATCTCTTCTCTTTCCCCCTTCTCTCTCGCTTCCTAATATCGTTATGTTTAGTTCTAAACTACGAAATAAATTTAGCATCGGATTTTTTTTTCCAAATCATTCCACGAAACTATCAAAGTATATTATACATATATGTATGAAATGAATGATACCAAAACTACATACTATTTCACTTAAAATAACTACAAAACGAGCCTTTCTTCTTGTCTGCTTCGAGAAAGGTAACACTTCGTCCTTAATCACATCGACTATTGTCACTCCTTCACACTGCAAATGTATCATTCTCAATCCTCTGGTCACACTGCAATCTCTGAGGTCACACCTTTTGACGTAAACTACGTTAATTATTTGTTGGCCAGTGACAATATCCCACATCTCCTTCACCTCCTTTTTCAAATTGTTTACATCACTTTTGCAGCAATCTCTTATTCTTCCGCCTGCCTCTCTCTCTTCCTCCCTTTTTCTTTATTCAACGTTATCTCATGAATGTAATTTTACATAATGAATGGTAATGAACAATTGAGAAGCTTTCGATCTCCACTTGCTTTCAATCAATCAATTCTTGCGGAGAATTTCCTATCTGCTTTGTTATTTTGATCACCTTGAATAGTCGTTGAATGACAAAGAGAAATTCAGCATGTTCAATTAATTCTCCACCAAATCGCACGTCATTTTCCACCTTCATTTGTCTTCTTTTCAACATCGTTACGTTTTGCGTGTCATATTTTGGTGTACTTCCGACACTTACGTGACAGTCCACGTTTCTTCTTCTTCAGACAAGAAAAACAAACTACCACTGCACCACTAACCACACTTTATAAACTACTAACTCTGCACCCTGGCAACCTGCCAACAAGAGCTGCGTCGTGTTGGGACGCAGCACAGGCGTCGTCAAGCATAGAGTGCTGCAACAGTCGCCACTCAGCACAACTCAAAGAAACGGATAGGAGCGGCGGCAGAGAGAAGGGATAAAAGAGAACTCGCTCGGCGGTCTCTTTCCGCGTTGCCTTTTATACTGAGCTGTCGCTTGCGCTGCATCGCGGTGCACCGCCCCATCTCTGCTGCAGAACTGCACTCTGGATGCTTGCCAAGATGCAGCAGTGCAGCGAATCACAAACTGACAAATACTACTTGTACGTATTTTGGACTTGATTGCGTCACCACATAATACTGTCGCTCGACTGCACCACACAATGACACGCACGCGATAATAAGCCACGTGTTGCTTTCATTACACTTCAACTAAGTGATTTTGCTGTTTGAAGTTGTCTTTCAAAATTTCTCACTTCAAAACTTCACTGTCTATTACTTTCCCGTATGTATGCGTCCGTCTGTCCGTCACTTCCCTGCATGTGCGCATACGTCTGTTCATTACTTTCCCCTTCCGTGCGTACGTCTGTCCGACACTTTCCTTATACGTGCGTACGTCTGCCTGACACTTTCCCTATACGTGTGTACATCTGTCCCACACTTTCCTTATACGTGCGTACGTCTGTCCGACACTTTCCTTATACGTGCGTACGTCTGTCCGACACTTTCCTTATACGTGCGTACGTCTTCCGACACTTTCTCTATGTGTGCTTATATGTCCGTCCATATGTCACTTTGAACTCTGCCCATATGTCTCTCCACTACTTTGATTTTATCTCGTGCATGTGTGTCTACCCGTCTCCCTGTCTGCCATTGTGAAACTGTATGGATATTATTTCTCTGTTCGTCTAATTTCACAATTTCTCTCGATTTCTTAACGAATAGATTGGACTGTGTCTGTCCGTCCATCACTTTCACCTATTTTCACGTACACTCTCTATCCATAACCTTTCATATAGGGCTGAAAAGGTCAGAGTGCTATGCTGGGAGAGGTCAAGCGGACACATAATTTAGGAGGAGAAAAAGTGAAGGGACCAATCGATGTAAAGAAATGCTATATCTCTCTCTTCTCTTCAAAGAATATCGATGACTGATCAGAGATTTTCTGGGAGAATTCGAGGAGAGAAAGAAAGGAAACACTCTGTAATATTATTATATGTATAAAATTACGAATTCACGAGTAAAAATAAATTAATAGCCGTGAAACGGTTTTAATTTATCTTTTCCGGAATTATATCGTAATTGGTTGAGTAATCAAAGAGCCAAAAGGACGTGAACATGCTTGATACAGATGACATTTCTTGTTAGAGCAATGCATATGGTTGACAATCCTGTCATTTCATTTCACTCTTCGTTCATTGCTCTCCTTTCGCTATCGATGTAGAACGAAGAATTAATGAAATATTACCGGAATAATAAATCTCCCATCAAATATTTATTCTCATTCAAAATATCTATCATTTTCTCCTCTTACTCGATGATATTAGAGTAATTAATAACAAGCAGTTCTTCCCAACAACAACAACTTTTCCAGTCTTTCGAGATTTGATGAGAAATTTACAATTGTCATTTGCAAATTGTCCTTTCTTAATAATACTGAACAGATGTGAAAAGTAATGAAATGCTAGCAACATTAGCATAACTTGAAATTAGTTAAATAAGTTGCAAATTAAAATTGGCGCATATAATTGTTTTCAAATCAATCATAATTTTATTTCATTTTCGCGCTTTAGCAGTAACAATATTTACTTCTTTAATTTCATTCCAATTATGCCCTAATTTCATTCATTTATTTCTTTTCCTTGTTAATTCTGTACAACAAAAGTGCAAGTGAAAATGGATTTATTCCTTCTTTGCACATCACTTCAATGCTTCAGGAATGCTACTGAATGATTTCTCCTTTACTGTACAAAAATTTTTGAAATCGAATCAATTATTGTTTTCTCTCTCTCTCTCTCTCTCTCTCTCTCTCTTCTCTCTCTCCCTTCTTTCTCTTTCCCATCTGCAGTTTGCTCAATTTCATTGAATTTTAATGAACTTCTTTAATTGTTTGTCGATTAGTCATTTGTGGAATTTTCGCAATAAAATGTTAGAAGAAAAGGAATAAGAACACAAATGAATAATTACAGAAAGAGAGAAGGAGAGAGAGAGAGAGAGAGAGAGAGGGAGAGAGAGAGATGAGAAAAACTGTTAAAGATCCTTTTAGTTTTATTATGAAATAAAAAAAACGAAAAAAACGAAAAAAAAAAAAAAGGAAAAGAAAGAATTGGTTAAAAAATATGAGCTAATTTCGATTGAATATAGTGCAAAATATAAAATTTCTCACACTTATCTCAAAATCTATAAATGAATAAACAATATTTTCAGTTTTTCTCTCATTTTTTTTCTTCTCTTTGTTATTTCTAAAATTGAAAAATTCGATAAATGAAAATTTTTTCATCAATATCACTCTAACTAACTTAAATGACACATATACTCAAAATGACTCACTCAAATAATTGAATGTACATTAATGATAATGACAAGATAATTCGAAATGAAGTAAAATTGTCATGCAATGAATCTGCAGTTATCATGCATATAATTGATTCTTAATTAAGAAATGTAGTTGTTACGAAATATCATCTTGCAATACTTGCATGCATGCATATGCATGCACGTATGCATACAAGTAACAATTCATATTTTGTGTGTGTGTGTGTATATGTGTGTGCAATGAAATAATGCATGAATGGACGCATAATGGAATGCAAGAAATATTCACAATTATCATAGAGTGAATAATAATTATGAGACATAATTTATGAGACATACTTCCATATGCATGCATTCATCGCTTATTGCAAATAACCATTCCACTTCTGCACAATAAAGATGACACATGTATGGTGTGTATGCATGCATGCATGCATGCACATATGATCGATTTATACATTAAATACTGAAAAGAAGGACGTTGAAATATCTTTGCGCACAATGGTTGCTTTTTTTGCTATATAAAATTTGACTGATACTACGTCTGTTGCATAATGTCCTGCGTGTATAACGGACGTGTTCCATTGTAAGGTAAGGTGCGATATCTGCCTGTAAACTTCGTAAGGTTGCGTAGGTGGTACGTAAAGTTGTTACGTACTTTTTTTTCTATACGTGCAAACTTTTTGTTGAGCATGTTTTGATGAAATATTGGAAGGAATACGTGTAACAAATAAGTGTTTACTTTCACTTAATTAATTAGTAAATATTATGCAATTATTTTGTGTACATAAACATTATACTTAAAACAATCAGATAAGATTTATAATAGTATCGTATTAGAGATGCGAAAAAATACACATAAATCATATTGGTAGTATTATAAGAAAAAGTCATAGTCAACAAATTGCTTTGTGCTCATTTATCGATTAATTTGAGAGAATATCTATTTAGTATATCAACAATTATTATTACTATTGTAACAACAATTATTATCGTGTTTTTGTAAAATGTATGCTACTATTGCTCACTTTCACTGTACTGAACAACGTTTTGTTACGTCCACGTACGTATTATATTATAGATGTTCATGTGAGGAATAAGATGATTGTCATGATTTTTATGGACTTTGTTGTGCTTTTACAAAATTTCATAGATATACCACATCTTAGTTTCCGTGTTCTTCCTTCATTCTTTTATGAATTTTATTTCCTTTTTTCTTCACATATATGTTACGTTAATGGTTTTCAGCGAGAGATACTACCAATATGAAGGACAAATTCTTATCATTGCAACGAAATCATTCATAGTAATTAATTCCCTATATCATTCGATGCCACCTTAAACGTAATATTACGTGACGTAACGTAACGATGGTTATTACAGTACGACTCACGTATGGTACAGATGAGAAACGTCAGACAATACTGCTGCATCGGTTAGTTTTTCTTCGGCGCCAATTTTCAAATTTTGCTCTATTTTTTCGTCGAGAATCTGACCATATAGAGTTGATTTGTTAGTGTACGGTATGGCAAAATCAAAATTAATCCCGATTATTAAATCGGTTATAAACTTCACAGTTAGCAGCAAATTTCTATTCCACATCAACTTATGGAATGTAACTGAATAAATTTTCTTATGTACCAAATATTAGTTTTTAACACATTTATTTAATTTTTTTGCTTATATTATCAAGGATTGAATAAGGATGTTAAACATTTAAGTTCTAACTTTCAGATGTAAAGAAACTGTAAAGTGAATTCTGTTCAAGAATACTTCTAACATTTGACCACTTGTGCTATAATAAGTTAAAAGCGTCAAAATTTTAATTTAGTAAAGTGTAAACAATTTTTAATTTTAATTTAGTAAAAATTGTTTACACTTGTAACATTTAAATTTATCGGTCACATGTATTTCGTATGATAAATCATGGGAGCACAGAAAAGAAAGAATTTCGATTGAGAGAATAAATTCCAAGAGGAGAAATAAATCTTGCAGTTGTTTCAGTTATTCGTTTTTTATGCAGTAATCTACTTTAAAGCATTAGAAAACAGATGAATTGTCTTTTTCATTTATTCGCATGAGTACTGCTTTTTATATTGCATTTATTTGATTGTTGAGCTACTAAACAATTAATTAAAGTTGAGAAAAACTGGAAAATTAAGAAAAGACCAGTGATAGCTGTAATAATTTTGCACTAAAAAGGAAATATTGTTTTCTAAAAAGAAAAGGCGAGAAAATACTTAAAAAAAGAAAAGGAGAGAAAAGACTTCAAGTTTCGGTATTTTCCAAAATTCTTAGGGTATTAACCTGTAATCTTCGATTTAATACTTTATGTATTTTTTGGTATTATGGACCTGTTTGTATCTTGATGAGAAATTCACTTTCATTTTTCTTCGAACTTATAGTACGTACAAAATGATTTCAGGGGTTTACCAGTGTCAGCGTTGTCGAATCGAATGCTTGACAAAATAGTCCATCGTAAACGTGGAGGTGCTCGAAGTACCAAGAAAAAGACGACAAGGTATGTGTGTTGATTTGTATGGTTCTCTTCCAGTTGTTACAGTTATCCTTCATTTATATTTTGCGAATTACTTCCATCTATATTTTCTTAAAATTATTTCACTTTTGAACTTTTGGGTAGCCTATGGTGGATGTTATCGGTTGATTTATTAATTTGGTTTTCAACTAGAATGGTAAATAACGCTTTTCATGTTTCTTTTCCCTTTACAGGAAAGGAAAATCTGTTGGGAAAGAAACTGAGAAAAGCGATGATGCTTCAACTCACAAAATCACCGAGTATTTTCCGCTTCGTCGAAGCAGTCGAAAAACGGAAAAGCAGCTTGAAGTGGAGTTTTTTGCTTTTGCATAATTTTGCAGTACTAAAAAAATTTAATTTGTTTATTAGTTCGGCAGCAAATTCAAGACTACAAACTTTTTCTGAATCAAAATTTTTCTGTTGTTTCGCAGTTTGGAAAATTAGCATTTTCACTATTGTATTTCGAATTTTTCGGATATTTGCAGCAGGAGGAACGTGATGCAATGGCAAATGCTATTTTAACAGGTAGTAATGAGGAATTCCTTGAAATTTTTGAGTGCGAAGAAAAAGGTCGTGGAATTCGTACCTTGCGGAATTTCCAAAAAAATGAGTTTGTGGTCGAGTATAAAGGTAAAATAAGTGTAAATATATTATGAATGTTACAAATTTGCTAAAACTTAATTGATGATGGAGTCTTTTGCATTCATGGAATAATACATTAGTTGTCTGTTCTGATATCACTTTGGATTACTTTTATCCCAGTTAATTAAAAGCAGAAACAATGGATTTACCGCCGGATGCTAACGTGCGATTTACGCATAGTTTCAGGTGAAATAATAGATTTGAGGCTAGCAAGGATTCGCGAACGAGAATATGCCAAAGATGATAGCATTGGCTCATTTATGTATTTTTTCAAATATCAAAATAAGCAATACTGTGTTGATGCTACAGATGAAACACCTTACAAAGGTCGTCTGATAAATCATTCTGTGATAAGACCGAATCTCAAAACAAAAGTATGTTTAATATAGAGATTAACCATAAATTCTACTTTCTTCATACTAGTCTTATGACAGTTTTGACATTAGATTAATGATAGTGATTAGGGAACAATATTAGAATACATCGAGTTTTCATTTTTGATTGCATGAGATCGTTCTATTAAACACCATAAACGTAATATATACTAAAACTAGTTCATTACGTAACTACTTAAATTCTCTCTAAACCATCCATATTTGTTATTAAACTAGCACTGTTGTATTTAAAGTAATTATCTATTGCAGCAAATGCTATTATATGAAATTCGTCCATTTATGATAAGAAAATGAAATAAATCGATATAACGTTAAGGTTATCGAATTGAATGGATCGAAACACTTGATATTGATTGCTAAGCGAGACATCGATATTGGTGAAGAATTGCTATATGATTATGGAGATCGAACACCTTGTACTGTTGCAGAAAATCCATGGCTGTTAAACTCGTGATGTTCATCTTTGTGTTGTTAGGTCTTCATCTTGTTCCGAAAATTATGAAGTCGCTTTAATTTAGAAATTCTATAGAAATTGATGGTTTAATGAATTTAATATTGGATTGATCTTCGGCGAAGTTTTTGGATATTTGGATTATTTGTAGCTCTGAAGTTTTTTTTTATATGAATTTTTTGCACTGTTCGTTTCCTTTTTTTCGCGTGTAAGACTGCAACTTTTTTTTAACAGATATTCGCAAGAAGTAATGTTTGTACTGTAATGATGTATTTCTGATCTCATCGGTTCGCATACTTCACGCGATTTGTGATTGACTATTTGTCTGCTAAATTATATGTGATGGACCTTTAAACTGCATTAGTCCAAAGTTTCCATTTTTAGATCAGTGTAATATTCAAGTAACGTTTAAACAATAAGACAATTCAGGTAGCGAATGAGCTCATTATTTTGCTCAAATAATCATATGTTTGTATTTTCATGGATGATTATGTAAAATGTTTATTTCCTCCTGGTTGTGGCAATTCCAGTCCTGTTCCTGGTAAGATCTACGTTTTTTCAATTTTTTTTTTCACTTCCTCTATCAACAACCTACCCAAGAGATGAATTTAAGAAAGGATTTTTTAAAAATCAGTTAAAAGTTGGCTGGTATGAGTTTTGTTGATTACTGTGATATTCGGCAAGTATAGTGAACTTCTGCACCGCAATACGTGAACATTTATTTTAATATCTAACAGTTTTAAATGTCTTTATGATTTAGTATCCTTTGATTTGTTCAAATATTTTAATTTAGCAACGCCACAGTCTAATTCGCTTTATTTTTTGGGACGTTTTTGATCTCATTTTTATTTCTCATTCAGTTATTGTTATTTATTCGACACTGTTAGCGTTATCTACCCAACTCCTATAATGATGTTTATCAAATTAGCGTAAATGTTTTATCGGTTGTTGTGATTTTTGCAATAGGTTTACTGTATTTTATCTGTTTGTTTTTGTTTTTAGTTATATGAACAATTTTTGATTCTTGCAGAAGAATATTTTTAACGAAAAATATTTTTGCTCAGATCTTTAAGTCAGGTACTCTCAATAAGTAAGATTTTTCTCTAGTTAAATGTGAATAATAATTGTATTTTCAGCTGCTCATGATCTTTCTTAATTACATCATTATGGTTCTGTAAATTGAAATTGAGTAGTAATTGGCGGTTGTATTGATTTAATTTTTCTAGATATTTTCTGCGGAAAGTCATATCTGAGTAAAGAACTTACTTTTTCTCATTTTTTTGAATGGACTGGCTTTTTTGATTTGTATATTAATGGTTTCAAAAATTTGTGCTTTAATTTTTTTGTGCATTGTATTATTTATTCAGTGATAATAAATTTGAGATTACTGAGAAATCGATTTGTTGCGTTAATTGCAATATTACCATTTACATATGGCAGATAAGCTGTATGATGTGCAATAAATGCTTACATCTTTAAACTGCTAAAAAAAAAAAAGATTGTGTTTTTAATTTCATTAGTTATTCAGATTGAAACATTTCATAGAATTTCAGAAATCTAATTATTGAGAATATTAGCAGCTGTGAATATAAGGCGGTTTGTCGGTATCATAATGCATTATGGAAATGATTGGAGCTATATGTAATAACTTTTTTTTTTTTTTTTTTAGCACTTCTTACTATTAATACTAATAAATCTAATAATGTTTTACGAAATTTTTAATTGTATGATAAAAATGAGAATGATGTAACATTGCTAGGGCAATATTAGCGTGAAAGAAAATATAATTGTTGAGATTGAGGGAATCGTTTGTGAAATCAGTGTAAAACTATGTAACACTGAAATGAATGAGATATATTCAGATTAAACATGAAAGTTTTTGATATCACATATGATAGCTTCTTACTTTTAGATAATTAGAGTTTTATTTTTTGCATCAAATTCTTATTTTGTAAACGCTAATCATTTGGTGTATCATAAAAGCGTCATGTGAGTAAAACTTGTGTCGAGTTAAAATTACCATCATTCACGTAGTACGTGTAAGTTAGTTGTATGTTTGGTAAGTTTACATAATTTGATCATATTATTATATTTTTTTATATTAATGTATGATATCATGCTACTTTGCATTGAAAATATACTTCATAATAAATATGTTGTTTATAGCTTCTGTCGTAATTTTCATCCTATATATGAGAATTTATGTTATATATGATATATAGAAGAATTATTTTATGCTTGTATATATCCGTGTTATGCATCTAATTTTACTTATTATGTTTTATCATATAATTCTTGTTTTTCTTTCCAGATGTTACTTGGTATTGGCAAATCATTGAGTGCTTATGTTTTTAAAACATCAAATGTTTTTTTATGAATGGTTAGCTCAATTCTTTACGTTGCGGTCATTGGTTTTCATCATAAACGGGGATGTCAGGTAATTGACAAACGATTACTAAAGTAACATTGACTATTAAGTAAATTTACTAAGATTAGTGATTCGATGCGTAAACTCGGTTAGATCAATGGGTTTAATTGATGCGATCAATGACGAAGATTTGCAGACGAGGTCTATTCATAAGATTAATAAATGAAGTCAAAGAAGCAATTATTTCTCTTGGTGTTTTTGATAATATAGCTTTTATAAGAATTTCCAATTAAAATTTGTTATGGATTTATAGACTATTAAATTTGAATGCATCGTTAATTAGTTTTTTCAGATTGAATATTGTTATCCACCTTTAACAGACCGTGAGGGAGAACTGCCGGCAGCGTGGCAGAATTTACCATCACTTGCACTTCCTGATGGTGCGCATAACGTTGACAATGGTATGTGAGAAATTTACTTGATAGCTTTTCTCCTTAATTCTGTTATCTTTATCGAATGTTTTAAATGTTTGTTTAATTTCTATGGTTAATTCTACTATTTCTCATTGCTTGTGACTTGTATTTCATCTCAACTCTCAACTCCACGCTTTTTCGAATTTTTAAAGTTAAATTTTTCTATTTAATGATTTTGTAAATTCTTTGTATCTGTAACACAGTAGATGAAACTATCTGCAAAAGATGGACAAGGAGGATTCTCTTCTTGCATGTTTTCGATCGATTTTCAGTTACATACTATTACTTTTTTTGCATTATTTGTAGAATAAACAATGCGTTATCTGACCTACAAAAAGCTAAAATTTCATATGTTCCGTTCCTTCTTCTTTTAAAATGATTTCAGACGTAATATATTTTTTGCTGCCATCATTAGATGATCCGAACCGATCAGTCTTTGGAATTTCGTGTTACCGTCAAATTTCTGCAAAGGTTACTACCTTTATCCATTGCTAATATTATTACTCTAACAATCTTTATTACTATATTTCTACCACCATGATAAGTTGCCTTCCGCTTCTCTTATTTTTGTTTTTGTTGGGGAAAAATTATTTCAATTTTTTTCTGTTTTTTTTTTTGTGGTCTTTAATTCAGTTCAAAATTCTTGCGTTTTAAGGATCTTTTGAATAAATCAACAGATGTCACCCGAAGTAGTGTACAGAAGAGTGTTTGCGTTCTATCTCGAGTACCACTTTTCGGTATATTAACAGCTAAGTTACAACTTATTACAAAAGCATATTTCAACGAAAGGGATTTTGCTAAGGTAAGTTTCAGATTGATTAATCGATTCTTAAAAGTTTGATACATTAGGTTATCATTAGAAACTGGATTTAAGTGTTAGAATGAGTAATTCTTGAAGAAGGGAAAAATATTTTCTCTGATTGTTAAATATTGAAATGTAACTTTGGAGCAAGCGAGAACTTTTAATGATGAACTGTTTTAAATATGATTTCTACACTATCACTTTTTGACAGTTTGTAGGTTGACGTGTTATGTCAGCTATATGAAAATCTTTGTGAGATGTTTCCGGATGCGGTAACTGATGAGCAAGCTGCAGTAATGGGTATAAATATATTTGTGCTACATTTTTAATATATTTAAGATATAGTTAAGCAGAATATTCGGAAAACTGGTGTTTAAATCATTTTGACGTTAGATCCCAATTTTATTTAGTTGAGGCATCAAGGAAGCATTTAAAACTAAATAATGATGTTAGTATACCTATGAAGCACAAAAAAATATTTCTTATTTTCTTCTGCTATGTACTATTTTATTTTATTTTATTTTTTTTCTTTTTTTTTTTAAATTAAATATGGTATGTAAGGTTGAAATATTGCAGAAACGCAAGAAAAATGATTCATGATTCGTATAGAGCACACACTTCAAAAGTCTTTAAAAAAAGACAAATATTTTTGCAGATATCTCAGTGCAGTCCCTAGTAACGACATTCAGACATCGTGTATTAGTATTATTCAAATTGTTATTGTTAGAAAAAAAGGTAATTTATTTTGTTCCAGGAAATTTTTGTTTAACTATGATATCTGTCATGAATTATTTTAGGGACTATAGGGATAATTTAGAAAATTCAATTATGTTATATAGTCTCATTATTGCTTTTGGATATTGATAGTGATACATTAAGAAGAAGAAATAATCAGTTAAAGAACGAAAACTATTAATGTATAAGTTTATTTTAAGAAATTCACTGTAGCTTTTTTTAGCATAAAACTTTATTGTTATAAAAGGTTAACATTATGTTGAATGATCATATAGTTTGATCTGAGAATTCTATTCTAATCATCTTTTGTTCTCCGGAACTTTTTTTCTTTGCGTTTATCAGACATTTTTCAGTTATGAAATTTTTTCTTAAAATATACTTCTGTTTAGGTTGTGTTCTACATATCACCAGTATTTCAATTAAGTCAGTTGATGGTTGCGCTTACCTCACTTTTCCCACGTAACGTCTTCTTCAACATTATCCTTGTTCACTTTTGACAACATTTTTTTTTTCTGAAATATATTTGTTAATTTACTCATCTAAATTTTTTAAAGACAATTTTATGAATTTTGGTAATAATTTTTAGTAAACAAGTTTAATAAATTTTTGATTTCCTTTCAAAGTTTTTGATCTACATTTTTATTAAATATTTGAACATTTTTTCATCTGAAATAAGAATAATAGCAGTACTTTTAGAGCGATGTTTTCGTTTTTCTAATTTATACATGGTTAACAACTATTGGATTTTGTTTGTAATAAGTTTATATGTTTTCAATCACATTATACTTTTTTTATTTACCAGTTTGGAAAAGAATAAATGATTTAACATATTTCTAATTTAAGATTTTTAATTTAGGATTGGTTGAAGAAGGTTTATTCCATGCAGCTGCATACAACCCGAATTCGCAAAAATGTTCAGTTGAGAATAAAACTATAGATGAGAATGAAATTGGTAAGGTCGGCATTTAATTAGTATTTATAATTTTATTTCACAGTTTATATTTAATAACATGAAGGTGGATAATAGGTGAAGTGTTTTTATGTAACTTTTTGGTATAAAATTTGCATAGCTTTTCGATTTTCTGTTGTAGCAACCAAATTAAGTAATCAAATACAAATTACTTTACATATCTTCTGTTTGTGGTTTCCATAAGGCTGAATCAACATTACAGATAGTAGCTCAGGCATATTGATTCTGCAAAGTGGAAAAATTAGATTTTCGTCTCTTAGATTCAACATTGATTTTTTTCAGTCTTCAAATCTAGATATATCCTTTTAATGTGCTAATGTTCAAGTGATTTTTAACAAAAGGAACTTGACTAAAAGTGCTTAACTGTTGTCTTTGTATTGTGAGAATATGAATATTTTTTTTAGTTTTGGAAATGGGAGAAGATATATTAGGAAGCAAAGTTCTAGAATTTGGAAATGATGTAATGGTTAGCGTAAATATAGAAGAGAACCAAGTGAATGAAAATAACCCCGTAGAAGAATTTGTACACAAAGGTTCTGCTTTTAGTACGATTTATCTAACTAAATATCTCATTTCATTCGTAATGACATGTTTCTTTTCTGTTAAACTGTTATTTTTTATTTTTAGATTTACTAACATCAGCTGCGGAATGCACGTCCGAAACGCAATCTTCAACTGATATTAGTGCTGAAAGTTGTTCAAATTTAAAGCGGAAGCAAATATTGGCCACTGATTCATACGGTTTTCCATTAAGTATTTTTACAAAAGTAATAATTTTATGTGATGTATGAATTTTGATGTGAGAACATATGAGTTATAATCATAAATGAATCCATTAAATTGCGATTATGAATTTCAGTTATTGAGATTATAACTGCAGTTTACAATTTTCTTATTATTTTTTATGAAAAAATGAAGAATATTATTATAGGGTTCATTATTTCATCCTTATCTAAGTATATGCTATTTGGATATGATTCGTTCCGATCAAACACGAGCTTACTGCATCGGTGCAACGAATGCTTTATTTGTTCAACGTCGTGATTTGTTGGATGTTATAGTCACTGTAAACATTGCTTGTTGAAAAAAAAAAAGAAAAAAGAAAAAACTGTTGTTATTGCATTTTAGGATTTGGGTTTATCAGGAATATGACTTTTAGTCTACTTCAAAATCTTAAAATTTGATTACATCATACTTTTAATATAAACAGTTTGCAAATCCCGACCTATACATAGTAATATGTCAAACGTGTGATTGCATCCTATTAAGCGTTTGAAAGAAGTTAAGCTTGTTTTACATTTCAAAGTGTAACTGTGATAGTTTACGAGAGATAGCATAAAATGAAATATATGATTAAATGGCTTATATGATACAATTTATTTTTTTCTCACATTTGCATCCATGTAATGATGCTATCATCACCAAATTGTTTAAGAAATTTGCTTACATTCACTGAAATCAGCAAAAAAATTCAGTAAAAGAAAAATGCTATCATTGTGGTATTTGAAATCATTCTTTTTTTTTTTTTTTTTTTTTTTTTGAGTGTAAAAAATTGCAAAATAATTGTCTAAGGTTGATGATGTTGGCGATGGGAGTATCGATATCGTAGATATTGAATTAAAACGATCGTTGGCATTAACAGCTGCAGATTTACGCTTTATCGATTTTGTATTGAAAGAAATGGAAGCAAATGCTAAATCACCAAGTGTGCTTTTTCATACTTCTATATTATTATTTGTTATTAAATTACACTGAATTTTAACAGATAGCACTTGTTAGAAAATTTAATAGAAGCATAAACAAATTAATAATAACATTTGATTACTTTATTCGCTTCTTAGATTTTATAAAATTTTTATAATTAATTTAAATTTTTACTAATTTCAGGTTGGGAAGGTAGTGATGATTGGATACGATTGCAAATGCAAGCATATCTATTATCACTTATAGCTACTGTTCGTGCTGATTTGAAAGATTCCTTGGATGATTTCAATGAAGCATTCATAACTGAATGGAAAATGAGCAATAATTATCGTATTTTATCTTGTGGTGACTATCCTGATTTAACATCTACCATTCCAGGGTTTGTCTTTGTGTTCTTTATTTATTCTATTATTGTACAAAATGATTAAATAGCTAGTGTTTACCACTTGCTTTATTTTCCATTGTTGATTTTGCTTTAAAGAAAAGTAAAATCAACAATAAACGTTTCATTTAAAATGTTAAATCTTTCATAAAGTTTGATGTTTTTGCTGCAAAGCAGATAGTATAATTGTTTTTTTTTTTTTTCTTTAAAAAGAGAATGGAATTAAACTATTGAATATACTTTAAGTAGCAAAGATCATCCTTTAAAGCATAAACAAATTTACGTTTACGTTACTATCATAATTTTCACTGTCATAATTTATTTACTTTTATCATTGCAATAGTTTGTCATTATTCATCATATCAATAATAGCACAAAAAGTTGACATATTTTGAGCTCATCTTAAAATTTTCGTCTTGTAAAGCGATCTTTGATTAATTTAATATTTTGCATAAAAGTTTGAAATTTATTCAAAAGATAAGATTATTTGCTTGCAGACATCCATTTGCTGGTGGTCTTGGTATATCGGATGTATTGCTACGTATGGAGCATACAGCTGGCGGTACAGGAAGTGGTCGTCGTGTAGCATCGGCTGTTGTTAATACCAGTAAATATTTTGCAGATACAAGTACCAAAGTGAAGACAAGTATCACATCATGGTTGAAAGGAACTCGATCGGAATAAAATTTTACCATAGAATAATTTGCATATAATTTTGTTTCCATTTACTAACCAAATACAATTACAAGCGGACATCGTTTTTAGTCGGTAAATAAACAAAGAAAGTTGAAAAATAATTTGAGGCATATAATTTAATTGTTAAGAATATGTATAGAAGGAAATTGTGATTGAATTAATGATAATAATATAAAAAAATAGGTTTGTTATAATATATTCGGATTTAAGCTTTTTTCTTTAATGCTGCAATATGCGTTGGATTTCGTGTTGTGTGCATGAATTGAAATAGATGTCTTGCTTTTTGTTTTGGTTTGCTGCATCGTATAACTTTTTATCCTTATCATCAATGTTTTGTGAAATGAGAATGAGACGGGAAGTTCTGATAGTTGGAATCATTAATTGACATCAAAAGTTCATATATAACTATGTTGAATGTGACATTTGGAAATTTAGAATTCATTCGAGTAACTGGACAATGCTGATGTTTCCAATAAAAATATGTATTTAGGAAACTGTATTTCAAGTTGCAACTTTCAATTTCATAATATGAAATAGTCGCATTTATTTTGATGATTTTTTGATGTTGCAAAGATAAAAGTTGCTATTACGAATTTGCATCTTATATCAGTTATCAAATTAACCATAAAAGGTTTAAAATTTCTGCTATATACTATTAAGTGACACTCTTAGTACTAATTAAAAAATTTCTGATCACTTCTTACATTAGAGCTCAATTTGCAGAATTAAGCAACAGTCAATGGTATTCATTTATAAAATTCAAAGAAGAGCAACAACAACAACACTCGATAGAACTTTAGCAAATATGATGCAAGCCTAAAAAGAAATGAATGGGATACAAAGTGAAGATAAAAAGATTAAAATTAAAGTGATTAAAAAAAAGAGTAAAATTAAAATGAGATTAATGAGATATTAACCATTTGAGATGGGAAGTATTTGAAAAAACTCTTTTCTGAAATTATCTTTGTGAATGTGCATTGTCAATCTAATTCCAGTGTCTTTTTTGCTTCGTATTCTCTTTTTTTTTTTCTTTGTTTTGATTAATTAATGATGAAATACATGAAAAATGAGGAATATTTACCACAATCATGGAATTTTCTTAAAAATTTTCAAACTCTTAACAAAATACTATGAAATGTCACAAATTCTTACTGTTAACATCGAGTAAATGTTGACTGCTTTAAGTGTTTTCAATTTATTTTTAAATACTAAAAAAATTTGTTGAGTTTTTTTAAGTTTTATGTAAAATATAAATTTCAAACAAACCATTTCTCATCTTCATTATTATTTACAAATGTGTCGCAATTTTTTGAAATCTGCAATACTTTGTGCTGCTTTATAACTTAGTTTATTTATAAGTATAGAAATGAAGAAATGTGCAAGAAAAATTTTTAATCCAAGAATAAATATCCAAATGATTGTTGGTGCAAGAAAATATTTATGTTTAAATCACATCTAACGAAATAATAAAGAACCATATATTGTATCACAAAGACGATTCAATGAAAATTTTAAGGAGGATACTACAGTAATCCATTCCAATGAAAAGTTCATTGTTTCACGTTGCAAAAACCTAAGTTGTGATAAAACATCACTTAGATCACCGTTTTTTACTAATAAACTAAAATATGTTGCCATTTCCGATACCACTTCAGCTGTTGGATCTGAAAAAAAAAATACTTATTAAAAGCATTTGTAAAAGTTTTGTTTTCCTTTTTTCGTAACCGGAATTCATTTTTACACATGATTTTACTTATAAAATATGAAACGAAATGATGCTCATATTTTAATAATAAATTTCAAACGATAAAATATGCCCACTTTACTTTATTTGGAATATCCTAATAGAAAATTTTTTTACTTAATAACCAAAATTCACATTTATGCTGCTGCAATATCCGTAAAAATTCAGCTTTTACATCTTCATCTTCGAAATAATTCCGATAATCCGGATGGATGGTTGTTTTATGATACTGAAAAAAAAAGATTAATACATAATTTATCCTCGACGGTAGTCTAACTACAAATAATAACTATTTTAGATTATTTCACCACTCAATAAACTATCATCCTTAATCCAGTTTTATAGCTGCACTATGAGCAAAATATGATAGCTTTATTTGTAAAAAAAAAAAATCCACCAAACTACTCAGAAATAAAAAATTATTTTAAACTAGGTGGTATAGCTGCTTGGAATCAGGAAAAGCAGAGTGAAATTAGAAATATATCAACAAACGGTTAAATTAATAAAAAGGAAATTACAGCATTAGCAGTGTTATTTTGTAAATGAATAATATATGAAACTACCCGACGATTTCGTCTACTTTCTTTAAGTGACTTCTTTAGTGCCAACTCTAAAGCAATATCTTCTTCATTCTTTATTTTTTTCTTTCCAATATGTTGCTGTCCTTTGCTTTTCACAGAAAAAAATTGTGTTAGCGTATTTCTGTTTATGGGTTGCTCATCGACCGAAATGTTTGGTATTTCATTTAAATGTGTTAGTTGAATACCAATCTGTAAATATATTCTTTTTTTTAAAAAAAAAAAGATTAACTTATATGTAATTAACATTTCTGAATGCAAATCTTAATAGCACTGAATGCGTTGCTGTTAGCACAAGAAAAATATCTTAGTAACTTAGCAAATTTGCTGTCCTTTATCACGTGTATCAACAAAGATATCAGTAGACGTTCCCATATATATCAGTACAAAAGAATAATTGAAATAAAAAAAAAAAAAAAAAAAACTTGTAAAAAAAAGGTAAAAAGAAAAAAAAAAAGAATGCTTACTCCTCTTAAATCGCTTATAATCGGATTTATTGCTTTCATTAGTTTTTTTGCTTCTGCATGTAATACTGCTTTATTTGCAGTAGCACCGTTTACATGAGCTGTTCTTGTAATTGCATCACATTTCCCGCATCCCAAATATTTCTCTGTTACAAGAGGTGCATCTGATGCTCGAATCTGTGATGAATAATATTTAGAAAGATGTAACAATAAAACTTCCCAATCATTTAAAAAAAAAAAAAAAAAAAAAAAAAACCTCGAACAATCATTTATTTACCAGTAATCTAAGAGTAATGGTAGATGCAGTCATTCGGGCTATATGAAGTTTTTTTTCCAATTCTGAGCACATTTTTCCAAGAAATTCCATTACTTCATCTTCCTGAAATATTTCGAAAAAATTTCCCTCCAAAATACAATTCAATCAGTTCGGTAAAGCTTAAAAACAACAAAAGATGATAGATGAAAAACTTTCGCACTTTTGTAAACCGGATCCCATAATTTATATCGCACGAAATAGATTTGCGAACAACTTTTTCCAAAAAATTCCTTTCTTTATCCACTCCTCTACACATATTGTATATCTGAAAGTGTAGAAAATTAAAGAATAAAAATAACTAGTCAGAGACAAATATAAATTTGTAACTTTATATTATCTTTTGGTTCATAGTAAAAATTTTTTCAGAATCAATCAGAATTTTAACTGAGGAATAATTCAATATTTGAACTATTGTAATATTCTATTTCTAAACTTATCAATATTTTGATCTAAGTGTATAACACTTTTAGTTGAAGAGAAATATAATCGAGTACATTTCATCTACAACATAAGCAAACATAATTATTTGATTTTTCTTTCGAAGCTAACCTGAGTTCCTATTTTTTCACCAAGAACATTTTGCAAACGATTAATGGGCACTTTCTGCAAATCCTCACATAAATTCATCTCCCCAAACGCACTGAAAAAATTTCCAATTTCAATTAAATTTGTAAAATTGTTAATTTTGATCGAAAATATTATTCAAGTTTTGTTAATAAGATAGATGATCCCTATCACAAAATAATAAATTGCTACTTTTTAAGTTTTGCGCAAATATTGTAGCCAATTCCGGGTAAAGATGAAATTTTTTCTTTTTTGATCAATTCGTCAATATCACCCACTTTAATCATAAATTGGCCATTCGGCTTTGCATGCCGAGTTGCTATACGAGCTATTAACATTGTATTTCCTAAATGCACTTTTAATACAAATTATATTAATAATTCTTTCAAATGGACTAATTCATCATTAGAATAAGAAAATTTCGTAAAGATAACAATAATAAAATAATGCAGCTTTCTGTGCAGAAAATAACCTACTAATTACTGCACCTTTTCCAAGAACAATCATTTTTTTTTTTTTTTTTTTCAACAATTTTTAACTTACCAATACCAACAGAAGCATTACAGCCTGTTTTAGTTAAAATTTCACTTCGTATTACAGATATAATCTCCATTACATTTGCTATATGCATCTCCTTACATAAGCTTTCCAAATCAACATACATCTCATCGCAACTTACAGCACGAATACTTAGCGTATACCTAAAATTATCAACTAATGTTAAAAAATTAACCTGTAAAAAAAAAATAAACAACACACACGATGAAGATAATATCCCGTTGCTCATAAGCAGCAATGGTGGTAGCATAAGACACTTCAAGTCAAAATCCATTGTTATATATATAGCATACTAAGCCAGCTTCCTTAATTAATAATACTTAAATCTTCAATGGCTCATAATTTAATAACCAAAAATATGTGTCGTTTTTTTCAAGTACTGAATATGTCTAAATAAATATTAATAGATAAGCATATTCAGTAACCAACCCTGATAAAACTGCATAAATTTCCTTCGAAATGTGTCGATAATCGTCGAATTGATAAGGAAGACAAATGAGATCTGGACATACTTTCCGAGCTTCCTTAATAAAACAACCATTACGAACACCTCGTGTTCGAGCTTCATAACTGCATGATGCAATTTCAGACATACCAGCACCCTCTGTACCCTAAAAGTATAAAACAATCAATAATGTAAAAAAAAAAAGAAACAAAGAAAAAATACTAATAAAATAATATGCCTTATCAGGCAGTAAATCAAATCAAAGCAAAATATATTTTCTTAAATTTTTTTTTTATTTTCTAAATAAATACCAAACAGTTGCATCACTAAAACAAATGTGTGAATGATCAAAACAATCTCAAACTACTGATTTTATCAAATATATGTGAAGATTACTCTTGAATGAGTAATTGCCACTGGTTTCCCAATTAATTCTGGATGAGTTCTTAATGCTACCGATACAAAGAAACAATCCAGATCGATATGACAAATGGTTTCTTTTGGAGAACTAAAAAATTGAAATAATTTCTCTTATAGGAACACATGTAACATGTAACGGCATAAAAAATTTGCTGCCTTACATATCTACAAACAGAAATTATTCAATGATACAGTTTACAGCCATTTTTTGCAAACATTGCATAAAATCTTACTAACGTGTTTACAGTGTAGATACAGGAACAAATGCTGTAGGCGTAAGAATTAGCTTTTATGTAGTAAAATGCAAACAAATCAGGCTGCTTACTTAGCAAAGTTCTCATCAACCAAATGCTGTAGGCGTATCCGTGAAGGAAAATTATTAGTTTGATTTTCTCTTAGCTCGTTTACATAATGCTTCATTTCCTGCGCCAAAGTTGAAATTAAATGCAGACGAGATCTACAATTGATCATTATTATAATCAATATGAAATTATGAGCGAGAAAAAAGTATGTTTTTTTTTTTTTTTTTCATATGTTCTTTTCTGGAAAGAAACTTAAGTCCCAAATTGACATGAAAAGAATAAATGGCAAAATGCGTAGCTACAAGTTTCGGTAGTTAAAAAACGAAAAAATCATCAACTTTTTAAAATTATTTGTACTGCCTATAAAAGCTTGTTCCATTATTTTTTTTACTACAGATTTCAAGAATTAAGTATTATTTCTAAGTCAATGATCAAGAATAAGGGAGCTTTACCTTTCATAAAAGTTATTCACAAAATTTGGATCATTCGCAGCACATTGTGCTACTTTTGAGGTGCCAAAATTTCCAACTGCAAGACGTTTTGCTACGGCTGTTTGCAGTGCGCCATCTTTATACAATAAATAATCGTCTTCACGTAATCGAATTCCCGCATTCACACTGCAAATACGAAAATTTTTTCACTGAATAATCTGGAAATTAAGTCGTATACAGAAAATGATTGCTTAACAACAAAATATTTGCTACAATGAATTGACAAAATAAGTTTTGATATTAAATAAATTAAAAAAGAATTGATAGAAATAAGTAGCGAATATTTTATCAAGTAACCTATCAGTAAGCCATCTTGGATGAATGATTTTTTCTCCCTTTCGAAGTTTCTTCACTTTATCAGTGGCTAAATGAGTGGCGATTGTATAGGTTGTAGTGCCATATTTGTAGTAAATATGAAATTCTCCACCATGCAAATGTATTAACTTTCGTAATTCTGCTGCTGGTGGATCTAAATTTTTGCACACATTACGTTTTGGAAATTCATCTGTATATACATATATATACATATATATATATATATATATATATATATAGATTTTAATAAGAGGAACAATGTCATCTGTGAATATTATAAGTACGTACGGAATTCAAAAAATTATCCGTTTTTTTCCTATAAAAATACTAGTTGCGTTTATTGCTTTCAGTCTATTTACTGTCAACCTATATAAACACCAACAAATTGCTTTGGATTTTTTTTGTATTAGCACGTCTACGGAAAGTGCACACGTCCGTATTTTTAATTCATCCGTAAGAAACTACTCTCGTGATTTCCATTCGTCATCATAGTTTTCAACAAACAATGTTGCCTCTCATTTCTCTAGGAAAGAATAAAAAGAATCACCTGTATAACCATTAACGAAAATTGAGATGCCTTTAAAAATACAGGAAATATTCTCGTGCTTATCCAATACATTTACCTGATACTGAAGTTTAGCTTTTTTCGTTTTCATGTAATTCTGCTGAAAATTGAACAAAATTATCTTATAGAACGAAGTTAGTAATAACGAAGCAAAACAATGGTAAACGAATGAAATTGTATTGATAGTGCCATTACAAACAGTTACAACTATTTAAAAATATTCAGACAACTTTCTAGTTCAATTTACAAAATTCCAAATTTTTGTAAAGTCACTACATATGAAGTATAACTTGCCAAATATTACATTTTGAATAACGGTTTATAGAGATAACGGTTTGATTACTTACTTTGATCCAAAAACTTTAGGAAAAAAAAAATTTCAAAGTAACGAGTGAATGCCTTAATGTCCTATTTTGCAGAGACACAATTCAAAGATTATACCAATCAAAACTCGAATATACATGTTTCATGAAAAAAGAGCATATTAATTTCTTAAATTTTAACTTACCCATTGTTCAGCACGGCTTTCATCTCCTTCAGTACAATTTTCCTCACCATTACAATACATTCGAAATTATACCTTTAAAAGAAAAATAAAGTGAAATAACGCACAACTGAAACTAACAACTTAACAACTATTACGCAGAATTTCTTTTAGCATTGCGAATTTGTCAAATGACATGTTTTTTCCCTTTTTTTTTTGCGTTTTTCACTTTTTGCATATTCCTATAAGTTGAAACTTTTATAATTATCTCATGTCCAGAAGGTCAATTTATCACATTTATTATTTATAAAGTGTCACCAAGCACTTTTCGTTTTTTTTTTCATAGCACCGTCACTCTTAATCTCTTGTTTTTACAGACTAAATCTTCCAACTGTTGTGTCAGTTTTGTAATTAACATTTGTTTTTCGAAATTTGATAAAGCAAAGTAGTTTGAAGTAAAAATAAGTAAGTAAAAATAAGTAAAAGTAGAAGTAAATAAAAAGTAAAAGTAAGCAAAGTGATTTTAAAGTTTACGAGGCAAAAAAACGAAATTCAAAAAAGTGCCAACAATAACCGAACAATGTCATTTGCGCAATATGACGTTCATTTGACGTACGAGCCGCTATGTGGTTGTCGTAACTTACGTGGGGAAACTTTATTACAAGCACATTTCTTGATATCGGAAGTGATTAAGTCATCCATTGAAGAAGAAATAAATTGTTGAGAAAAAAGAAAAAATTATTTGATTCTGTTTAAATTAAAAATGAAACAAACAATTTTAGTTTACATTGTAACAATGACTTATTTGTAAATTGCTTTACGCTGAAATATAATTTTATCACTTCGACTGTAAATTTTAAATTTTAATTCGATTTAATGGAAGCAAATAGTAGAAATATAATCAAATAAGAGTTTATAGAAGAATTTTTCTATACAGAGAATTTTGTATGTTTGGATGATATTTTTTAATTAGTGAAATTTATTAAATTAAACTAGTTACTTTGATGTAAGTAAGAGAGAGGGAAAGGGAGAGGAAGAAAGAGAGAGAAAGAGAAAGGGAAAGGGAGAATTTATGAAGTTTTAAATTTCATTTATTCAATAATAATTATAACTGATTCATACAATTGAGAAAAAGGAGCAATTATTGATTAACATATAATGCAATAATAAGAAGTTTAATATATTTATTAATGTTTCAGTTATTATTTTATAATGCAATGTTTCTTGTAAAGATAAATGGAGATGATAGTACTATTTTTTTTTTTTTTTTTTGTTAGTTTAATTTAACTTAGTTGAATTTAATTGATTACGATTATTAGTTAAGTTGAGGATTCAATTATATCGTCGTATTTTTATTTAGTAAAATTTATTAATTATGAATCAATTTTTTAATCCTTTTAATTATGTTAATTTCACATATATTAAAATCATTTATTTTTGCAGTAAAAATTGTGTTTCTTCAAAAGCCATCAAATAATTGCTTTTCAGTTGGTAATGGAAAAAATTAGATGAACGATGAGTTCAAGTAAAAGTTATGTCAGGTAACTTCATAAGAATTTTCACATTTCACAATTTCAGTATCATTTATATATTTAAAAATGACGTGAAGAGCCTAGGCTACAAGAAGAAATAATTAATAGACTAATAGAAATGTACTAAAAGTAAGTTATATGAACAAGAAATGTTGATTTAATACAGATTTTTGGTATAAGTTTAATAGATTAAGCTAATCATTCTGCAGGAAATTAAATTGCACGGGATCTAAGCTGGAAAATTTAAATTTGGATAGATTAAGTATTGTAGAGGATGATAATTTTTTCTAATAAATCAATTTCTAATGAACATAAATTTTTATGCAATGAAAATAAAATATATCCTTACTCAAATGTGTTTTTTGCTTTTTTATTTTTTGAAGTCAAAATTACTGTAAAATCTAGGAATGTTATTGATTAAATAATGTGAAACTTTTTTTTTTACTTTACAATTTGAACATTCTAAGAAAAGTTCTTTTTTTTGAAAAAATAGTTGAAGTTGTACATGATATTTTATTTTAGATAAATTATTTCAGTGAATATTTGTTCTAATGTTGCAAGTAAAAATTATTATTAGCTTTAATCATTGATAAGATAATATTTGACGAAATTGTCTGTATAACTCTAAATTAAATAATCTCAACTTGTCTGATTGAAAAAAAAGACTTCAATGAAATTAACTCATTTCATTTCTTATCATTTCAACAGTAAATACTTTGAATTTTATGATGACATTTTAATAAACATTAAAATCTATTATGTACATTTATGTTCCATAAATATTACATATGTAACGACTGATTATCATTTTGCATAAAAATCTGAGTTTATAAAGAGCAAAAAAAAAAAAAAAAAAAAAGAAAGTAAAAATAAAAGTTTGATTAGACTGAAGAATTAATTTATATTTATCAAGCTAAACAGTTAGTTTGTTATTATCTTACAATTGTGTCTTATAGAAAAGACACTTAAAACACCGTTTGTTATAATATTTATCATTTGCTAACATCTATCATATCAGTCCTTATCATCTTCTGCGGTGGTTCAGAGATTATCCTTTTTTCCCGGATATTTGGACATTCATAAAAATTTCCTGTCTGAACAAATAATTTCAAAAACTTTATTCTTCAGCAAGTATATGTTTATCAAGATTTTTGCAATAAGTTTATTTGTCTATAGAAAAAATCAGAGGTCGGAGGTCAAGAGGTTAGAGAACAGGCTTATTACTCTAGAACGAAGAACTGAACTTATGCTCGTGCAGGAAAGAAAAGATCAAGATGAATATCTGACTGTCGAGTTGGTAAATAGTTTCATTTTAATTAGTCGTGAAGGACTTTTCTTTTCTTGGACTTCGCCGGGGTGGATTAAGTCATACCAATTATTTCTTTAAGTGACGTAATAACGTAAACACATCCTACGTTGCGTGAACACAATAAGAATTTGTGCTACAACGATGTGTTGTAGTCACGTAAGTTTAAGTTTGAATACGGTAGCGAACGATTCTGTGACTGTTAAGGAGGCGAGATGAAGAGTTGAAGCAGGAAGAGTAGTTCAAGAGTTCCTGCTGCTCTGAGTTAGGGTAGGTGAAGGACGGGGAGGGAGGTCAAAGGTGAGAGTATACTTTGGCTTATTGTAAGGATTATGTTGAATTGAAGTGGAGAGCTATTAGAAATGAAATTTATGCGATAAATGAAGAACACAAAATGAATTACCAATTTTGTCGCATGGATTACATTTCTCGTTACACTAATTGGAATTGTTATTTGAAGACATATTGTATATAAAGTATGTATTGTTATTCAATCATTATGTAGTTGTGAGCTTTGTGGAGATAAATTTCACTGCTTAATATTATTTTATTTGAATAGGGTTTTGAGTTCTTGATTACCATTTAATATGTTTCTTTTGGGTAGGTTTTCGGATTCTGAATATTTTGATGGTTCTGGGCTGTAAGAAATTTCTATAGATGTTTGTAAATGTAAAAGTAAATGTGAAGGAAAAAATAGTTTGATTGTGAAAATTGTAAATATCTATTTGAGCATGTCTGTATGAAGGTTTTGAGTTTCTAATGTTGCTGCATTGTCCAGTGATTCACTGCAATATGTTTCATACTGACATTGTTCAATTTTTTACACTCAGAAGAGTTTTAGATCATTTTGCCTAGTTCGAGCACTTTCAAAACACTTCCCTTGGTTCAAGCTTGATCTGATCAAAAGAGTAAAATCTTGATCAATTAATCGAAGGAACAACTTCATCTTTTGTTCTGCACTTCTTCCCTATCACGACTTTTTTTTATTTATTTATTTGTTTTTTTTCGGAACATAATGACTGTGACTTTGTATGATTGGCTCGAATTTTTCTAGAACAGTTGATATTTTCAAGAAAATGTAATTGATTTAATTGCAAACAGTAAAGCAGGTCTAAAATAGTTTTTGTCATTCCTAATGTTTTTTTTTTCGGTGGAGAAGAATGCTCGTCGTTGGACATTCTTTTATAGTTCGGCAAAAATATTGAAGTTTTTAAAGCTTCGCGAAGAAAATGAATTTCCAGGCGTTATCACCAAGTTCGCAATATCATTGTTTTATTGGTCAAAATGAGTGAACAGAAACCCGCACAACAGAAAATTTCACTAATATCATCTGATAATGAGACATTCGAAGTGGATCGGAATGTGATCCGATTGTCAACCACGATCAATACGATGCTTCAAGGTGAAGTGACAATAAATGGCGATGAATTAGTCAAACCACACACGCTAGTCGAATGCTAAAATTAGAGATATATAACAGACGGTCTCCATCTCAGTTTTTCCGCAAAATCATTTTCATTCTATGAATTTTAGAGCTTATATAATAGATTTTTGACGTGCATATATTACACCTAGTTTTTATTTCGATACATCTCACATTGCAATTCTTGACATGCATATTTAATTATAGATTTGGGAATGGATAATCAAGATGGCGGAGATATTGATATGGTTGAGGGTATTCCGTTACAAAGCGTGAACTCAGCTATTCTGAAAAAGGTTGAGAAGAAGAAAAGCATTTTCAAAATTATTAATATCATATTTAGAAAAATGTATTTGGAAATATTTGTAATATATGAAAGACACATAAACATGTTCGTAGGTTAACGAACATATTTATGCGTAAAAATCGATCCGAATTTGTCACAAATTGCAAGTTGAGGAGACTTGATGACAGTTTTTGTGAAATTTCTCCTCGCCCTTATAAGCCGGCCGAAATTACATGCTTTAAAAAATGTGATTATCAGTTCCTTATATATAGCCGGAATTTGCGACGTGTCTGGTGTTCATCTGCTCACATCTCAGAGTTTAAAAGAAGTTTAGTTGGTCCTAAATTTTCTTATTTATCTGTTTATTTATTTATTCATTTGTACGATGACATTATCATAGGTTATTCACTGGTGTGAATACCATAAAGATGATCCGATTCCCCCAGAAGATAATGATAACAAGGAGAAGCGCACTGACGACATTTCATCGTGGGATGTTGAATTTCTTAAAGTTGATCAGGGCACATTGTTCGAACTCATTCTGGCAAGTTTTTAGTTCCTTTCATCGGATTGATTGTTGAGTTATGTGCTTAAGCAAATAAGGAAAAATAAATATCTTTATAGAAAATATATAAATTTATTTCAGGCAGCAAATTATTTGGACATAAAGGGGCTGCTCGATGTAACATGCAAGACGGTAGCCAATATGATTAAAGGCAAGTCACCGGAGGAGATTCGAAGGACTTTTAACATTAAAAACGACTTCACTCCAGAAGAAGAAGAACAGGTTGAGAGATTTTAAGTTATCTTTCTAATATTTGAAAAAATTGATTTCTTTTCGCACAGTATTATCAGTTTTTTTTATTTGTCGTTTTACTATAAAAAGCATGATGCGTATTTCATTTTGAGGACCAGTCTTGTGTTCATATTATTCTTCTCCACTTTTCCAAGGCTTTAAATTTATTGAGAGTTTTTTATTTCACTCAAACTATCGTCATAAAGAATTTCTAAATCGCACATTATGTCGATAGTTTAGTCAGTTCTTAATGTATCCGATCTTCGAGATCTTCAGTAGCAGATTCGACGTGATATGTTTATCTCATTCCCTTCGACTTGCTGATTCATTCTTTTAATAAAATTCTGAGGTTTAAAAAAAAGAGAAAGCAATTTTTTGAAGTTTTTTTTCAGTATACTTTAAATGATTAATTTGTTCTGACACATTCACAAATTTAATAGATTATATTTTGCAGATTCGAAAGGAAAATGCATGGTGCGAAGATTAAACTCATTTGATTCTAGCGGTCACCAAAAATGATGCTGAATAATGGAACGCTAATTTTCAGTTTCATGACTGTAAAAATGCAGTTCTATCTTATTTTTTGTTTTAACCATTGGCTGTGAAATATAACAGTCATATTTCACTCTAGTTTTTTGATTTCTTTTCAAATCAATACTTGAGTTGTATCATGCTCTTCATTTTCTTTTAATTTCTCTCTCTCTCTCTCTCTCTGTCTCTCAAATCCCCAGAAAAAAAAAAAAAAAAAAACTGATTTGAACTTTGAATGAACATTGTGACACGTGTGCTATATATGGTTTATTTCTTTCATGTATTCAATGAAACTATCGCAGTCTAAGTTTGAGGTGGCATGTATATTGTGATTATCTCAAAAAAAAAAAAAAAAAAAAAAAAAAAAAAAGAAAAAAAAAATTCCCCAAATTATAGTATTGAATGCGCACAAAATACTATGCATAACTGTTGTATTCGGTAGAAAAGCTTTGCGTTGAGAGAGTAAATAAATGTATTTCAAAACCAACAATTGCACCGGTAAGCATTGTGTTAAATTCAACTTAGATAAGGTGAAGGACTGATTGGATGTCATTTGCAATATCGGTGTTTATCAGCAGATGACAGTGTTTTAGTATGTAGTAGAAGAAGGGATACACGTTTTATCTTGTAGTTTTATGGATTATTTCACTGCAATTTATGAATTTCACACATAGGTCTTATTTTAATAAAATAGAAATGATGCATTTATCTATGCTAACAATTTGGAGAAATGATTTTGCGGTGTTTTAGATTAAGCGAGAAGAGAAATTAGTAATTGATATATTATAGAAATTATAGGAATTTTTGCACATATATAGCATTGTAGGTGATAAAAATAGATTGCACTTAAAATTTTCAGAATTAAATGATTGTAAGAGCTCAACAAATTGATTTTCTCATATTATGGGAGAAGAGATTAATGTAGATTACTAAATACAAGAAAAGTTTCATCAATTTTTCGTTTGTTAAAAATTTTATTGAAATTGAATTATGAGCTTTAATTTCATATTACTAAAAATTTTTTAAAAGTCTTAGTATTTATATTGCTAAAAGAGAGAAAAAAAAAAAGTTTAAGTGCCTTCGAAATCTTTCATTGGATAGTATCTTCCATAATTGTTCAAATGCTCTGCAAGTTCGTCACGTTGCTCTTGCAAATTTTTCGGCATTTCCTGTAAATTATGCAAAAAATTATGATAGCAAATATATGAATTTAAAAATAGGTTAAATAATTAAGTTTGATGCATTTAGATGTTTTAAGTGTTCCAATTTTTAACACATCTTTTAATTCATCAAATACTCACAGCAGTAATTTGTATTTTTCTTCATTATAACATTTTAGTCAAATTTAGATATGAAATTATTGATTAAAAATTTGCTATAAATTTATTCTCACCTTGTAAACATCATCAAACATACTTAAAATATTTGGTTTTGGTATTTTTTCGGCATACAAAAATGCCTTCATAATTTCTTTCTGTGCCTAAAAAACACACATCATTTTAAAGCTGAAATAATTTCATAAATTTGACGAAAATCATTTTAAAACTGAAATCTTTCACAAATTTGAGAGAGAGGAAAAAAAAAAAAAAAAAAAAGAACTCCTTCCTTGAATTACTTACTTTTTGTCGATATGCCATTTCTTCTTCATCATTCCACCATTCCATATTTTGAAGAACTGTACGAAATCGAACGATTGGATTATCATTCTGTTGCCAGATGTTAACTTCTTCATTTGAACTATAAATATTACTGATCAATCAATCAATCAATCAATTAAATAGATAGATAGATAAATTTGAATAATTGATAAGATTGAGATAGAAATGTAAATTTACTATTAGCATTTAAATTTAATATTACCGATAAGCAGCTGAATCATCAGACGTTGAATGATGTCCTAAACGATATGTCATAGCTTCAATAAGAATTGGCTCATTTTCCATTGCCATTTGTCTGGCTGCTTTTGTTGCATTATATACAGCAATCAAATCATTACCGTCAACCCTATATGCTAATATTTTAATTAATTAATTAATAATTTCTTTCTTTATTTACTTTGCAAATTGTTATTTTATTCAACATTTATCTTTTATCAAACAATGATTATTCCATTTCTCTAATAAACAATTTAATTTTTTAAAAGTTATTTTAATAATAAATAAATTCTTTTTTAAGATAAAAAGGAAAAAAAAAAGTGTTAGACATTAGAAGAAATAATTATTTGTTAAATCAAAAAAAAATAAATAAATAAATAAATGAGAGACTGTAAAGGAGATACCGTATCACATGAATACCGTATCCAATAGCTTTACCAGCAATACCGTCACCGCCGTATTGTTCCGTTGTTGGTGTACTAATTGCATAACCATTATTACGGCAAAAAAATATTACTGGACATTTCTGAAATTTTTTTTAATAATTATTTATAAATTAATTGAGAAACATACTTCAAAATTTTCATTAAACAAATAATCATTTACTCTTACCAAAAAAAAAAAATTTCAAATAAATAATTTCTGTTTTACATTTGTTTATCTAATTTCTATCTGTTTATCTAATTTCTATCTTTTGAAAAATAAATAAACTTAACTTTGATTTTAAATAATTAAATGTATAAATCAAATTACTTCATAAATTGTTAAATTTTATCACTAACAAGCGTCGAAGCCATATTCATTGCACCATGTGCATCACCTTCTGATGCTGCACCTTCACCAAAATATGCTAACACTATTCGTCCATTTTTCTCTCTAAAAATACACACACACACTAATTAGTATCTTTCCGGAAATAATATATTTCCGGAAATTCAATTAGGTTTCTGAGGACATGGCGCTAAGTAATTTAATATTAAAATTTGACATTCTAAATTCTGTTACTTAATAAAAAAAAAACGAGTACTTATCATCATATCAGTGTGAAAAATTTTCTGCATTATCTTATCAGCAAATACAAATCGCAAAAAAAAAGAAGAAAAAAAAAACTAAATAATAATTAATAGTTATCAATAACGATTCTATGAAGATTTATTACGGTTATTATAATCACACTTATCACTTATTATAATTTGAGCTAAATAAATTATATAAATTAGTGAATTGATTAAATTATTTTTATTTATTATTTAAAAAAAAAGTTTTTTTTTTTAATTTATAAATTTAGAATATAGTAACATTTAATTGAACCTTTTAAATGCATAAGCAGAACCAACAGCTTGTGGTAATTGTGTAGCTAATGTTGATGAAATTGTCACAAAATGATGTTCTGATGAACCATAATGTATTGGCATTTGCTTTCCACCACCTTAAATAAAACTTTCTCCTCTTTTTCTTTTTTTTTTAAAAAAAAAAAAGAACAAAATGTAATTAAAAAAATGCTTCAAATAAACTATTAATTATTAAATTAATCATAAAACAAAAATTAAATTAATTCTTCTAATATCTATACTATAAATTAAAAAAGTAAAATTAACAACTGTTATATTATTTCATTTTTTTTTTTTTTTTTTTTCAACTGTTAATTTGTTATTTATTATTTGTTAAATTTATACTTTCTATTTAATTGTCAATTGTTAAATTTAATAAAATATGACTGAGAGAGAGAGAGAGGAAGAAAAGATTATCAAAGGTTAATATTTTTTAATTTTATATAAATAATTTTACCAATATCTTTAGCATTTCCATAACATTGATGCATAAAATTTTCCAAAGGAAAGCCTCGATATAGTAATGAGCCAGTTTCACGATATTGGCCATAGATTAGATCTGTATCTTCTAAAGCTGCTGTTGAACCAATTTGTGCAGCCTTAAAAAAAAAAATGCTTGATTAACATTTTTTTTATTAAATTAAATTTAGGTCATTTTAAAATTAATTACAAAATTTGCTCTCCTTTCTTTTCTTCCTTTCTTTATTTCTTTATTTGTTTGTTTGTTTTATTCATCAAAAAAACAGTGAATTTTCATCTAATTAAAATTTTATAAATTTTATTTTTTTTTTTCAAAAAAAAAAGAATAATAAATGAAATCATATTTTAAATGAAATAAAATTCTATAATTATATACTATTCTGTTTGTTAAAATTATGCAAAATTATTCATTGAAAATGTAAACAATAATAATTTATGAAGAAGAGAGAAATTTATTATATTGCAATTTCAATTTATCAATTATTAATTAATTTTTAATACAAAGAAAACAAAAACAAAAAGGTAAACCTCTTCACCGGTATTTGTCAAATAAAATGAAATGCGTCCTTGACGTTGTGAATCGTATAAAATTTTATCCATTTGATGAAGTGTTATCATATTTTGATACATTTTTATTGCTATTTCCTTTTGAAATTTGTATGATTAATAATTAATTAGCAATTAATTGTTATTAATAAAATTAATTATTTAATTATTTACCTATTTTGCATTATTTATTTATTCGTTATCAGTTAAAAAAACTTTTGTTTTGACATTTATTAATGGCTTAAAAAAAGTGAAATTTCATTAAAGGTTTCAAATTTTTTTCACTCCATAGAGAGATGAAATCAAAATTTTAAAAGATTTTGAAATTTTTAATAGACATTTGAAAAATAATTAATTAGAAGTTTATTTATTTATTTATTTTTCTTTTTCTTTTTTTTTTTTTTTTTTTTTTTTTGTACTTATATATCATGTTTAGTAAAATTTTACTTTTGTTAAATCAAGATCATAATTAGGATCAATAAATTGTCCTTCGGAATTTGTCACCCGATATATTGGAATTGTCGGTTGATAAGTAGAAGAGATAATTTCTAATTTTTCAGTAAATTCAGCCTAAAAACAAAAAGAAAAAAAAACAAACGTTACATTTAAATTTTAGGTTTCATTTTTTTAAAAAAAAAAAAAAAAAAAAAAAAAAAAAAAACAGTTTCGATTATTTTAAAAGAATTTCGATTTTTTTTTCAAATTTATTTATTTATTTTTTTTTTTTTTTTTGATAATTAGATCCAGTTATTTCATGCTAATTTTTGTTTTGATTTTAGAAATTTAATTAAAAAAAAATTCTGAAATAGCTAATTATCTCTATTAAAGGATGATAGAATTGAATAATATATGAATTAAATTGAATGAAATTATTTTCCATTTTGTAAACTTTTGATTAGACAAACGCGCCACGCAATAGCTAAGCATTTAATTTTATATCGAAATAATTTAAAAAAAAAAAAAAAAAAAAAAAAAAAGAAACCTTTCGATGACTTAAATATTTATCAGTAAATTCATTTATCCGGAAATCTGATTTCGTATTGCAAAAGCGCAAGGAAAATGATGGAATATTTTCACGTAATGCCAACATAGATGATAATTGTGTATAAGTTTGAATAAAATATTGGCGAAATTTTGCAAGCATTTCACGTACGTAATAATGTAATTACGTAAAAATTTTTCGTAGATGAATAAATTTCGAATTCAAAGAACAAAAATTCTGGAAAATAACAAAAAAAAAAAAAAAAAAATAATATTATTTAAATTATTTATGAAAATATGACAAACAAATGTAATAGCATAAGTTAATTTCAAATGATTAAAAATATAAATTAGAAAATTTTACATTGAAATTTTTTTTTTTTTTTAAATTGAATGAATAAAAATTTTGCAAAAGGAATATTTTATTGATTGATTTAAAAAAAAAAATGAAATAAATCGAATGGCTATTATATTCAAAACATTTTTGTAATTTCAAATAATTTGTAAGCGAAATATAAATGTAAAAGAAAGACTGAATTAATTAATTTGAATTGAAATTAATCAATAGATATTATTTAGATTAGATAAATTTTGATAACTGATATAATTATCATAATTAATTTTATGAATGAAATTATTAATTTTTGAAATGATTTTTCAAAGTTAAATGAATTAAATTATATGAAAAAATTAATTTGGTAATGCAATAAATGCAAAAATAAATGTAAAAAAGTTGTTTCGTTTCAAAATTTCAATGGTTAAAGCTCACTAAAGTATGAAGAAAGAAGCATTAACAATTAAGTATTAAAAATAAATAAATAAATAAATGCCATTCAAAATTATTCTAAAATAAATAATAAATAAATATAATAAATAAATAATAAATAAATAAATAAATATAATAATAAATCTATAATAAATAAATATAATAATAAATCTATAATAAATTAATATAATAATAAATCTATAATAAATATAATAACAAATCTACAATAAATAAATCAAAATTTTTTAAATTTTTGAAAATGAATAATTTTTCTAAAAAAAAAAAAATTAAAAGTGAATTTGAATTAATTTAATTTAATTTCTAAAATTCGTTCAAATGAAAGATAAAGGTAAAATCTTTTTTTTTCCTTTTTTTTTTTTTTTTTTTTTTGGGAAGTAAACGTAAAATGAAATGTCATTGCAGAAAAAGCAATTCTATGAAATTTATTGTTTACAATACAAAAATTACATTTAAAGAGAGAGAGACAGAGATAAGAAGAAAGAGGGAGAGAGAGAGGGAGAGAGGTAGTGAAAGACTTATGACACATTGAAGAATTTCTATACGCTTTACAAATCATTTTTTTTTTTTAAAAGTTTGTGACAATATTGATTGTTAGAAGCATAGTGATAAAAATGCTAGATTAGTTTCTTTTCTCTTCTTTCTCTCTCTCTCCCTCTCTCTCTCTCTCCCTTTTTTGTCTCTCATCACTCTTTACAATTTAATTTTCATAACTGATTAAAATTACAATTTAAATTTCACAGCTGATTAGAAAAAAAAAATGCTGATTACATGAAAATTATACTGTTAAATGTACTGAAGAATTTAAAGTTACTGTGTGAGAGAGAGAGAGAGAGAGAGAGAGAGAGGAAAAGAATAAAAGAAAAAAAAAGAAAAAAGAAAAAGTAATTGCTGAAAAATGGAAGAATCATCCCATATATGAATATAAATGTTGATTTAAATAGAAGAGAAAGTACAACAAAAGAAAAAACAAAAAATTTAATGAAACTGTATGGAAAAATTGCGCCAACTGATAAAATGATAGGGTGATAATGTATTTATTAACTGATAAAATGATATTGTACTAATTGATAAGATGATAATGTGTTTATGAACTTATAAAATGATATTGTGTTAATTAATAAGATGGTAATTTATTTATTAACTGATAAAATGATATCGTACTAATTGATAAGATGATAACGTGTTTATGGACTGATTAGATGATATTACAAGCATTATGATAGCATTAAATTAAAGTAAAATTAAGATAAGAGAGTTAAATTAGAGTAAGAAACAAATGGGTTATGTGATAAAATGAAAAAAGCTATGATCAATTCTTTTTGTTTTGCTCTGATAAAATGATATTGCATAAATCTTTTGACTGATAAAAAAGATATCATTTAAAATGGATGATTTATGTGATAAAATGATTGAATATTATTGCATTTTCTCTAAAATAAAATTAAAATGGTAGAAAAGTATTAAATGTTGAATTCATTTATTTTTAAAAATTTTAGAATATCAAAATTACAAGCTAAATGTTAGGTTATTTATTTCATTTTATTTTGTTTTAAACATTAATTTTAATCTAACTGTAAGTAAACAATGAAATTATCTCATATAAATAACTGAAAAAAAATATTAATACAAGTACTACTATAAAATTTGCAAATCATTCATTTATTTTTTTTTTTTTTAATTAAAAAATTGAAGTTTTTAATATTAATCAATAAATATTAGCAGAATTTTTAAAGATGTTAAAGTAAAAGTTAAACTTTTTTTTTTTAAAAAAAAAGAAAAAATGTATTAGGAAGAAATGTTTTGATAATTTTTTAATCGTTGTTACTATTTAAATAAATGACTAAATAATTGAAATGATCTAAATTATTTTATTTTGAACCTTTCAATAATAGCAAAACTTTAATTTATCATATTTTCCATTTTAGACAAATTCAATTTCAATTTTTTTTTTTTTTTCATGTTAAATTCTAACAAACAACTAAGTAGCATTAAATTTTAGTATTAGTTCCACTGTTAATATATCATAGATATTAATAATTAATTAATTTATATTATTGAAAAAGGCAAATTTTAATATTCGAAAAAAATTTTCTCGTAATTTTTGCTTAATTTTAAACAAACATAAAAATATAATGCATAAAAAGACGATGAAAGAAGGATAATTCAGTGAAATAGTAATTTAATATCAATGATTAAATCGATGTGTAATTTCCCGATGGAATAAGCAATGGATAATTTAATGAAAATTTCTTTTTGCTTTTTTTTTTTTTTTTCAACAATCATTAAATGAGGAAAGAATTTTAATGAAATGAACTTTCTTCTATTTTCACTCTGAAAGTAAAATTTTTTACTATTACTTTTCTTGATAGCATATTTGATATTCCATTTAAGTATAACTATATCAAAATAAAAATTCATTTCAAATATAAAAATTAATTCAGTCAATTGAAGGAAAATTTTAGTTGATTCCCAGTAAAATCAATTAAAATTTAATTTGTTAGGAATTGATAAAGTAAATAAATTACTTCAAATTTTAATCAAAAAATAAAATTTTAATACAAATCCAATTGATTGATTTTAAATGAATCCTAATAGTAGTAGAATTAAATATATATATATATGATTGTTTTTTCTTGAAGACATACTTTAATTTTAATCAAAATTACAAACTTTAATGGGAATTAAATAAATTCAAATTATAAAAACTATTTTGTCTTCATTTTTTAATCATTTTTTGATCAATTTTATAAAGAATTAAGTAAATAAATCAATATAAGTATTTGTTTGTTATTAAAAGTTGAGATATAATGGAAAGCTAAAAGGTAAAAAGTAAATGTAAATAATATTGCTTTTCATTACCTTTCTTATCTTTCAAATAAATAAGTTTTATTTATTCTTTACCAGAAAACTTGAAAACTAGATTTCTCAATGCATGTATGTGTGTTTAGCAGCAAAATAAAAGTAAAAGTTAACTTTATATTTGCAAAAGTAAAGAAAATGACTTGCTATGAACAATCTTGAAATTATTTCCAATCCAATATTCATTGTCACTTTTTCTTATTTTTCATCCAAATAATCCAATATGAAGTTTAAAAATTAAAATGCTATGAATAATAATAATAATAATAATAATAATAATAGTAAGTAAGTTAACAGTTTATTTAACATTATTTAATGCTTTTAATAATTTCATTTAATATTATTTGATAAATTATCATTGTATCTACACAACAATTAATAATTAAATTATATTATTAAGAAAAATGCTTAATGATATTTTTTACCAAAAATTTTTACTAAAATCATATTGCAATATTGAATTACTTAAATATTATAAAATATTCATACTTCAATTGCAATAATTAATTAATACAAAAAAAAAAAAAAAAAAAGGATTCAATCATTTAGTTGTAGGAATGATAACGAAATGGAATGTTTTGAAAAAGAAAAAATCGCATTTATATTTCAATTATCATTGATTTGGATAATTGATCAAGTTTTTTGGACTTTAATAATCATATTTAATCAATTTTATTTATCAGTTAATGATAACAATGTAATCAATTTTAATTTCCTCATTATTCAATAATCAATAACAATTATAAATACATCTTATTGGAGATAATTGTGAAGAGATTTAGCAGTGATTATTGTTGATAAGTGATAAGAAGTGATCGAAACCATTTATTGAATTTATCAATTATATTTTATGTGTTTGATTATTTATTACGAGATGATAATTCATCCTGCTAGCATTTTAATTTGGAATTTCATTCAGATAAAAAAAAAAATTTATTTTTTTTTAAATTCAGATAAACAACTGTAAATTATATATTCAGCTAAAACAGTTTGTGATAAAATGATAATAATAATAATTATCTATTTTGTTAATTATAATTATAGTAATATGGTGTGGTGATAAGATTATCTGCTCATGATAGTGATAATAATGATTTGGTATGATAATATACTGATCATAGTTACGTTGATAATGATAAAAGGAGATGATAAAATTTTAGAAAATTTTAGATTTAGGAAAAAAAATGCATAATTTAGACAATGTTATAAGAAAATGAAAACTTTGAGTAAATATTATTCTCTCTAAATTCCTCTTCTCTCTTCATTGCTGTATCACGTGATAGAGTTATCACGTGATATTACGTGATATCTATAAGATTATTTGCTCATGATAGTGATAATAATGATGATAATATGATAATCTACTATACTGATCATACAAACGACGATACTAATATATAATTTGATGAAACCTCGGTCAAAATATTGTACCATTTATGACTTTCTCTTATTAACTTTTATTTACATTTTTAATTTTAATATTTTAAATACTTTAATTTTACATTTACATTTAAAAAAATTTAAATATATTTAACAATTTAAAAAATTTAACAATTAAAATATTTATATAATCAATCCTTTCCTTCCATTTTTCTCAGTGACTATTAGCAGATAAAAATTCTACGAATAATTTAGCTTTTGAATGTACAAACATTTGATTACAAAATAAAATTGTTAATACTAAGCGAAAATTAAAACAAAAATTACAAAAAATAAAAAAAAAAAAATTAAAATTATAAAAAAAGATCATTTTATTCGGATTTTAAAAATGACATTTATTTAAAAATAAGTAAAAGAAAAAAAAAATAATCATTGCTTTTCTTCTTCTTTTACTATTTCTTAAAATCACTTTACTGAATTATAATTGTAATAAAAATAATGAAATAATGGCAAAAAAATAGTGATAAAGATAATTACAATTGATAATATTATAATTTCGGTGAAGCAAATAATAGCAATAAATAATAATTAAAATAATATATAACAAAATAAATAAAATAAAATGATAATTGTAACTGTAGTGATAATAAATGATAACGATAATGATGATTTTTTCTTTCCATTAATAAAGCTCAATCAGTTCAATCATCAATATTCGAGAATGTTTAATATCAAAAAACCAACAATCAGTGCTTGCATAAATGAAAGTGAAAATAAATTTTTAAGTAAAGAAAATAAGATATGAAGATAAAAGCATAAAAAATTATTAAATTTCTTTTTCATCGAAAAAAAAATTAAAATAATAAGTAACAGAATGTCACAGTAATTTATGAAATTATCAAAGCAATTATTACTTAAATGATAACAATAGTGATAAGGATAACTGTAATAGTTGATAATTACAGCTGATAAAAATAAATTTGATAATGTATGTGGTGATGAGAGATGATCATGATCATCATAATGATTATTTTAGAGTAAAGATCATCATTTTTTTTTTTTTCATGTTCATAAAATTTAAAAAATTAAGAAGAGAAGAAGTGTAACATTAAAAAAAAAAAAAGTGAAAACAACAAATGATTCTCAATCAGTTAACTTATTCAATTATTAGAGAAGAAATAAAATATTGCACCATACACTAAATAGCATTCAATCATTTTGTATTGCTAAAAAAAAAAAAAAAAAGAAATTCTTTTTTAAAAACTAAAAAAAAAATTGATACAAAGAGAAGAAAAGCATTTGATGTAATAAAAATGTGTAATACTGTTCTAAAAGCACGTAATTCATAAATGTTTTCAAAAATAATAAAAGAAATTTTTTTTTTTTTTCATTGTTTAATATCAAAATCTATTAAATGTCATATGTCAAATCCCCTTCCCCTTCTCCTTTCGCCTTCCAACCTCCCAAAAAAAAAAAAAAAAAAAAAAAAAAACAATTCAAAATTTTTTTTTGTTTTGAAAATCTTATAGAGATGAATGTACAAATGTGAAATTATAATAATTGAATTTTTAAACTGCAAACAATTAAATAAACATTTCAGCATTAGCACAATAACAGTAAAAAAAAACTTGATAATTTCACATAAATTACATATGTTTAACAAATTTCAACAACATAAATCGAATAAATTGAATCATTGTTTAACGATATTTAATTCTATCACCAAAATTTTACTAAATTCTCAGATATTAAAAACTTCCTTAGTTACTTATTCATAATGATTGATAGAATAATAATCAATAAATGATCGATCATTGCAATCTTTTATCTTAAAGTATTCTATGATCTTCACATGTAATACTAAGTATGAAACAAGAATATTGCAACAAAATTTAGCTAGAAAAAAAAAAATATCATCATGACAAATTATGATGAGATAACAAAGTATGATAATTATGATAGCTACAATATGCAATCGTATAGCGATAAAACAATAAATATAAGTTAAAACCAGAAAAAAAAAAATAACAGAAAATTTTTGAAATTAAAAATATAACTATGATAACTTAGCAACAAATGATAATATCACTATGGAAATTTCACTCGGCTATGATAATACCATGAACTAATTAAAACATTTTAAGAAATCTACAGAAAAAAAAAAATAATAAAACTAAAAGATAGCAAGAAAGTAATTAATCATGATAAATTGAGAGAGAAATAATTACAGTAATTACAATGAATTATCATAATCATAATATATTATCACGAAATAATAACCAAAAAAAGAAAAGAGAGAGGGAAAGAGAGCAAGAGAGAAATAGATATAACATAAAATTTCACTGATTATCGATGTTTTTGTAATGCTTCGTTGATACTGCTTACTAATTCTTCACAATTATCTATATGAACTTTTTGTGCAGGACCCAAATTAAAACCAAAATGATCAATTATTGCGAAGAATACTTCGATTACAATAAGATAAATAATCATCCATTCTAATCTTGCTTCCTGAAATTTTGAAATTTTTTAATACAATTATAATCTGTAAAGTTACTAATTTCAACGGGAATATTTTACTTGGAAAATTATTTATTTTAAAATTTAAATTTATTTAATCACAATATAGAAGCAACTTAAAAGATGGAAGAATTCTGTAAACAATATTATCGTCACTGTTATTGTTATTATTACTATTATTATTATTTATTACTATCATATACCATGATTATTTATTATTATTATTATTGTTATTAATTATTGTCAAAACTATTACGAAACTATCTCTGACTAATGCTAGTTCTTATGAAAATTCAAAAAAAATTAAAAAACATACACAATTATGAGTTTGCATACCGTTCACTACTTTCAATATTTCACTGCAATAATCTAACTGCGCGTTTAACATTCTGAAAAAATAGTTGTTTCATTCCAAAAGAAACACACACACACAAAAAAGAAAAATAAAGAATTTCAAAATAGTGTTTTTGAAATCAACAAAGAAGTATAACATGAAAAGATCTCATTAAGAACAAAAATTAATTAGCTTAAAGTACCTTCGCCGACCCGCAACAGCGAAATGTTTTAAAGCCATTCTATAATATGGTTCCAAGTCTTGTTTTTCCCAATAAAAATCAGAATCGATCAAGTTCGTATTTAAATTAATTGAATGTCTGGAATGAAAGAGAAAAAATATAATACCATAAAAATTTCTAAGAAAGTGTAATAACCTAATTAACAGAGTTATTTAACAATTTAAGCACACTTCAAAAGCAGTTAGAAATCAAAGGAAAACAGAGTAATGATAAAAGTAAAGATCTATCATTCATATCTTTACTTTTATCATTACTCTTATCATTACTTTTATCATTACTAACTTTATATGATCATTATCCAGGAAATATAAACTGTGTCTACAATTAATGTCTCATCTTTTGTCAATTACAACAGCTGAATAAGAGCAAGTATAAAACATATACGAAAAAGTTAGAAAAAAACTAAAATTAAAAGTAAGAAATCGTAATAATAATAATAGAACAGATATCAGCTGGAAATAATGGAAATAACATATATAAAAAATAATAATAATAGAACAGATATCAGCTGGAAAAAATGGAAATAACATCTATAAAAAAAATTTCAAATGATAGGAGGAGGAATTGCTTGCTCACCTAAGTGATAACAGAGTACCAGTTTGCATTAGTACATTTTTTCGCTTCAAAGGAATTTTACCAATACTAAGTCCTTTTGAAGCTTTGGCGAGCGGTTCAGCATATTCCAACAACTGTGCTTCCCATATTGCAACTTTTACTGAAATTAGAACTTAATGTTTATCTAGGAAAGTTACTCCTAATAAATGCGACAAGAAATATTAATCTGTAATTCTCAAAATTAAAAGATTTGTAAAATTCAAAAATAAAAAAAAAAAATCGTTAAAGAAACCATAAAATTCAACACTATTAATTGCAGTACTACCATCGATTAGAACATTTTAATATATGCTAAGTGAATTTTCATATAGGTTTTATGCCATTCATTTCTCCTTTTCAAACATTTTCTTATGTAAACATTTCAGATACTTTAATGTAAAGTCTCCCTTCAATATTATGATAAAAAAGAAAAAGGAACTCAAACTCACCTGATGCAGCCATTCCATGAGAGAAAGCAAATCGCTCCAAAGTTGCTAAAGACGAGAAATGTCCATCCAAATAATTAGCAAAATTAAGTAGTAATTGTTCACCTTTCAATCGTGTTTCACCTCTTAAAAAACAAATTATTGTTTCCATTTCCATTCATTAGTTTTATATATATGTATAAAAAAGTATATAAAAAAGTAAAACAATACATACAAAATTGCAAAAGAGATATATAATTAAACATAAGTAAGATATTAGAATAAGTCATGAAACCAAATAATGGTATTAATGAGTAAATCATATGAACGAATAACGATAATTATCGTTTAAAACTGACAAAATTCAACTTTTACGAAATATGTGAGAACATAGCAAGAAAAGAAGATGGCATAATTTAACATTATTTATTCCAAAAACTTTTTAAGTAAAAATTTCCTTACTCTTTTACCATACGAAATGATAAGGTATCGGTTTCTTCGAGAACAACTGATGCTTCATATGGCAATTCTGTATATTGGGACAAAATATCCATTATTTGGCTACGCTGCAATTCAAAAAAAAAAAAAAAAATAAAGTTTCGAAATTAAAACAATTTTTTATGAATGAAAATACTGTAATTTTCTCGTTAATATACCGGAATTACTTGAAAATGATACTGATAATAACAATTATTTCAATATCAGAGAAATAAAAAATTACCTCAATTTGATTAATGCCCCAAAAGACAACAACACCATCAGCAAACAAAAAGAATTCTTTAATTGCATTCTGATCAATAATATATTGTGGTTTTGGCACAAAATGTAAACCATCATCAATTTCTGAAAAAAGAAAAATAAATTTTAGAACTTTTTGAATAAATGCACTGAATTTCATAGAACTATCGAAAACATTGATAGAAATACATATTTCTGCAAATCTCAGTAGCTAATCTACAAAAGGGTGAACAAAAAATACAAAAAGTATAATCGGTTAAATTTCAGATGAACAAATACAACAAAAAGCTCATAAGAATTTCACACTAACGTTCAATAATAATTTTTGATGATCATTAATGTTTACAGTGGTTTTTTTAAATATCAAATAAGGCTAAATTAATATAACTAGAAAGATTCCATCAACAGTTAATTAACTGATCAAAAAATAAAAACAGAATTAGAGCACATGTATATGTGAGAAGAAAATAAGGTCAAAGTAAAAGTTAAAAATGCAACCAATTTCATTGCTAGAATAAAAGAAGAAATTTTTGGAGCTATGACATTTGTAAAAAAAAAAAAAAAAAAAAAACAGTAAGATCACTTTGCCCAATTTGCTCGACCAGTTTAACTATTAAATAAGATTGACTAAAACAGAATTACTTCAATTAATTTTAATTATTTCGATTGTATCAATAAACTAAATATACCTTCATCGATATGCGTACAATTATATAAGCTGAACAAATGATCATCATCGAGTAAATCAAGCAATCTGAAGGATTCTGCCATTGCTACACCAATAATTTCCGGTCCTCTTGGATACTGAAATAGAAAAAAAGATATACTAAATGCTAATTAATCACTAGAAAGCACATCTCAATGCTCTCACATTCGATAGTTTTAGTGTAAGGAAACAATTCATACAAACTTCATAAACTATTAACAATTTTATTCGACTTGTAAGCGAATAAATTTTAATCTAACAATTACCAAAACGCTTTTACTCAATATGTTTTCGCATACTAAAAATTAAATGATTTAAATTAATGATAAAAGTAAACCGTCGAATCATAAACTGAAGTTAGAGGTCTACGTCTTCGAACCGGTTTTCGTACCACAGTTGTTGAATCAACAGTTGGCGGTAATGGATTAGTTGTATCCGCAAAATGTTTAATTGGCTGCATACATAGCACTCTGAACGGATTGACTTTCTTAGAGTTTCGCAAACATTATTTAATAAAATTCTAAAAATTAAATTTGCATAAAAATAAACTGTTTTAGGGAAGACAAACATTTTCATCTCATTTTTTACTTTCCTCTCACGCATACATAATTTTCAGACTTTTTTTTTTCTTGATCAACTAATTAGTTCATAATGAGATAACTATAATTTGCAATTTGAAAATAAAACCTGGCAATTAATGAATTTGATTGAATAGCCTTTGTCCATAACTGTTTCTTATTTATTGCATGAGAGCGTAAATACGATGCATTCGGTTCAAAAGATGCAAATAAATAACGCAAAAGACTCCAACGTTTTAACATAACTAAAGATAACAGAAATAATGGTCAAAAGTTAATAAAAGTTAAACAAGTAGTAAAGTTCTTCAGGCTAACTTTCCCAGTTTTTAAATCCAGAAAATAAAAAAAAAAAAGTGTAAAAGATGAAAATCCCGAACTGCTTAGATTTTTGTTCATATCTTACTTTCATTATTCTTTCAAGAGATATCATCCGGCTTCCTTCCTTATCACTTTAACAATAAATTTTTCACATTTAAATTATCTAATGAAGCTAGCATCAAAATATTAATCTATCGTTAACAGGGAGAAAAAGAAAAATGGTTGAAAAACACAACAAAAAATACTCCACTTTTCTGATAATAAGGAAAATTGGAAAAAAAAATCCATCTTATCCTCTCACAATCTGATATCTTTTAGTAACCATTAATTTTTATCCTTTTTATGTCTTATTCTTCAGCAAAAGATCGTATGATAATTGAAAGTGTACTCTGACAATAACTTTTGGAACTGTTTAACAAAAAAAAAAATCCTTCCTGAATAATAATCATCAAACGACATTTGTGAAGAGGCACTGGACATACGTCACTTATAATTTAATCAAAATGCATACAACATATTTCATTTTCCTAATAATCACATTTGCTTTTTTTTTTTAAAAAAAACTATCTTATATTAGAAAAAAGAAACAATAACAACACATTAACAACATGCTAGAAAATATTTGAAAATTTTAACAAAATCAACAACGACAATAATTGAATAATATCATTTCAGTAATATACAATTAGCATATTAGTGAGATGAACATTCAAATTCATAATTGCTTCTTCCCGAAAAGCATAAATATCGCTTCGTATAATTTTAAATTTTAACGAAAGCGTAATGGTAGTAGCAATAGCCTAAGTATAATTATGCCACACTTTAAAAAAAAAGTCATAAATTCTCTTTATATATATATATATGAACACATATATACATTAGAAGCTTAAATTAAAATTTCAAAATACAGATAAAATAAAATTCAATGCATTTAATTTTCATAATCTTATATCACTTTTTTTCGATTTTTTTTTTTTTTTACATTAAACAGATAAATATTGAATTGCCAAATGCTAAACTTCAAGAATTATTTCTATTCCTCTTCTAGCACCTTTGTTATAATCGCTTCTTCACTACGTCACCTTTCAAATCCACTACACGATTAAATATAAGCTGAAAATAGAATTATAAAACTGAAATAAACTCCTTTCAAAGAAATACTCGAAAGACGCAACTAAGGGCATTACCATAATATTTTAAAGTTAACTCAGTGGCTGCTTATACACTGACTGCTTCTTAAGTGAGCATATTTATATCATTCAAATTAAATAAAAATAAAAAAACTGGAAATAATGAATGACTACGCCTCTCATTAAATCATACCAATTAGTTGAAAGATATGAAATGCAAACAAATTTGTTAAGTACACATTTTTGGCCAAAAAAAGAAAAAAAGAAAATGGTCATATTAGTTCCTTACTTATTGCTTTTACAGTAGAAACCCTTATAAATAACCTTATAAAGGATACCCTTATAAAAATTTTCTTACCTACCTAATAACAACTTCTTATCATTCTATAGAGCTTATCTGAATTATCACCCAGCATACCGTCTGATAATGACATAACACTATCCAATACTAATCCGGTATGAACTCAGACTACTTCACATGTAAAATAATTATTAAATTAGTAATCATAAAACATAAACAGAAATCTCAATTAATAAAAAAAAAAAGCCTTTTATTATGTGACTTCAATAAATAGCAGTCACTCTTACCTTTTCAGACGTACTGTCTGGATCCACAGAAAAGAATCCAATTCTTTCAAACTGATATCGATCATAGACTTTCGAATTTGAAACTGATCTATCTATATATACTGGTTCCACAATGCGTAGTGAATTCTAAATAACGCTAGAGTGAACTTGAGATGACTAATAGTATATCTAATATTGGTTTTCAATAGATTTCTATAATATTTACTTGTTGTCATCACATATAAGGTGGGTTCCACGATGACGATTGAAATAAACATAGCATATTGAATTTTAAAATAAAATAAAAATCCTTTTGTTTCTTTATAAAATTAACAGAAATCCTGGGTGAAAGTCAATATTAGATTATTAAAAAAGCCAATAAAGCAGGCTTATCATCCCCTTGATCCGTAATCATATGAACCAAGGAAAAGAACCTATTTCTACAATTATGCATAATTATACAAATAATTGATACCTCATTGCAATCTGACAGAAATCCACCGGGAACTTCATTCAGATCCTCCGGATTTTTATGCCGAAATCTGAAATAAAATAATAATCAGGAAAAAAACTAACTATTCTCACTGACTTTTGTTACGAAAATCTTATGAAAGGGTATTCTATTTTAAATGTTGCAATTTTTGACGGTCATAACTTAAAAGATGTTTAAATGTGTGGAAAACTTACAGTCGTTCGTACAATCGAACTTGGCAATGAGCTGGATTTGCTACCCAATGTAAATATATCTTTGGTCTATTTTCAGAAGTAAGTTTTGATGCCTTCACCGTCAATTCTATTATCTCTCCGTTGTCATTCTGGAACAAATCAGAAGACATTTGTTGCGAGAAGCTTCAAGCACTTTTATTTGCAACTTTTTTGGACCATTACAACTGGGCTAAAAATTTTGTATGAGAATATACCCGTAATTCATTGATAAGAGATATAACGATCCCAAGATATTTCAAACCAACTGATTTATTCTTTGTTAATCGAAGAAAATTGTTATCCACTTCACCCTGCAAGCAACAACTCCTTTCAGTTTATTTTTAATTTAGAAAAAAATACTTATTATTAACATGAGAAAACATTTACAGACTACACTCTAAATAAGAAAAAATTTACCTCACGATAATCCGATCGTTCGATAAAAACAACACGATCTATAGCAATTACATGTTGTTGTTCACTGCGAATTTGATCATTTGGAAAATCTGGCACTAATAAACTGCACGGTAGCGATAATTCATCGTAATTATCAATAGTTACTTTTAGTGGATCCATTACAGCCATCGTTCTAAATTACATCAATAACAAAATTCGCAATTTTTGAACAGGTTAACCGATAAATTTTGAGCAATTTGGAAAGTTCCATTTACAATTAATTTAAACAGATTTTCTATTTTTCTAAATCAGTATGGAAATGGACAATGACAAAAGTCATACTGTTCAGTTTTTTATACTTTCCAATGATTTCAACGTAGATTTTTCAAAAATTTTTTTAAATAAAAAGGAAAAATGAAACAACAGAAAAAGAAAAATCGAAATTTGAAATCGAAAATTTATTGCAAAACTGCGTACCTTGGCGCATTTTTGTTTAAATAATCACGTGCGGTGGCATCCAACATTTGCGGGTCAATAAAGGTTTGTGCTGTGGTAAGGCCTAGACCTATAATGAAATTATTGATGGCTTCTGGAGGAATACCTCGTCGGCGTAATGCTGTCAATGTAAACAATCTTGGATCGTCCCAATCACTGTAAAAATATCTATTGATGACAAATATTACAGTTAATTATGCTACACTATCTATAAAAATATGGATGAAACGGAATTTTGATTTTACATTTGCAGAACAAAGATATATTAGTCTAAGTATTTGAAATATAACAAGTACATAATGTAATGTCTTTATGTAAAACAATAATGATATACCTGACAATTTTATTGTCGATTAATGCTTTGATTTTTCGTTTAGAAACAACAGAGTAATTCATATTTAAACGACCGTATTCCCATTGCACTGGACAATAAATATCTAGGCTGTTACAGAGCCAATAATAACTGCTACGTCTATAAAGTGTTTAGTATTAAAATACCTTACAGAAACTTATCAGAGATTACTGAAAAGTGTTTTAAAAACAAAAAGAAATATGGAAGAGAACAACATAATCTTAATGGAAATAAAATTGGAACAAAACTCACCTTGATTGGAATTCCTTGGTACATAAAGAATGCGTTATATTTTCTAACGAATCACACAAACAATGTGTAAAATCGTATGTTGGATAAACACACCTAAATAACAATGCATACTTAGCATTCACAACTGATTACACAATAAATAGTTAAAAGCTTAAAAATCAACAGGATATAGTTTACATAAAACATCACGAATAAATCAAACCATTTATTTCCAGTGCGATGATGAGGACAATATTTAATTCTATAAGCTACCGGATCCACTTTACCTTCCTCCAAAATAATTTTTAATCGTAATGTTGCTTCGCCTTCATTAAATTTACCGCGCCGCATATCCTATAATTCAATTTACAACTTTCGGCAATCTAATCTTCAAACTTCAGCAATAATTCATAAAACTTCCTCGGACAATGATGCTTGAACGTGTCTAGCAAAAACATAAATAAATATCTGAGCAGCACATTTTTTCCACTTTAGTAATAAACATTGCACAATATCGATAAATCATATTATGAATTATTATGTACCGGAATTTAGTGTCAAAGAGATTTCTTTTAATATATAGAAATAAAACAAAATTACCTCGAAAAGCTGCAAAGATTCTTCCACTGGACGGTTACGCCAAGGTGATATGGTTACCTCAAAACCACGGATTTCATCAGCAGCTTGGTGACAAACATATGCTAAGCTTTTTTTAATCAGAACAACTGCCCATTCATATAACTGATCAAAATAATCTGATGAATACGTGATTTTATATGGTTTATAGCCTAAAAAATAAATATTAATTACTCGAAATTCTATCGGAATTTAGTACTGAAAGAAAGCATAAAAAAAAAAATTCATAAATCCCAACCTAACCAATCTACCATCTCTACAATACTTTTCGCAAATTTTTCCTCCTCTTTTTCAGGATTTGTGTCATCAAATCGAAGATAACAAATTCCATCATGAGCCTGCAATAAATGGAGAGTAATTTAAGATGTCACTTCTACATTAAACATCATATTTCTCACTTATTCGATACAACGAATTACCTTTGCATAACCGAAATCGATATTTATTGCTTTTGCATGTCCAATATGTAATATACCATTTGGTTCTGGTGGGAAACGAGTAACAACCTGCAATATATAGAGTGAAATATATATTAATGATAATAAACATAGAATGGTGAAAAGAACCAAAATTCGAAATGGATTAAAAGCGACATTCTTCTGAAGATAACTTCAAAAATACTTCTGATTCAAATAAAAATTCAAATAGAGCAAACCTAAAAAATATAAAAGAAGTAACAAATTATGAATAGTCAAAAAAAAATCACTTGTCCCTTCACAGCTTCTACATGTTTCTTCAAAAGTTCCATAGTATTTGGTGTAATAACATAACCGCTTGTTTTGTAATTTTCTCCAACCTGAAATGCAAAAAATGGCAAAATCCATTAGAACTTATCACTACATTCCTTATTAAAGCAGAAAAGATTAAAAGTAAAGCTAACTTTGTGAAAAAGCGTTTTCTTCCTCATTAACTCTTCGAGAGTAACCCCAGCTTCCTCTTCTGAAAATTATTAGAGCACTTAAATACTTCAACATCAAACGAAACATGCGTCATTATCTAACTTTTCATTTAATCATATAAAAACTTCTATGACTACGTATTTTAAAAAAGTATTAAGACAGTACACAAATCAGCGTGCAGTATGGTATGTTCTATTTTAATGGTCATTTATTTTTTTGCTTTCATAGCTTTTTTTCAAACTGCAATGATTTAGCCGATGATGTTTCATTATGATTTTGCTGTAAATGAATGCAATAGAGAGCTGACCAGATGAAAACTGCAAAACGGTAAACTTCTTTAGGTATATCTTTTGTTATAATAATTCTTAAGGTTCATACAATATATCAAGTAGTTAAGATTAAGAGGTATGACAAGGAAATTACCTTTATGCGTACTATTCGATTCAGTATTTTTAGACACAACGGAGTTCGAATCGCCTGTAGTAGTTTGCCTTGATTTATTGTCTGATGCTTTTTCTTTCTTGGGATAAAGATCGTCAATTGTCTTTGGACCCAATAGCAACATTATACAAAGATCCACTTCGCGTTTCACAGTTGAACCATCTGCCCACTTTAGTTTTGATTTTACATCACCTAAAAACAATTGCATCAAAAGTTTTCAAACTAGAACAGTTACATGAACTGTAGGACAAGAATCGCAATAGCCATAAATATAGCAAAGGAAGTCATGAATCGTATGAAAAAAAAAAAAAAAAAATGCACTGACAAAAAAAACGTGTTTTATAATATCGCAATGGCATCTACTACTACGCAAAATTGTAAAAGAAACAATTTTTGAATATGACAAACCTAGTATTTTTCCAGTATTAAAACTGTACCGTTGTTTCAAAATTTCTGATTTGAACCTCTCAATTGTTTCTTTAACCTGAAAAAGCATTTATCAATAACTGATTAGATTGAAAGTTTATCCAAATAAATTCTATCATTCGGAACTTATCTGTAATCGAACTATTTTGGCAAACTAAAAAAGTGACAAAGTACCGTTACAAAGAAATTCTAATCCCAATATTTCTGAGAGTTAGTAAAAAACAAAAATCAATCCAACAATCAACAATGCAACAACGAGTGAAAAAAAGAAAATGTTTAATAACAAAGCAATTCTTATTGTAACAAAAAGCTTTTGTATATAGGCTGGAAATGAAAAATTTTTCAAGGGCCTTCAAAAGGTAATTGGACCAATAGTATCTCCTAATGGATACCTGATTTTGGATTTGATCAGCTGTGATAACAATACCTACACCGCATGCATCCAAAAACTTTTTCTCATCTATTTCTTTCATAACATTACTAAGCAAGTATTCGATAGCTGCAACAAGTTGTTGTTCCGTTCGAATATTCTCATTCATAATATGACGAATAACCAGTGAAGTATGTTGTTGACACTGCGGTTTCAAACGTGTCCCCACATGATACAATAGTGTACCCTAAACAAATAAAAAAATATTAGATCACATGCTTAGGCTAATAACTACAAAAAAAAAAAAAAAGTCGCATGAAACAGAATTTCATCAGACAAATTACTTTGCAAATACTAAGGAACAAATTATTTTCAATTTTCCATAGAAGCAAAAAACCATAAATTCGTTTTTAATGACAAACGAACAGGTAGGTCTTTCACTGTTCTATGAAGATAAAAAAAAACAATCATCGTAAATGCTCAACAAACTATCACAATAAATTCAATAATTCGCAAACATGGTTTCATTTCATTGAGCAATTCAATTTGCAATTAACAGTACCATAGTTTCTCAAAATTGAAAATTGTAATGTTCTGTGCTAAGTCTTATAATATAGTTTAAAACGGAAGGGATGAAAGCCTTTAAATTTATAGTACTTTTCAAACTTATTCATTTATTATTCTTCAACTGATCAACATGATGTGTGATAAATTTATAAAAACTATGTGTAAATTATAAAATCATACCTGTTGCTTTGTTGCTATCTCATCATGTCCAGCACTTTTCAATTCTTCCTTTGCAATAGCAACAATTTTTGACAACTTTTCAGTAAGTGGTCCATTTTTCTGTGTTTCAATCACCTTATCATTCGATAAACTTAACCATTTTAATTCATCAACCATTTTCCACTTCCTATTTTTTTTTCAAAAAAAAAAGAAAAAATTAGAATTTTTATAATTCATATTAATTAAACTATAACACTCTTCATAATTATTGCTAATAAATTACAAAACAAACAATTAAATTACCTAAAGAAATTTGAACAGAATTAGCTCTATTAACGTTTAAATTTAACGCAGGCACACAACGAAACATTCTTTCTTCTATTCTGGTTTAAATAATTCAATAGCTCATCTCTTTATTAAATGTTTGATAACTTTTTGTTAGTCAATAGTTTAAACTTATTTAGTCGTAGTTTTAATAAAGAACTGCACAAGTGATTATCATCCATGATTTGTTATAAATTACAAATTTCCAAAATGTATTTACTTAAGATAAAGTATTCAAGATTGATTAGTTCCGGGTGATTAATAAACAAAGATTGTTTAACATCTTTTGACGTTTTACCAAAAATTGGCTTTTATATTAAAGCTCTGTGGTGTTATAGAAATAGTCTATGTTTATTTTAGAAAGACAAAATACCATTTCGGTGTGTTATTCATGAGTATGGGTAAGTTATGCGAAAATAACTATGCTATACACTGGAAAATAATATGTTAGGAAGTGAGAAAGATTACAAAATGATTAGGAGTAGATGAAATAGGAAGTGAGAAAGATTACAAAATGATTAGGAGTAGATGAAATGGTAATAATTGAGGTGGATTTAAAATTTGTTAAAATTGCTGAGAATTTTTGAATAGAAAATCAGTATACAGTGCTTGGATAATTCATTAAGTAGGTTGTATTGTTTTATTTGGTTAATAGAAGGATATATTTTTACATGAAATGAAAGGTTTTCAGTTCCTAATTCGACGATTCATAATTCTTCTGTTTTAAAATTCTGGAAGTAGGATAACTTTCAATTACAAAATTTAAGTGTTCATAATTTGCATTAAGATTTGTCATAATTTACGGAAGTATTTTAATATTACAGTGATTTGTTATTGTCCACGTTATTTATTACATTTTTGATCAAAAACTTTTATGCTCAATATTTTCAGTAGCTATGGGACGATTACATACATTGGAACTAGAAAATTTTAAATCGTACAAAGGTAATCAAATAGTTGGACCATTCAAACAATTTACAGCAATTATTGGTCCCAATGGATCAGGTAACTCATCATTACTATTTTTTGATTGAATATGTAAATCTTTCCGTTTCAATATTGTTATCACATAGCAAATATGACTTCATATTGGTCAAGAGAGAAGTGTAATAGCTAATTTTCCATATACAGTTGTTTAGTGTTATTATTTTTGTAATATTCTGGTGGTCAAACTTACGATACCATTTGTAGAATTTTATTTTTTCTACTTATTATTATTTAGTGCATATCGTTTATCCTGACAAATGAATCACTAATGATAACATTTAAAACAATTTTGTTATTTTGTACGTATTATTTTTCGTCTAATTAATTATGACAATTGTAGTGTATTTTAGGCAAATCGAACTTGATGGATGCAATGTGTTTTGTGCTTGGGGAAAAAGCAAGTAATCTACGAGTAAAGAAGCTACATGTCAGCAAAATATTTTCTTATATAATTAAAATTGCTTAGTTGATAACAGTTTATAAGAGAGATTTAATTTAAGATAATGCGGTAATATACTAAACTGATTTAGATTTATGATTCCTACTGTCAAACCGTACCATGTATTCCATATCACGTGGTTTAGATTACTTGGCTGTTTTTGACTTGATAGTTGTTTCAGGAAGAAATATTTTAAATTATTTATTAATATTAGGATCTGATACATGGAGCACCAGTAGGCAAAGCAGTAGCAAATCGTTGCCATGTGACAATGAATTACGAAGATGACGATGGAAATATGCGTGCCTTTACACGTTTGGTAACCGGCTCTGGTTCAGAATATCGAGTCGATAATAAGGTATTGCATAGCTTTTTGTTAATTTAATTTCGTTTTGTCGAGAATTTTTAAATCACTTAACTTAATTATAAGTACTTTCAGCTTACTTATAATTTCTTTCATCATTTTAACTCCTAGTCAATTGTGTCACTTAAAGTTATGTCGGACATCCCGTATTATTAAAAAGAAGAAATACAACTTTATCAGTGAACATTTAATTTAAATAATTATAGACAGTTACACCACAACAGTACGGTCATGCATTGGAAGAAATAAATGTATTCATGAAGGCAAAAAATTTTCTTGTGTATCAAGGACAAGTTGAGCAAGTTGCAATGAAAAATCCACGAGAGCTAACGCAAATGTTTGAAGAAATTTCACGGTTCAGCTTTTCTCTACATTGCATGCATAATGTTCACAAATTGAAGTAACTTTGATTAATTCTAAGATTATCTTTTTTCTGAACACATCTAATATGTGCAGTCGTTGAAAATGTTGCTATCATTTTTCAGATCATGTGAATTTCAAGCAGATTACGACCGCCTGAAGGCAGAATTAGCAAAAGCGGAAGAGGAAGCAGCATTTAATTTAAATAAGAGACGAGGAATTGCACTGGAAAAGCGTGAAGCTAAATTGGAAAAGGATGAAGCGGAAAAATATCAGATGTTAAAGGAAGAACTGGTTTGCGTTTGAAATATGCTTAATGATTATTAGTCATTATTCCATAATGGTTGCCTTATATATAGGATCAGTCTTGTAAGCTTGACATTAAATTACCATCAAATTGTATGTAAAGGTTAATTCTCAACATAAGAAAATGCTGTCTGACGGTTTAAGATAGAGAAAATTAACTATTACTTAGGTAATTGGCGAAGAATTTATAAAATAGTTTGATGTCATGAAAGAAGTTAGCAAAAAAAGAAAAGCTTTTTACATTAGTAATATTGAATCGCACAGAATATTTTGAAAATTTTCCTACCATTGAGTGGTTATGTAGGTTAATACCAACTTTTAATGATGCATTTTCTTTGACCATTGTTGTTAATTGCCATTGTCAAACGTGATAGAATTGGATTGCAGGAATCGAAGCAACGTCAAGTGTATCTTCTACAATTGTTTTATGCGGAAAAAATGGCAGACGAAACGACAAACGATTGGAAGCGTAAAAAAGAAATAGTAGCCGAGCTGACCGGTAATAAATCAGAATGTGATGCAGCCGTGACAGCGAAACAACATGAACATAAAAAAGTTTTGAAAGAAGTTCACAAACTTGAAAACAAAACATCTGCAAAGGTGCGTTTTCTGAGAAGATGACATATACAATGTATTAGTCGGTTTCTTCTTCACTTGCTATTACTATAATTTTTTTTTTTTTTTTTTTTGCTGCTTTTTGCTATAATTGCTATAGCTATAACTATAATTGATGTCAGTAGCTTTTTGATAAGGAATTGATGTTGTCTTATGCTCACTTATGTTTAAGTTATGTTGCATATTTCAAAATACAGGAAAATTTATCTTTTTCTTTTCACTCGTAGTGACGAATAGGAAAACGGCAGAAGTGATGTACCTGTAAGAATTTGGTGGCGTAAAAAATGCGTTTGATATTCAACACACTGTTTATTTAAAAGTCATTTACCTCTACTGCTCTAAATTTATCCTCAGTTTTTAATGTACCTTGCTGATTTATGGATTTCATACATACTGCATTTGAATGTAATTCTTAGAGTATTTATTTTTAGGAGAAGGAAGTGATGACACAAAAGCCACGTTATGTCGCTGCTAAACAAGGAGTTGTACACGTGAAAGCAAAGCTTGAAATGGCTAATAAAGCACATTCTAACGCTCAACGAGCAGCTGAAAGCCATGAAACCAATGTAGTCACATTGAAGCAACAACTCAAGTATAGAATTATGATATTTCATGCAATCATCAGTGATCTAAGTTTCCTTGTTTTAACCCTATCTGTAACAGATTTATTTGGCCCTTTTAACCCTATCTATCTTAACAAGTCGTTGTTTTTTAGAGATGTTGAGCAGAAAAAACAGGAATGCGAAGCGAAACTTGCTACTGAATCGCAAGAATTAGCTATGCAATTAAGTGATGCCCAGGTAATTAAATTTAAATTTTTTGGCTATCAGCTATTTGAATAGCATATGGTTGAAATATTTTGTAATATTAAGTATGAATTAAATATTCGTTATTAATTAAAAATGTTTTCTTTTCATAGTGACGACTAATTTTGTTGAAGGTAAACGAATATTATGGACTGAAGGGTGAAGCAACAAAACGGTGCGGTGTTATAGATATGGAACTTAATAAATTGTTACAAGAACAAGAAACTGAAAAGAATAATTTGCAGTTTGAACAGAGACGTTTAGCTCATGCAAACGACCGCGTTAAAAATGTTTGTTTCTTTTGAAATTTACCTTCACTTAATCTTTTGTTTTGGTAACTTCGTAATGCAAATGTGCTTTAGAGGAATCTGAATATGTTTTCCTTACATACTTGGTATTTGGTATTTGAGAGTATCATTTCAGTTTTGAAAGTTTAAGAAAAAATTTTTTAAAGAAAAATTTTAAAGTCTAGCGTTTAACGATATGAACATCTTCAACACAAGTAACTATTAGTCACGAAATCTTAAAATGATTAATTTTTAGAAGGAGCAAGAAATTGAACGTATGTCTCGTCAGGGAGAACAACTTGCAGAAAATATCGTGTCACAGAATAATTTGATTGATGATGAGAAGAAGAATTTGCAAAATCTTGAAGTTCAGGTATGCCATAATATGTTGTTGCATTTTGTTGTCTCATGTAGGAGTAAATTGTCTCTCTAAAGAAGTAGGAAGATTAAACTGGTATATACATGATGAGATAATTTAGTAAATTGTCCATTAATCCAATTCCGTATAATTTCAAGATAAAAGTTGAAAATTATTTACAGGTGCGCGAATCGAAAGAACGTTTGGAAAAGGTAACAACAGAATTAAATAATGTCTCACGGCAGCTGTCAGAGGCACATGGTGATACAGCAGAATCAGAGCGGAACAGGAAACGAAATGAAACTATCGAAAATTTAAAACGTATCTTTCCGGACCGTGTCTACGGCAGACTGGTTGACCTATGCCAACCATCTCATCGACGATTTCAGATTGCTATTACTAAGGTTTAATTTTTGCTGATCAATTGTTAAAATATAACTCACTGAAGATTTAGGGAATAGACTCTTCTGAATTGAATCGGAACACGACAGTTTCTTTTATTTTAATTTCTTTCTCTTCGACTAAGTTCAGATTATTGTCCTGAGTTAAATTGATTTAATAAATTTAATTTTAGATTAATACTATTATTGTAGGTATTAGCTAAAAATATGATGTCCATTGTTTGTGACACAGATGAAACAGCTCGAGAAAGTATCATTTATTTGAAAGAACAACGACTCGCACCTGAAACTTTCCTTCCATTATCAGTCTTGGATGTTCATCCAATTAAAGAAAAATTGCGGTACGACGACTTTTTTTTTTTTTTTTTCAATCTTTTATAAATACAATCAATGGCAATTTAACAGTGTGCATTTTGGAAGAAATTTAAATTGCTCAACTGTTAATATCCATTATTGAATCATATCATCAATGCAGAATATAATGGAAGAAACCATAATACATCCAAATTTGAGTTTCAGAGAACTGACTGAGCCACGAGGCGTAAAGTTGGTTTTTGATGTTATACAGTGCAATAATCCGGTCGCACGAAAAGCTCTGCAGTTTGCATGCGGCAACGCACTTGTTTGTGAAACACCCGAAGATGCAAAGTAATTATTAGCACGTATAAATTCTCAGAAATCCAATTTTCTTTGCTTTGTTGAGATTGTTCAGTTAATCTTATATTCATGCTTCTTATTCTATTGGGTTATTGCGAGGATTTTTATATTTCACGGTTTGTATATATTTTATATTTTATGCCGGTGATGTAAGCTAGTACATCGATATCTTTAATATCAGTTATTTGGTCTGTATGGTAAATATTACTAATTAATGGAATTCTTTCTTTAGATATCATACTTAAGGTTTGTTACAGATATCTAGCTTATGGAAGTGCATCGGATCGATACAAAGCAGTAGCACTGGATGGGACACTATTCGAAAGGAGCGGTATCATATCAGGAGGTGGTCAGGAATTACGACAGCGAGCCAAAAAATGGGATGAAAATGCTATTAGGTTTATTTTCTCAAAAAAATAATTGGACAAAAATATTTTTGTTTATTACTTTGTGTCACGTGTATACGTGACATCTTAGTATTGGATGAAAATGATAGCCCAGCTAATTTATTAGAACTGTAAGAATGTGACATTTTTGTTGAGTTAAATAAGAATGAGTTAGTAGCACTTAATTCGCGTTTTCATCGAGAAAAAAGAAGAAAAGAAATATTTATAGGAAATTGAAAGAGAATCGAGTGAAATTGCAAGATGAACTTCAGCAATTACATCGAACACGTAAAAAGGAGCTTGATGTAGAAATGAAGCGAAATCAGTTGATTCATCTGGAAAATCGTCTCAAAAATACCAGAAATGAGCATACAAAAATAACAACTCAAACACTTAAAAAACTTGAACAAGATCTCGAAACTCTAAACAGTGAACTTTCACTTATACAGGTAGGTGTAATCTAAATTCAAGACGATACCTTAATCATAATGATCAATTGAGTTTTGAATTTAATATCAGTAGGTTATTTGTTGTTATTGTTTATTCACTTCTTTTTGCACTTATTTAATCAGTTGAATGGGATGATACAGTATTCATTTTGATAAAATTCTTATTGTAAATTGTAAACAGATAGCCTTAGTCAATGCTAGTTATTCTTAAGTGCTTGTGAAAAATCGTTGAATAGTGGCATCATTAGAAATTATTACAAAAATTTGTTAAAGAATAACATCATTTAACTCATGAACGAGAAAAGATTGCGGCTTTCGTATAGAATAATTTTTTCTATCTTACCATGTGGCTTTAAATTTCAAATTCCTCTTCTTTAAGCTAATAGAAATAAATAGGAAATAAGACAATATGAGCAGTTGTTGAAAGATCGTTGGAAGCACTTTTTAAGTGTAGTTGGAAAGAAATCGATGTTTTATTCATTGACTAGTTATTATTTAAATAAAATTTCAGCCACGAATAGATGAAATTGAACAGAGAATGGCAGAACGAGTTGTACAAATTGAAAAATTACAACATAAACGAAATGTCATAACCGATGAAGTGTTCCACGAATTTTGCCAGCGTATAAATATTAAAGATATTCGGTATAGTTAACTTATTATTTTTTTTATTTATTCTTTCTTTGATATTAAGACTTTGTCTATTTTAATATTGCGACATATGTACCCAACTTGTTTAGTGATTATGTTTTCTGTTCTTTTTAGTAATTTATTCTTTTTTTTTAAGTCAATATGAACAGCGTGAAATGCGTTTTCATGAAGAAATGCAGGATCAGTTGAAGAAATTTGATAATGAATTGGATCGTTTACGAAATGAATTGGACTATTTAAAATCAGAAGATAAACGATGTTAGTTTTTCCTTCTTTTTTTTTCTTACCTAAATACCTTACAATGATGACATTAACTAATGGTTTTGACGAAACATTAATGCGTTTATTGAGGAGTTTTTTGTAGTTGTTTTTAAGTGAACTTATGTTGATAGTTGTGAAAAATCGTTGATTATCAACGGATGTATTGGTTGACAGTGTAATAATTTATACTTCTTTACTTTTTAGTAAGATAGTACTGTTAGACTTACAAAATCATTGTCCGTGTGCCGTGCGAAATTTCGTTTTTGTAAGGTTTATATTTGAGATAATTTATTAATGATATATCAGAAACTGAAACATGTTTTATATTTTAGTAAAAGAGAAGCAAGAAGCGGAAAGAGTAAAACGCTTAACGAAAGAAATTGAAGGTTTAAAAAAGAAGGAGGAAGAGGAGCATATGGTGATAGTTTTTATTTGATAATGCTCTGAGATTATTAGCATGTTTTTTTTTTTTTTTAATGGGCGTTAGCATTTTCATCTTGTTTATGCTGCAAAAATTAGTTCAATTTTTAGACACTGAAAAAGTTAGAGGCTGAGTTGGAACAAATGAAAATGGCAATTGTTTCGAAGAAGGCACTGGTTGAAGATAGCGATGCTGAAATAAACGTACTCAAAAAAGCTGCGCAACAAGCTGCTCGTGAAGTACTCATTTCAAATTTACTATGTTTTTCTGATCATTAAGTTAATTAAATTTGGACTGATCCAAATGAAAGGATATTCACTGATTAGGGGGTATATTTCTCAGTAGATAGTTATAGATTATATGAAGTTGTTGATATTTGTTATTAATAGAAATCTATACTTATTGTCTAGATTACTAATAGAACAGTTGCTATTAAGAGTGGAAATAATTATTGATTTAGATGAGGAATTGAAAGATTTATCGATTGTCAAGTTATTTTTGCACAAATTATTCTTCTGTTTTTATGGTAAAATAATTTTATAATAAGATTAACTAATGCATTAATTTTATAGGTAGCTGCAGCAGAGAAAACAGCCGCAGCATTAGAGCAAACCATTCTGAGACGACGTCATCAGCGTCACTCATTATTACATCAATGTAAAATGAATGGTATTAAATTGCCACTGCTTCAGGGATCCCTTGCCGATATTGAAATTGATGATACTATCCCCTCAAGTAATTTTTTTTTTTTTTTGTTTTAACTTTTCAGGAACTGACTTGAATATTGGATAAAGTAACTATTAAATGAATTAGAAGAAGTGGTTGAAGTTAATATTGCAGATAGCTGTTTGTAAATAGCTTAGAATTGTAAGCTGTTAGTTAAGATCGTACATTGATAATATAATAAAAAAATTTTTCATTTTTCATTTGTGTCTTTTTCGTTTTATCTTTTAATTTCTTATCTGTATACATGACCAGGAATTATTAGAAATAGTAGTCGTTTAATCAAGCTAGAAATTTGTCGATAAAAAATGAAATCATGAAAAGACAGTGAGCAGTCATTTTTTATCTGGTTAAGTTGACAAATGTCATTTTGAAATGAAATTAGCATTGCTTTTATGTACTTAAGTTATTGTAAATATAAAATTTAATCATGAAACTGTTTTCTTTTCTTTTTTTTTTTTTTTTTTTTTTTTAGGTACAACAGGTGCGAGTGTAAGTGTAAGTGATTCACAGCAACTCTCACATGAGCAAATGGATCGTGAAGCACAAATACAAGTGGATTATCGATTGCTTCCAGTTAGTCTCAGAGAGGTAATCATGAAATATTCAGTTGTAACTATTTTATTGCTTTTTCAAAATTTGTTCATCAAGTTGCTTCCTTGCAGAATTATATATGTTAGATGAAACAGAAATAGGAGTTAAGTTTATATGCAAGTAGTGACAAAAAGTGAATTATTGGATAGATGGCAGAGAGTTAGGGAAGATGATAGAAAATAAAGATGGTAGGATATGTATAATTCCGTTCTTCTGAAGGAATTTTAAGATCGTTAATTTTAGTATGATAATGATGAGGAAGTGAAAAAAGCACTGGACAAATTGAACAAAGAAGTTAGTGATTCACAGGCAAAAATTTCACGGATTAGTGCGCCAAATTTGAAAGCAAAGGAAAGGTTTGTAAAATTAATATTATTTCAAACATTTACTCAGCAGTTCATATATCTTTTTTATTATTTGGCAGTGCAGGAAGTTACGTATGCTTTATGTATCCTTTACTTTTTTTTCATATATCCTTTCCATTTCACGTATGCTGGATTTATCCCTTTCTTAACTTAACATCTATGCTAGACGTATTTATTTTTGGCTTAAACTAATTACGGGTATTATTTATGGATATTAGCTTAAGGTTTTCGATTCTTTTTGAGTTGGCTTTATATAATTTATTGCTAGAATGGAAATAGTGAAAGAGAAGGAGGCTGAAACAACGGAAGAATGTGAATTGGCGAGAAAGAAAGCGCGAAAGATTCGTCTGTTATTTGAAAAAGTGAAAACTGATCGTTACCATCGATTTCATGAATGCTTTGAACCTGTTTCGCAGAAAATTGATGACATTTACAAGGTTCTAATTTAGACTTATTAAATTGTAATTTATTTTTTTTAGATGATTTTTTATGCTAGATTTAGCAGGAATGAAGTGATTTATTTCAAAATTTTAGGAATTTCATTAAATTCACAAACTAAGAAGCTAAGATTAGTGTATGTTTTGGGATATTCAAATCTTTATCTTTTTTTTTTTTTTTTCATTTTCTTCTTCTTCATCTTTTGATTAATTTGATTGATTTTTAGAAACTCAGTCGTAATGAAAGTGCACAGGCATTCCTTGGCGAAGAAAATATGGAAGAACCATATCTTGAAGGTATTGCATACAACTGTGTAGCACCTGGTAAACGTTTTCGACCGATGGATAATTTAAGTGGTGGTGAAAAGACTGTTGCAGCATTAGCATTACTTTTTGCTATTCATGCTCGTAGTCCATCACCATTTTTTATTTTGGATGAAGTTGATGCTGCATTGGATAATACTAATATTGGCAAGGTGTGATTTTCTGAGATTTTTCGTCAAGCATAGAAAGTTAAGAGATTTTCACTCTAACAGTTATCGCTAGAAAATTTCATTAGCTTAAAACATCATTTTGATTATTCTAATGTAACTTTATTTCTAACAAACTGCTGAATTTATTATGTAATAAATTTTAGGTTGCAAATTTTATTTGTGAACGTGCACGTGTTGACATGCAACTAATTGTTATATCGTTAAAAGAAGAATTTTACAATAAAGCTGATGCTATCATTGGTATTTATCCGCATCCATCCAGTTATACCGTCTCCGGAATGTTAACACTTGATCTCACACCATACAAACAACCACAATCTGATTCATACATTGAATAGGTTAGTTACATTATCCTACAATTTATAATGTTGTGTAATTTCTGTGTAAAGTTATCATATGTTCTACGAATCTGCAATTTATCAGTAAACTATGTTTTCTTTTGTTAGTCAAAAATTTGAACAGTTTGTTATGTCCACTTCTGTCTTATTAAATAATTCTGTTCAAATTTTATTTCCTTATGAACAAACTAAGAAGTTAAGAAATTCACTTTTCTTCTTATTCTATGTATTCCTATACACTTTTTTTCCTGTGACTTCTACTTTTCGTCTCATATATTATTTTATTGATAGCAAATTATTTATGCGTGTATAATGTGCTCCATGTATCATCATTAATTGTTAACATTATCAATACGTTGTCATTCTATAGTTAACATGTAAGCATTATTTTGTGTGTGAACATTTCGCGCTAGAAATTTTTTCATTCCTGTTTGCAACAATGATCAAATTATAGTCGTGGATATTTCGTTACAAAATTTTCATGTATATAAAAATTTTTTCCTGAAATAAAATTATCTTCATTGAATATTTTCGCATCCACAAGAACTATATTTTATAATATTATATATACGGGATCTATATGTTAGAAACTCCTAACTTACAATATATTCCTCGTAGTGAGGTGTACAAATTCCCAATTTTCTATGTTAACATAGTCATATTTTATATAAAGGAAATGAATTATATTTGTGAGAATTAAAAAAGGTAAAAACAAGAAAGTTTCGCGTAAAATTTATTAAAGATTGAAAGCACAAAGATACAGCACTGTATCACTGCTATAATGTTATAAATTGCTGAACTGCCAAAACTAACGATGATTTTCTGCCTGAAAAAGATGAACTATGAAGTGAAAGGTGATACAATCTTCTGTTATCTAGAAAATCAATGCTATGAATTCAGGTTAATAAAACTAAATTTAGTTAATTTGAAAATCAAAGTTTATCAGCAAATGTGACATGGAAATTTACGAATGCTAAAACAAAAAACGAACTAACATCGTGTGAAGATTCTGTATTCTGCAATAAATCTCCAACATCCTGAAAATATCGTATGTTAGATGATTGAATCTCGCATAATCGTTGCTGTATTCGAACCAAATACCCATCGATCTCCAAAAGTTGCATCACTCCAATGTTCTCCAGTGAACGTTCAATATCCTGAAGAATACCGGATAATAATTAGCACGAAGAAAAATGATGTCGTAAAAAAATAAGATGCCAGCACGAAAGAAGAGCTCAAAAAAATACTACAGGAAACAAAAGAAAAAGAAAGTAAATAAATAAAAATGCCATTACTATATTTAAAAGAATTGTTATACGTTTATGTATAAAGAGAAACTGCTTTCCACTAATAAATTTACCTGCAAATGCCTTCGGACAGAGGCCCGCAAATCCTCTGGGTTTCGTTGAATTCCTTCATCTGATGGTACATCGGTTGGTAAATCCGATTTTTCGAAACAGTCCTGAAATTTCGACATAAGAAATGAGTCTGAAAGATTTTTCTAAGACACAGTTGAGCTTAAACTTTAAAGAAATGATGAATAAAGATATCACAGAATTCTGCAAAAAGACTTTATTTTCAACTTATCTTGATCCTGTCCAACCTGATTTGAAAAATTTACTTCTTTAAAAAATAAACAAAAAACCTCTCTACATCCAACTTCATTATCGTCTGCTGCTAATAGAAGGTGACTATCTGAACTTATCATTTTCTGCCTTTTCCTGAATGGATGAGAAAGATTTACATCGTCAATGATTTCTACAGCTTCAAAATTTCCATATGGATTTTCTACCTAAAATGCGATTCAGTACTAAATTTCACTATATCATTGCAGCAGAGGTTATTTTTTTTTTTTTTTTTTTTGTTTATTTGTTTTTTTTTATCAAAAAACCTCACTGGAAACTAATTTCAATTCAAAATTAATGGATTAAACATCACGGTAGACTTTCCTGTCTACTCTAACATAACTTTGCAATTTTGAATTACTGAGATCAAAACTGATCTATTGACCTGTCCAAAAATTTCATATTGCATTTGTTCTTCATCAAGTAACTCATGTTCTCCTAAGTGGACGTCAAGATCAGCCAATGTTGATGTTGTAAAATTGCATCCTACAATTGAGCAACTATATATCTGAGAAAGTTTTCCTCGTTTTACCTGAAAAATTAATTTCAGTTCTTGCTTATCACTGTTTACATTTCATTTGTATGTTTCGCCAAAAAATTTTGATAATTAAAACTTCTTCGTTGAATTCAATTATCAAAAACGTTTGTGTTTTCCCTACTTCAATAATTCAGCATTATATCCAAATTAGCATTTTCAGGTTCTAACGACCTTTCACGCTATGTTTCTGTTGAAATTTCAAATGCTGCTTCTACATTTCAACATTTTACAAACATTACATTAACACTTTGTTTATGTAGTATGTAGTATAGTTTTTATCCAACCTTCCTATATCTGATTTGTTTATTATATACAAAAATGTGTGGCGATGTCATAATTTTTAATTTTAAGCGCTTCCATCAATTTTAAGTAGAGATGTCTCTTCCGATTAACTTATTCACCATTCAGAATATTAGAAAGAATATTCCCAAAGTAATAAATAACATACATAAAGATTTCCCTGAGAAATGTAATTATTAAGAAATATTGCCAATACCAGAGATAACGTATAGCTTACAACAGTAAGCAGTAAATTTAATATCTTTAAATATCAATAAAAAATACATACTGTGAAATCAGTTCCAGAAACACTTGGCATGTCAGAACTAGAAGCAGTAACAAAAGAAGTAACTGCATTGATATTTTGATCAACGTCGAGCTTTGAAAGAGCTTCATACTCGTTATCACTATCATCGGATAATGTTATTTCCTAAAATTTATTTATTACCTAAAAATAAAAACTAAACTTAATCAATTTCTTTGACTACTTTACGGATGAACAGTTCATATTTACCAGCTAATAGACGATAAAATCTAAGTAGTTTATTGTTATCGTTTTCATATTTTAGTCCGGAGCTTCGCTTAGATTTTCAACGATGACTTTATTTATCATTAACATATGATTTATAACTAAGCGTTCTTTCCGACAATTACTGATATTATGCAGGAATGAATTAAAAGAACTTAAATTTAATATATATATATATATATATATATATGATATTGGTAGAAATCCGATACATGTTTCAACATACCGGATCCTGGGGCCAAGTTCCTGGTTCCTCGACTACATAAATGTTCGAAGAAAAGCGTTCTGATGGAGAGATTGTAATATATCGGTAGTTTGTATCTTGATTAGTGGTATAATTAGAAGTTTTATGAATTGAGATACCAGAAATCGATCCATTCACAGGTCTTTTAGCCAATACGCTGTAAAAAATATAAAATATAACAGCAACAAAATACTACAACTGCAATAGAAGTATGTTGTCGAACAAGCAAATTTCAAATAACTTTTTGTAAGCAATTCAGTGTTCAATTTTAAAATTAAAATATTATAAATACTAAAATGCTATTTTATTTGGTAAAATATATTCTCGAAAAAAAAAAAAGTGTTTTTATTCATACCGTCTCGATAAAACAGATTGACGATCGGATAACGGATTATTTGCAAAGTCACAGATATGTGGTGTTTTCGGATAATCTGGATGCACCATAAAGCGTCCATTACGTACCACAATTCTAGCCGGAGGAGGATACTTGACGTGTGGTTCTTGTCGTTTACCTTTATCTTTAAGTCTCCGACACAACACACATGTGTAATACATTGTCGTATCATTTGTTGGCATCTTCAAGGCCCACTCAGAAATTTTATTCGGATAACGTCTACTCTCGAATAAGATGATAGATTTACGTCGCTGGCAAGAAAGAGCTTCGTATATGACTGGACCGTAATCTCCTTCAGGGTAGCAAATTGGATTTAGTTCTAGATCTATCTGAAAATTGCTTTTTATGTGAGGAAAAAAAGTAATAGGAGGAATTAGTTAAATCGATGGTAATTAACTGAAAGAAAACATAAGACTACAAATAATACAAGTCTGGTGACAGAAAAAATAGTCGTCTGCAATAGATACTGTAAAAGCCATTAACATGTAGGTTTCAAAAAAAAGTCTCCAATTAGCGAGAAATTTTGAAGTTTTAATGGTTACCGCTGCAGATGGGTAAACCGAAGCATTTTGTGTGGGTATTTGGCTCGACAGATTCGATATGCCCACTTCATCGTTTCTATCTGTTGAAACCAAATACTCTGCCTTAAAATCTTTGAAACAATGAAAAAATGCGATGCATGAAAAGAGGTGAAATTCTAATATTAGTTGGAAATTAGATATTAACATTAAGATGAAGAAATGAACAACCTCTCCGTATGCTAAACAACATGAATATTCGCCCAATTATTCAAGATTAATTTTATGATGCTAGTAAAAGCACTACCAATAAAGAAAACAAAAATGTCAACTTAGAAAATATTCACTCGTGTAATTATATAATTGATGAAATTTTTCAAAAAAACCAAAATGATTTGGTAATTTTCTCAAACATTAGTTAGCATGATCGTTCTAAACACTACTTGAAATATTCATTCCTCCTGAAACTTACTAAAACTTAGTCTTTTCTTTTCTGTCTGTCGTATTATAGCGTTTTTGCTGTATTGCCTATGCAATCTAATCAATCAATAGATAAGGTAATTTTTAGAAAATTTAAAAAGAAAGCATATATATTTCTAAATAACAATGCACAAACAAAAATTCGCTTTCGCTATTCCAAATTGGAAAACTATAAATTAAATTGTATACCTCAAAAGGTGATGAATCAACTGTATTGGAATCATTAACAATACGATGCTTTTCATTCATGTGAATGTCGATCATACCAGATGCAAATGTCAAGAAATCACAATCCACCATTGGACATTCGTAAACTTTACGCGGTTTATTACTTCGATTAGCAGCGATTAATTTACGGCGATTAATGTATAATGATCGCATGGAACTCGATTCTGACCACATACGTCCATGTATACGTCCCAATACCATATCTTCCATTTGCTCTATTTCTTCAGCACTACAAGTATTTTATCAAAGTAAAAAATATCGTCATTAGCGGTGATAATGATAATTTTTGATTAAAAACAAAAATCATCTCTACACGAAATGCAACAAATATAAAGTCAATTTTCACTTTTAAAGTCGTTAATAATTTTTAATGTTAATTTCTAATATTCATTTTTTTTTTTACATTTATATACAATAAAGAAAATTAACTAGCCTAAGAAATGTCTATTTATATGGCGTATTAAGCAAGAGAAAGAAGCTTCTAGAAAACATTAAAATAATTTCATAAGTTCTTCTAAAATTATCGGGAGAGATTTCATGACCAGTACCTTAAATTTGAATATTTTCCATCCTCTCTAAAACTGATTAAAACTTGATTGATTTTTTCTCGTGGTGTCATGCCATCTTCACTAATTTCCGTTCGTGCACGAATCATTGCACGTCGTGCAAGAACAACTGCACGATCAGACATTGGATTATCACCAAATCCACATATGTGCGGTGTACGAGGGTAATCTGGATGCGTTAAAAAACGTCCATTACGAACAAGAATACGAGCTGGTGGACCAAATTTCACTGGTGGTATTAAGCGTTTCCCACGATCCTGCAAAGAAATATTGAATTAAAACAATTAAACTTCTGCAAACCAAAAAATGAATGAATCAAATTTGTTAACAGTAGCAAGTAAACTAAATATTAATAATAATGGGAAGTACAATTGAAACATATATATTAGGATGACTGTTTTTTAAGACAACTGATACTCGAAAATTACTAATCTTAAATAAAGAAAAAAAAGACAAAAACAATGGAAGTACAAATGATTGTGACATTAAAATGTATATTACATTATTTAATTCAACAAATTGGATAAAATTTCAAATACTGTTTAACGGATAACTAATAGAAAGTTATCTGTAACTATTGTTCAAGTGATTATAAATAATGAATAATTCATCAGTTCATATAATCCTTTTATCAACAATTACAATTAATATTTACATTATACATTAAAATCAAAATGAAAAAAAAAAACCTGAAGTCTTCTGCACAATACACAAATGTAATATTTATTATCCCTTCCTGGTTCTGCTCGTAATGACCATTCGGATATCTTTGTTGGATAAAGTTCACTATTGAATAAGATAACCGAATTACGTCGCATATTGGATAATTCTTGCCAGGTTACTGGTCCAAAATCTTCACCTTCCCATTCTTGATCATCACATGATTTCCTTTTCAATTCGGATGATTGTTGCAATGATTCCGAATGATTCGTATGATGCATTTGCTGCTAATAAAAAATTTATTAACAGAATACTAAAATCAATGAAACATAAAGCAAAAATTTAACTTAATCTTTAACAAAATTAACATAATTGCGTACTATTCTAGTCCATAAAAATGAAATGAAATGTTATATTCCGTAATCAAATGAAACCAGAATACATGCAATATTAAATTAAAATTAAACTTAATTAATACCACCACAACTTCACTACCTCCTAACCGACCGATTATTAGCATTTCGGTAACTATCTAATTTTGTATTTTTCACTACCTCCTAGCCAAATCATCCACAACGTTACATTTCTACACCAGTCTTCTCTCCACATTCGCACAATCTTTTCATCTTTCTCAATCACACTATCACAATTGCAAAATATGCACTCTTCCAAGCTCTCTCAATATCTGACACACAGAATAAAAAACTCTTTTTGCAAATTTTATCAATCTGTCATACTCTCTCCCTCTACCATGTTATTTCTTCATTCGCCAAAGTTACTATCAAATTTCATGCAAATTTCAGAATTCAAAATTGAAATTTCATGCAAATTTCAGAATTCAAAATTGAAATTTCATGCAAATTTCAGAATTCAAAATTGAAATTTCGAAATTTGGAAAAATTTGAATTTGAAGTTTAACTTGTAAAATTTGTGTAAAGTTTAACTTATACAGAATGCATACGCAATAAGTAATTATTTCATTTGTAAAATTTTTAATGTTTATTTAAACCTGAAAAAAAAAGCCTAACTTAGAAGTCTGAGCAGCCTGAAATTAAGGTATGGGACAAACTTACATAATAAATAGCCTGGAATGCTAAAAAATAAAAAGCCTAAAGAATAATGCGCTTAAAATATTTGACAGCTTAAAGTATTAAATAATTTAAAGTTTCGAGTAAGAATTCGCAACTCTTTCAGATGTTGCGAATTCTTTGAGTTATCGTAAAGCGCAATAGTTAAGTGATAATTTGATAATAACTAATAAGTAATATAAGTTAACAGACAGTAAGTTAATTTAAAATAATAATTAATTAATAAATGTAAAATGTTAATAATAATTAATTAATGAATGTAAAATGTTTGAAAACTTTATTGTTGATTCTTCTTGATATTACATTTTGTTATAAATTATATAAAAGTTAATGTTTCTTTTTTGGTTAATTTAAGGATTCAAAATATAATTACAGTATTAATTATAATTCATTTTTTTTTTACATAAAATATGATAAATTCTTGAAATAGCTTCATTCAATAGAATTTCATTTCTTTTCTCTTTCAATAAATTCATTTAAATTTTTTAAATGCAAAGTTGCATTAAATATTTGTAAAAAAAAAAAAAAAAAAAAAGAAATATATAGTGAAATTATTAATTCTAACTCATTTGATAATAACAAATTTCCTAATATTTTATTATTTTTGAAAGACGAAAAAAAAAATTTGTTTGAATATAACTAAGAAGAAAAAATTATTGCTTCCTAATGCTTATAAATAGTATAGTTAGATTAAATTATTAATATTTGTAAAGATGAAATAAGGTTAGGTTAGTAATTTTTTTTTCCTTTTAATTTAAAATTCTTTTCACTTTTTTTTTGTCAAAATTTTTGTAATAAAGTAATGTTTTTTTTGTAAGGAAAAAATTAAAATTAAATTATTGTTATTTGTAAGAAAAAAATTTCGAGAATAATTGAAATTTAAAATTGAATAACCTATCAATGTGACAGAATAAGTTAACATTTATTTTTTTTTTTTTTTTTCAATTTAATAATAAATTTGTGTATGATTTGAAGAGAATGTGTAAGTTTATATTAGTTAAAAATCAAACAGTAATCAAATTTGAAAGTGAATGAGCAGAAAAAAAAAATAAAATAAAATAAAATAAAAACGAGTTACTATTTCAATTATCGCTTCTCTATTTTTGTTTATTCAAAATACAAAAGAATGAATAATTTTTTTTTTTTTTTTTTTTAAAAAGTGAAACAAATCAAAAAATTTTTCATTTATTTTATTTCTTAACTTTTTTACAGTTTATCTTATTTCGTAAATTTGTTACCTAAAATTGCTGTTTCTTATTTCTAAATTAAATTACATAAAAATTCTATGCTTAAAAACAAAACCAAATTTTGATTTTATAATAATAATAAATAATGAGCAAATAGCTTATACATAAAAATGAATGAATAAAAAGTGATAAAAGATGTTTATATTAATTATATCATTGTTTACATGAATGTTTTCTTGCATTTATCGATTGATTACAATTATTAGTAAATTTTTTTCTATAAAATTCTTTTTTTTTTTTTTTTCGATTGCTTTTTCTCATTGAAATTTATACCAAATTGATTTGCTTTATTTACATTTAAATTTGGAAATTAAATCCACCAAAAGATCCGTTCTAAAATAGAAAACAAACATCGCTTTTACAGTATATGCATGTGTATGTATACATACACATATGTCTGTGTCTGTGTGTGTGTGTGTGTGTGTCTGTTCTTAAAAGTGTGCATGTGTGTATGTGTGTGTGTGTGTGTGTGTGTGTGTGTGTGTGTGTGTGTGTGTGTGTGTGTGCTAGTTGGTTGCTTATTCAGCCGGTGATGACAACTTCACAGGTGTATGAGAGATAGACTGTCGACTGTTCAGGGATAACACGACAAAACAAACCTGTCACCATCAACCTTATCCAGTGTCACCCACCGGAAAGTCATATAACAAAATTGGCATCTCTCATTTTCATTTCTATCTGTGTTTATAAAGTTATCTTATCGCTATATTTTCTAAATTTCATCTGCTAAATTATATCGTTTTCTGAATTGGAATTTTTGTTTATTTCCTGAATTACAGTATTCTTTAGTTGATTACCTGATATTGCTAACATTCGCTAGGATCAATTTAATTTAAATTGTTTTGTTATCAAGTGATAAACATATATTCTTTATCACAATGATAATTTCGATTTCAGGTTAGTAAATTGATTTATAATATAATACAATATGATATGATATGATATGATATATGATACGAAAACCTGAAATTAATACAAACGGTAGTAAACGGCTAAAAGTTCCGGTTATATGTGTCCTGTCATTTCCAGTTAGCAAATAAACAACTGAAGAACAGGTAATTTCCTCAAATTACTGTTAATCGTTTTTCCACTAATTTGAAATAATTTATTGTATACGATTGCAGTATACCAATTTAAAACAGATGAATTTTATATGTGATGCAATTAAAAATTCAGAAATTATTTCTAGGATTTTATTTATTTATTTATATTTTTTTTTTTTTGAAATTTTAATTTTTTAAAAGTTTTTGATTTTTTTTTTTTTTTTTTTTGCGTAATTTGTTAAATGAAAATAGAAAGCAGTAAAAATTTTTTAAACTGTTTAACAGAAAATTGTCAAAAAGCGATTAATTAATTGATTAAAATTTATTTTATTAATATATGCTACGTTTAATTTAAAATTTGCCTCTCAAAATGTCTAAATTTAGCAAATATTTATAACAATTCGAAAGTTTCTTTATTTTATTCTCTCTATAAATCTCAAAAAAAATTTCATTCGTTCGAATAAATTTTCTCTTTCAAATGAATTTATTTTTAGCATTGCGTTAATATTTTTTAGTATATTTACGAGATTAATTAATATAATTATGAGAAACAATCATTCATTGCAAACATATTCAAATATATTTCTGATAAGTAAAATTAAACTTTAACTATTATCTGAAAATGATAGTTTGAAAAAATAAATAATTTTACTTACTACTTATTACTTATCTATCATAATTTCAATTAATTATCCACTAATTATCCTTAATGCAAAACTAACAATCAAATTTATTTATTTCTTCAATAATTTTGCTCAATTCTTCCTAAATTAGTATCAATTTCACAAAATCCACCATCGATCTATTCATCATCAAATTATTCCAATAAAATAAATTTCTCTTCTATGCTTTTTTTTTTTTTTTTTTGATTTTCATTTAAATATTAAAATTATAATTTCAATCAAAGATTAAATACCAAATGCTTTTTTTATTAGTTACAATTTAATGGAACAATTGAACAATTTTACCGATAATATTACTTAATTGAAATATTTTTTTTTTTTTTGAGGAATAATTTTATTTGAAAAGTTATAAATTAATTTAAGTAACTTTTTCTTTTTTTTTTCAATTTTTATTACTAAATAGTCCAAGAAAGTCTGTTTGTTGTTTTGAATGTGCAAATATTTAAATTTAATTTTCTAACACTATTAATTTTTAAAAGACTATTAGTCGAAATGTATCGTTGATAAAGCATTGCTATTAATTGATAAGTAAAAAACAAATATATCAAAGTTTAAAAAATTGAGATTTCAAATTTTATTTTAAAAGTTACGTTTTTCTTTTTTATTAATTAATACTTTGATGTAAGAAATGTTTACTTATGCTTTTAGGCTAAAATATTGCACTTTTTTTTACGATAATTTATGAAAATTCAGCAAATTTTGATCGTATTATTAATTAATTAACCGTTCCTTTGGTGAGATAATTAAGTATAAATTCTTAATTTAATTATGTAAATTTATTCAATTTAGCTAATAATAAGCATCTGTGATCAAAATGAACAATGCTTATTGAATGCAAAGAAATTTTTTAATTTCAAAATTATTATTAATAATTAATCGATTAAGTTAATTTGCATTTATGCATAAATTGAATAAATTTTCAATCATATTTACTTAATCCAAAAGTATAATAATTGAATAGAATTTTGATTGGAAATGCTTTTAAATTAAATATTAATTTTTTAAGTCTAAATCTAACCTATGTAAACGTAATAAATTCAAAATTTGATTGGCAAAATTTTGCAATAATACTGATGCAAATAGTTTTTTTTTTTTTTTTAGTTATAATATATTGAATGAATAATTTTGGACGGAAAAAGTAAACATTAGAAAGTATTGGAGAAATCAATTCAACTACTATCATATCGTTATCATTTCAGTTGAATAATTTTATCATTGATTATAAATAGTAACATTATCAGTAAGCAATTAGTAGGAAAAATTTTTTGAATCATATTTAAAAAAAAAATTTAAATATTACTATAAAAATTAATAGAATTTCAAATTTAAATTAATAGACTTTCAAATTTAAATATTAATTCAAATTTAAGCAAAATTAAGCAATGAGTGAAAGGAATGCAATATTTTATTTTCATTTCATTTATAACAATTATAATTATAATTCATAATCAATTAAAGTCACTTATTACTAAACTTTAAACATTTAACTAAAAAAAAAAAAAAAAAAGAAATCAAGAAAGCTTTTTAAAAAATGTTAATTTTACTTATGCATAATTTATTCATAATCATTTTTAATTGTTGTTCTTAAATAATGCCAAAAAAAGGAGGTGAAAAAATGAAATAATTTAAAAATAGTATTATTTACTAAAATTATTGCATAATGCTATCAATTGATCTTTTCAAATATTTTTATTTTATTTGTCTAATAAAAATTTAAACATTACTATGAATCTTTGAATGATTGAAAAAGCAAATTGAAATTTATCTATGCTTTAACTTTTTGTCAAAAAAAGTAATCAAAAAAAAAAAAAAAAAAGGAAAAATGCATCTTTTGATTTCATTGTAATTTGAAATTTATACTTTGCTTTTCATTCGTTTTACAAAAGATTTGTTACTATTAGTGATGACATTTGTATTATTTTTTTAGCATTTTAGAATTATATCGAATGTTTCGCTTTTTTCTTTTCTTTTTTTTTTTTTTTTTTTTTAAATTTTATTAATTATTAAAAGAAAATTATCACACATTTATGTTTTGTTTAATATTTGTTAATTATAGAATTTTAATTCCTTTTAATTTTAATCTTTTTAATTATTTGAATTTAAAGTTTTGCCATTTTTCTTAATTTATTTTGGTTTAATATTTGTTAATTATAGAATTTTAATTCCTTTTAATTTTAATCTTTTTAATTATTTGAATTTAAAGTTTTGCCATTTTTCTTAATTTATTTTGGTTTAATATTTGTTAATTATAGAATTTTAATTCCTTTTAATTTTAATCTTTTTAATTTTTTGATTTTAAAGTTTTGCCACTTTTTTTTTTTTTGTTAATTTTTAATTCCTTTCATTTTTTTTTTTTTTTTTTTTTTTTTTTTTTTTTTTTTGTTAATTTTTTAATTCCTTTTAATTTTAATCTTTTTAATTTTTTGATTTTAAAGTTTTGCCACTTTTTTTTTTTTTGAATTTTTATCCTTGCAAATTTAATTTTAACTTTAATATGCTTAGATAAATTGGATTTTTTGCTCTCTTTTTCTTGCCAATGTAATTATTTGAAATGTGAAAAATGATAGATTACATATGTTTGAGTTGAATTTTCAATCTTCCTAAATTTTTAAAAAATTCAAATTAAAATTAATTTTGTATGATAGTTAGCCAAGTAACAGATAGATAAAAGCAATGAAAAAAAGTCATGATAACTTTTAAATTACCATTTCAATTTAATGGAATATGTAAAAAAAAAAATTTTTTTTTCTTTAAAATGTAAAATTAAATGTGAAAAATTTTCTATTTCTCCCAAAAAAAAAAAAAAAGAAAAAAAAAGATTGAAAATGATAACATACAATTTTTTTTTAAATTTTTAAAAAAAAAATTTTTAAATAAAAATATGTAATGAATTTGTATTATTTTTAATGAGAATTATAATTCATTCATATGCTATAATTAAATTAACAAAAAGAAATGCTAATTTGATAATTAAAAATGAAATTAATTAATGTAATCATTTTCATTCAAGAATTCAAAAAGAAAAAAAAAAAATGCCTACTTTTACGATAGTTATATATAAGTTTTTTATATTTAATTTCAAAAAATATCTATGCTTATGATAGTTAAATGTAGTTACTAAATTTTATGGCATAAATTAATTAGTAATAGTGAAAAAAAAATTAGAATAAAATTATAAAATTAAAATAAGTTCCATTTTAGATATTAGAACGAAGCATTAAACTATGAAAGGAAAGCATTTTTCATTCTTCTACTGCAAATTGAAATTTTTCTTTTGTAAATGACAAATTTTGATATTTTAGTCAAATCTAAATAGAAAGATTGAAAAGTAAAAAGGAAAATAAAATTCAACTGAAAATGACTAATTGCTAATATTAGCTATTACTGATAATTTATTAAAAAAAAAGAATTCTCTTCAGACATTTTTTTCCGTTCAAATAATGATGCAAATTTTAAAGTTGATATTTTAAATAGGTTTAAAACTTCGAATTTTATAGTAATATATATTTTGTCTTAGCTGTCACACACACATATATACATACATGCATACACACACTCACATACACAGTCAAAATATTAATATTTCAATAATATTTTTTAGGTCATTGTTTAATCATATACATTCCTTTTCCTTTTCCTTCTTTTTTTTTTTTTTTTTTAAAATCGAATTTCAAAAAAAAAAAAAACATTTTTCTTTTCTTCATTTTAATTTCATTTCATTTATAATTTCATCACTAATCTATCAGTAAGTCACAGTAAGATAAATCAGTGATAAAGGAATAAACATAAACGGAATGCATTTATCCATTAACAATATTCAGCCAATTTATTAATTT